ATCTAGACCAACTCCTTGCTCAAGATGCGGAATGACTAATCATTGGATCAAGATCTGCCGTACTCCCAAATATCTTGCTGAGCTCTACCAGAAGTATGGGAAAGATAATCATGAGGCTAACCTGGTTCATCAAATCAATGAAGATGACTCAAAGGATGATAAGATTGATGGCATGGATTAAGAGCTCTCCGACCTCCTTGATTGATCTAAAAAATCTGAATTTGTTTTTCATTACTCCTTAAACTTTTATCTTTTGTTTTTGGGATTTATTGTCTTTACTTTGGATTTTTAAGACCTTTTGCTTTTACATTTTAATTTATGGAGTAATGTTTTATTTACATCTCATTTTTGCATGTTATTGAATTATAATTCTTGTTTAATAAAGATATGCAAGACAATATGGATATCATTGTGGATAGTGGATCGAGCCACACCATTCTAAAAGACAAGAATTACTTCATAAATTTAGTAATCAAAACCGCAAACATTAGCACTATAGCGGGTAGTTCGAGCCTAATAGAGGGCCATGGCCAAGCTAATGTGTTGTTATCAAATGGCACATATCTAGACATCTCTGATGCCTTATACTCACCCAGTTCTAAGAGAAACCTATTGAGTTTCAAAGACATAAGATTGAATGGTTTCCATATCGAAACTCAGGATGAAGGGAACAAAGAGTTTTTAATTATCACTAAAATGATAAATGGCCATAAACAAGTTTTTGAAACTATACCCGCCGTATCTACTGGCATTTACCATGCTAAAGTCAGTATGATTGAGGCTAATGCTGCTATCAAAGCACGGTTTTTAGATTACACTATTTGGCATGATCGTCTGGGTCATCCCGGTGCGAACATGATGCGTAAATTAGTCTAGAATTCTAAAGGGCACAGCCTTAAACCAAATGGTATTTTCCCTCAGCACCTCAAGTGCACAGCTTGCTCACAAGGGAAACTGATTACCCGACCTTCACCAGTCAAAGTGTCTAAAGAGACCTTGAACTTTCTGGAAAGAATCCAAGGAGACATATGTGGACCAATTCACCCACCTTGTGGGACATTCAGATATTTCATGGTCCTCATTGACGCATCGACCCGCTGGTCGCATGTCTGTCTGCTCTCTTCTAGGAACCAGGCTTTTGCTAGGTTATTGGCCCAAATCATCAGATTACGAGCCCATTTTCCAGACTTCCCATTAAAGACTATACGTCTTGATAATGCTGGTGAATTCACTTCCCAAGCATTTAATGAATATTGTATGTCCATGGGGGTAAGTGTTGAACATCCCGTTCCACATGTCCATACACAAAATGGATTAGCTGAATCCTTCATTAAACGAATTCAATGGGTTGCTAGACCATTACTCATGAGGTCACAACTCCCGGTCTCAGCTTGGGGACACGCAGTCTTACATGCCGCTGAACTAATACGCATACGACCATCTAGTGAGCACAAATATTCACCATCCCAATTGCTAACGGGTCATGAGCCAGACGTCTCCCATATTAAAACATTTGGGTGTTCAGTCTATGTACCCATTGCACCACCACAGAGGACTAAAATGGGACCTCAAAGGAGGATGGGAATATATGTTGGTTTTGATTCTCCCACCATCATAAAATATCTCGAGCCAACTACAGGAGATCTGTTTAAAGCCAGATATGCAGATTGCCGATTTGATGAATCGGTATATCCTAGATTAGGTGGTGAGACAGACAAGCTGGTAAAAGAACTTTCATGGAATCAAACATCCACACAATGGCAAGATCCTCGGACTCTAGAATGTGATTCAGAGGTCCAAAGAATTATACATTTACAAAAGCTAGCTAATCAATTGCCAGATTCCTTTGCTGACCCGAACAAAGTTACCAAATCGTACATACCAGCTTGTAATGCACCAGTACGAATAGATGTCCCCTCAGGGAAAAGTCAAGTTGCTAAAGAGTCTGACGCACGTAAGAAACGTGGCAGACCACCAGGTTCCAAAGATAAGAATCCCCGGAAATCAAAGAAAGGTGCAATGATTGAAACCGGGATTCAAGAGAACACGGATACAGCCTCAGCTGATACTTACCCTATCGAACCCTCTCAAGAGGTTTGGGACGCCAAAACTCAAGGTTCTGAAGGGATTGATAATAATGAGATCTCAATCAATTATATCATATTCGGTTCTCTATGGAACAGAAAAGATGTCGACATCAATGAAACTTTTGCATACAAGGTAGCACTTGAGATTGTGCACACGCAAGAGGATCTAGAACCCACGTCTATAATTGAGTGCACTCGTAGATCAGATTGGCTGAAATGGAAAGAAGCCATAAACGTGGAGTTGAATAGTTTAAAGAAACGGAATGTGTTTGGTCCGATCTTAAGGACACCATTCGATGTTAAACCAGTGGGAAACAAATGGGTCTTTGTGCGTAAAAGAAACAAACTCGGCGAAGTCGTTAGATACAAGGCACGCCTTGTAGCACAAGGATTCTCACAGAGACCCGGAATCGATTATGAGGAGACTTATTCTCCAGTGGTGGATGCAACTACATTTCGATTCCTCATAAGTCTGGCCATAAGAGAAAACTTAGATTTGCGGTTAATGGATGTTGTAACCGCATATCTTTATGGACCACTGGACAGTGAAATCTATATGAGATTACCAGATGGTATTGAGCTCAAAGATAAGCATGCATCTCGTGATAAACACTGCATTAGGCTGAACAAATCCTTATATGGACTGAAACAAAGCGGACGTATGTGGTATAACCGGTTAAGCGAATATCTCATCAGAGAAGGCTACGAAAACGATCCGATCAGTCCATGCATCTTCATCAGAAAATATCAAAACAAAGGATTTGTAATCATAGCAGTATACGTGGATGACTTGAACATCCTCGGAACATCTGGTGAAATCGCCCAAACAGTTGAATGCTTAAAAGCAGAGTTTGAAATGAAAGACCTAGGCAAAACTAAATTCTGTTTGGGATTACAACTTGAGTACGTCAATGACGGAATCCTTGTGCATCAATTGGCATACACTGAAAAGGTACTCAAGAGATTCAATATGGACCAGGCCCACCCATTGACCAGCCCAATGGTTGTGAGGAGCCTTGGATTGGATAGTGATCCATTCGGTCCAAAGAAGGATGATGAAGAAATCCTCGGTCCTGAAATGCCATACCTCAGTGCCATAGGAGCATTAATGTACTTGGCTAGTCACACTAGACCAGACATCTGCTTTGCCGTGAGCCTCTTAGCTCGCTTTAGTTCGTGTCCAACTCAAAGGCACTGAAACGGTATTAAGCACATCCTTAGATACCTTCAAGGTACTAAGGACTTGGGATTATTTTATTCTAACCATAACAAGGATGGTCTAGTTGGTTTTGCTGATGCAGGATATTTGTCAGATCCGCACTATGCCCGGTCTCAAACCGGTTATGTTTTCACGCATGGAGGAACAGCCATATCTTGGAGATCCATGAAGCAGACTATTGCCGCTACCTCATCCAACCATGCGGAAATCTTGGCCATTCACGAAGCTAGTAGAGAGTGTGTTTGGTTGCGGTCCATGACTCAGCATATCCGATCAGATTGTGGTATGGACAAAGATAAGGAGCCTACGGTGATGTATGAAGACAATGCAGCTTGTATCGCTCAACTCAAAGACGGCTACATCTAAGGTGACCGGACGAAGCATATTCTGCCCAAATTCTTCTTCACTCATGAGCTACAGAAGGATGGTCAGGTCAAGGTTCAGCAAGTCCGATCAAGCGAAAATTCAGCCGATCTATTCACTAAATCATTACCGACTTCTACACTCCGGAAGCTCATTCATCAGATAGGAATGTGTAGACTTAGAGATCTACAGTGATGCCTAAACCAGGGGGAGTAATGCGTGTTGTACTCTTTTTCCTTCACCATGGTTTTTCCCACTGAGTTTTCCTGGTAAGGTTTTAATGAGGCAACGTTCCCCAGCGCATTATAGAGATCCCGGTTTTGTGACAGGCACGGTTACCTTGTCCAAGGGGGAGTGTTATAAACAAATGAACTTCTAGTAACCGGCCCATTAACCATCAGGTTAATGTCTCATGGCCCATTAGGGTTTCTGATACATTAGTTATGTAATGTATATATACACTGCTTATGGAAATAATAAGATTAGAGTTTTTCCCTTAATAATTTTGGATTATTCGAACTTTTGTTGCACCGTACATTAGCTTTTATTCTAACCATTTGTTATCACTTGTTCAGTTTGTTCCAACCAATTGTACATTAGCCACATTTATTCCTAGAGCGTTCCTAATGTTTTAGAGGTAAACAAAGTATAATCGTAAAATTAACACTATAAAATCGTAATTTGATATAATTTAAGCTTAAGAAAAAAATTACACACCAAAAATTAACACATAAGATAGTGAGTAGTAATATCTTCAATCTGCAAAATATTTCAAATTAACCAAAAACATTTTTGTCCAAATTTATAAAAATATATCAACGAAACTGACCAAATATGAAGAACTTTACATGAAAAAGTATAATTTTAACAAATAAAATAAACAATATAAATTAAATAGTTATTGCACAAATAGTGAAATAGGGATAAGTATAAAAGTAAAAAATATATCAAAAGAATCAAACTAATTAAAAATCCATGCAATATGATAGGAATATGAAACGCTTACCAGTACTCAGTACTCACCACTACGTTAAATATCAAACTATATAATAAGGGCTCAAATGTTTTTTTAGAAAAGTATGAAATGTCTGCAAGTTGTTTCCATTTTTTCTAAGGTAGGCACGGCTGACGGCCCTGGTTACTTCCAGTGATCCACTTGTCTCCTTATAATCATCCAAATTTCCTCCTTCGGTTTTCTATTGTAAATCACAGAAATCTTATCGTCAAATTTACTTTCCATACATTTCTTATCTTGATTTTCAGCATTTCAAATTATGTAAAAACTAAAATATATAGGAAACTATAAGAAATGAATTTGAAACTAACACTCACAAAGAAGAATACGTACAGTTCCTTGCGTTTTTGGTGAAATGTTTTCCTCTTTTTTTGGTTCAATCTATATGCAACTATAAATGGCTAATTGAATCCAGGGCGTGCTAGCTCTCTGTGGCGTGCATGATGCAGAAGCCAAACCGGTATTGCTATGCTCGTGCAATGACAATTCCTTGCACCTCTATGACTTGCCATCGTAAGTCCTTCCAGTGTCGTTAGTTTCAAGAGTCTACAATTATGTTTCCATTTTCAAAAGTTTAATTAGTAGTTGTTGATATGCAAATATCGACAAGGGACTAAACAGTAATTTAGATTGGAAGTTCGGTTTTATTAGATCAAATCAAGCAAAATACAACTGAGTTCGGTTATTTCGATAGGTAATAACGAACTAAGACTTAATGCGACCAAGAAGCTATCGTAATGAGTTCTCAGTCTTTAAGTCTTCTCGGGAAATAACTTGTGTTCTCTGGTGTCGATTCGTCTCCCTTTATATATATATCTCCTAAGTCGGTCTTCAAGCCCGCCTTAGACGATATGGGACCGAGAGGAGTTTCCTTTTCTCTCGGTTCCTTTCCTTTTCTCTCCCAAGTTTCCTTTTTCCATTAGGAAACTTTCCTGTTTCGACCGAACTCATGGAAACTCTCTATTTCTTTGAGAGGTTTCTCACCGACCTCGGCCTGATGGGCCGTATTCGGCCCATCTTTGTTCGGCCCATCTTTTCTCGGTACGTCCCTTCGTAAACCAGACTTATGGTTTACCGATCTCGGTTTGTACCGGAGAAAACCGGGGTGCGGTTTTCACCTCCAACAGTTAGCCCCCCCTTCAGTTCGGTGAAAGGGGATGACTTTCAGTCGAACTCATTTCTTAGTTAATGGATCACGAACCGAGCTCGGCAACTGCCGTCGATTCGCATTCCCGGACGTTTCGCCCCTGTCTTCAATGAGGCGCGTGAATTACGGGATCCTTGCAAAAATCGAGGAACCCACGATTCCCACTGTGTATAAAAGGCAAACTTCTTCTCGCATTCATTATTCTCGCCTCAAGCATATATAAGGTACGCCGCTTTCCCTTCTCTCTAGATTTCATTTCTCTCTCTAGCTTTTGTTCTTTGTTTCCTCTCGTTTCTTCAACTCTCGCCGCCGCGAATCCTTGATTTTTCCGAGCTATCTTCGAGTTGTCCGTTCGATCTTCAAATTATCCGATCAATCTTCATTCTTTTCTGGTTGATCTTCATAATGTTCTTCATTTCTCCCAGATTCCCTTTAGATCTACTTTTCCGAACTCAAAGATGTCTTCCAGCTCTTCAATTAACTCTTCTTCTAACCAAATCCTTCCGGAAGATCGTCGCGAATCCTCAGAACCGAGCTCTTCCTCTTCAAACCCTCATCTACCGAACTCGTCTCAAGAAGAGAATAGCCCTCCACAGTTAGTCCGAAAAAACTCAAAATCGGTTGATGCCAATAGTAGCCGTTCTCGACCACGAGTCAAAGTGACCGGACAGCCAGAAGCTCGTGAGACAGATGCTCGTGCTGGGCCGAACATCGATGAGGAGATTGAGGAGATCGAAGGGGTCGAGGAGATTGAGGAAGGCAATGCCGAGGAAAACGTTACTGAAACAGGAGGTGCCGAAGACGATCTTGAGGCGGTAATTCATGCTTCACCACCTCTTCCGAGACGAAAAGTCGTTCGCCCCCACACCGTACCTTCTTCTTCCGTTTCTCCTGGCGCCGTTCGTGCCGTGCTTGAAGAAAATGGGCTTGAAGATAAAGTTGTCTTTATCATCCCGGAAGCTGGAGATCGGCCATGGGACGTCCCCGAGGGCTTTCTCTGCATCTATCTGACGTATTTTACGCAGTGCGGGCTCTCCTTCCCAATTCCTTCTCGCTTGATCGGCTACTGCAATCGTCGCGGCGTTGCTCTCTCGCAAGTGATGCCAGCTTCGATAACGAACTACGTAGGGTTCGTATCTCTTTGCGACGAGCTTGGCAGGGATCCAACTAGTCGGCTTTTTGAAGATCTCTTCTCGGTCAACATCCACAAATCGAAGGAGTGGTTCTTCGCTGCGAACGCCAAGCCGAAGAAGAATATTGTTACTGGACCGAAACCCAGTAAATTCAACGACTGGGAATCTCTCTACTTTTATCTAGAGATGAACGATCTCACCGTCAGCAACTCTGACATCCCAACTCAATCGGAGTGGAAGATTCCGATCGGTGAACTAGACGAGCTTATACTTTTACTAATTTTTGACCTCATATTTGACTAACTTTCTTTTGTTTCATCTTTCGCAGGTCGTCATCTCCCGAGCCTTATCCTCAACTCCGGACTCACCTCTGAGTTCGAAGAAGCCTTCAGTGAAGCTGGTAAGCGTCGTTGGCCTGAGGTTTGGGAAGAAATCCTTCAGCGCCGAGCTAAGAAAGCAGGTTTGTTTACTAAATTCCGTTTTTACTCAGTCTACTTCTTTATTTGCTTCGACTTCCTCCTTTTGACAGATTTTCATTGTAGGTTCTGTTCGCGAACCAAAACCGCGGAAACTAAAAACTCGAGCTAGCAAGCCTCGAGCCGCTCCTAAATGCAAAGCACCGAAGTCGCGAACTCAACGCACCCGAACTGCCAGGATGCTCTCAATAGACGAGATCCCAACTCTCTTCGACGAGGAGGAACCGAACGTGGCTGATCCGACTCCATTCCTTGCTACCGAACAGGCCAATGTACAGCCGGAGGAGTTGCCACCTGCTACGAACTCATCTGACCAGGTTGGTCAGAAGAAGACGAAGAAGAAGAAGTCTTCGAAGAAGACTAAGAAGACAGAGGATTCTCCTCGGGTGCAAGATGTACCCGCTGAGATCGATCCACCGGCGGCTGTGGCGTCGGACCTCGCTCTTTCTCAAGACCGAGCTGAAGCTTCGCACTCCCGCAAAAGGCAAACCAGAGACCATGTCGAGGGTTCTCCAGAGCACGGGCCGGCTAAGAGGGTCCGAGTTTGTTTTGACTACGATGAGGAGACTCCTTTCGAGGAGAACGTAGATGCCTGCGCCGAGCTTTATCACAAGATCTCCTCAGAGGTCCCAAGCCTTCCTTCGGTTCCCGAGCTCCAGTTTCCCAACATGTACAAGGGAATCGCTCACACGACTGCAGTGGTAATCTACTTACTTTTTTATAGATTTGGACATTTCTCCAAGTATGAGTTTTAATTATTTTTTCCTCTGTGCAGCTCGCCAGTCAGACCAATAACTTGGTCGCTGCATACGAAGTAGCCCTGTTCGACGAGCAAGTAAGGATCTCCGAGCTCGAGGAAAGGGTAGCCAAGGCGGAGGAGCGTCTCGCCACCGAGCTTCAAATTAACGAGACTCTGCACTCTTCGGTGGAGCTATTAAAACAGGAGAGCGCGGAGCTGAAGGCGGTGAAGGCCAAGCTGACTGAGGCTCAGAGCCTATTTTCCAGGGAATTCGAGAAAGACAAAGGGTGGTTGCAGGACCTGGTGGCACATTGGAGGGCTCGGGCTAGGAGCGTGCACGCAAAGGCTTGCGAGCGCCTAGAGAAGGTTATCCGAAGCTTGGATGACGCTGACCGAGCTCGTAAGCCGTACCTGGTCTACAACCAGCTCACTGGGGTCCTCGGTTTTATCAAGCAGCTCAAGAGGAAAGGCTTGTACATGGTTCCACCCGAGATGGTGGCGGACATTGAGGCGAAGCACACCAAGGCCCTGGAGGAGTTCCGTTCGGTCGACGCTTGCGTCCTTACTGAAGAGGATAAACGGATGTGTCCTTTTGCTGAGGAAGAAGATGCCCCGGCTGTGAACGCGACTCAAAGCGCTCAGGATCCGATGATTGGTGAGTAGTTCGGTTCTAACGAAGAGATGCTGAAGGTCGATCAAGCTGCCACCTCTAAGACTGCTTAGTTTTTCTCCTTTCTTCCTTTTAATCGAACTCGACTACCCTTGCATGGGTTCTTTTGTAATTTTTATTTCTTTCTGGGCCCTTGGTGGGCTTCTTTTGAACTCGTTTGCCTTTCAGGAGGCTTTTAAGTAGTAGATCGGCATCTAACTCGAATTTTAACTTTGTTTCGTCGGTAATGATTTGAGATTAGTGCTCAAGTACTAGATCGGTATATAAGAGATGATATTTGAACGTGGTTTTCATCTTTTGATAGCGAATTGCGATAATTCGGCTTACGTTTTGCGAGTGTTGTGAACTCGGCTTATGGTGCGAATCTGAGGAGTTCGGCTTATTGTGCGAGCATACGAGCTCGGCCTGGGGAACCCAAGTGAATCATTTCGTACTGGAAGAGTGAACTAGTTCGAACTCCTGTAAACGCACGAAACGAGTTCAAGGTTTTTCTAAGTCGAACCTAAGTATGCGAGATGTGCTCGGCTTATTGTTCTTGGTGACTTAGAAATTCAACTGCGGGACAGGGCCCAGCTTTTGATATGTGGCTTAACCACGACACCATGTGGGTGCTCGCGAGACGGATCTCGGCTTTTAAGTTTGCATTCATGTGGAATGCTATCGAAAAACTGGCCAGGAAGTCGATGTAAAGACAAGGAGTTTGGTCCCTTGTGATTTCCGAACTAAAACTTAGTCATATTTGACTTAATAAAATTTTATTGATGTTATAGCTCGACTCGGTAACGAGCTGCCTACGTACCCTTTAAAGGGATCAAGCCATTCGTAGTTCTAAGTACAAAAGGGGTTTTTGCTCCGACTAAGTAGTTCAGAGGCTTTTTTTTTTCTTTTTTTTTTTTTTTTGATCGAAGCTCGAAACGAACTAGTAGTAGTATCGTTTGAGATGCATTGAGTTCCAAGATCGCGGGATCGGAGTTCTATCTAACTTCATGAGTTGATAAACACAGGGCTTAACAACCTTCATAATCTGATATAGTCCTTCCCAGTTCGCGCCAAGTTTTCCTGCGTTCTTCTCTTCTGTGTTTTGATAGACTTTGCAAAGTACGAGATCGCCATCTTCAAAGTGACGGCCCTTAACTTTTTTGTTGTAGTAACGAGCTGCAAGTTGTTGGTAGTTCTGTATCCGGAGCAATGCTCGTTCGCGATGTTCTTCAACTAAGTCGAGTGCGTCGATCATCATGTTGTCATTCGCGTCGGGTTGCTGGGTAAGCATAGTTCGGCGAATACTTGGGACGTTGAGTTCGGCTGGACACATAGCTTCTGCGCCATATGCAAGGAAGAATGGTGATTGACCGGTTGAACGTCGTGGTGTAGTTCGGTGAGACCACAAGACGCCGTCAAGTTCGTCCGCCCAGGTTCCCTTAGCGGTATCGAGTCGTTTCTTTAGTCCATCAATGATGGTCTTGTTTGTGGCTTCGGCTTGTCCGTTTCCTTGCGGGTACCGCGGGGTAGAGAAACTTAGTCGGATTTTCCACTTGGCGCAAAAATCTTGGAAAATGATCGAAGTAAACTGGGTTCCGTTGTCCGTAACGATCTCTTACGGGACTCCGTGTCGGCAGATGATGAACTTCCAGACGAACTTCTTGACATCAATTCCATGGATCTCGGGGTATGCTTCGGCTTCGACCCATTTGGTGAAGTAATCCGTGACGACCAGAACATACTGCTTCTGGGTTGTAGATCGGCAAAAGGGACCGATGATGTCCATTGCCCAGCGCATGAAAGGATATGGTGCGGTCGAGGTCATCAGGAGCTCGGTAGGAAGATTGATCATCGGACCATGACGTTGGCATTTCTCGCAGCGTACCATATACTTCTCGCAATCAGAGAGCATAGTGAGCCAGTAATAGCCAGCTTTTTTGATCTTGAATGCCAAAGACCGAGCTCCGGAGTGATTGCCTCCTTCTCCTTCGTGAACCTTCTGCATTACTTCCATGATGTCGTTGCCGTGAACACAAGTCAAAAGTACCCCGGAAGCATCCCATCTGAGAAAAGTACCTTTAATGACCACATATCGAGCTGCGCGAGCCTTAAGGCGCCGATTCCGACTTGACGTTCTGGCCTTAGTTCGTCGATGCAAACTTGAACGATCGACTCCTGTTTAGGTTTTGTATTCTGGACGATGAGCTTGTCAGTCGGTCCTAACGAGCTAATAACACAGGCTTGGTTGGCCGAATGAAGTCTGCACTCGTTTATGTAGCACGATCGAGCAACGGCTTGGTTTCCTCGGAGAGTGTTAACACCGTCGGGAGTCGGGAACTTTAGGCATTGATGGTACGTCGAGGCGACTGCTTTCATTGCGTGTAGCCAAGGTGTTCCGAGAATAGCGTTGTAGATCGCCGGTTTATCGAGGATAAGGAACTGGATAATCTTTGCGACTCCACCGACGTAGATCGGAATATTGACCATGCCGACCGTCATACAACGTTCTCCATGGAATCCGGTAAGTGGTTCGATAAACGGTTCAATCCTATCTGATGCCAACTCGAGTTGGTCAAGTGCTTCCTTGAAGATAACGTTAACCGAGCTGCCCGTATCGACCAGAATGCGGCTAACTTCGACGTTGTCGAGGATCAGCTCGACAACGAGAGCGTCGTTATGTGGTTTATGCAGCCCGATTGTATCGGCCTCGGTAAATACCAAAGGCGTTCCCTTCGGCGGATCATGCGGGGCTTTGGGCGCGCTGGCGGCCTGTCTGATGTACTCTTTGATGGCTCGGACCGAATAACTGCAAGCTTCGATGGCCCCCATTATCATGTTGACGCGTTTCCGCGCCTTAGGAGCGTGATTCTCTGGTGCTCGGTCATCACGATTCCGTTTCTGTTGCTCGGGCAAAACAGGTGGATTCGGTGGTGGCGGTGGTAGTGTCGGTAAAACCGGTGGAGTTGGTGGATCTTTGGCGAGTGCTTTCTCAAGCTGTTCATTGTTTGGTCGAGGCATATGTGAACGACGGAGATCGTCAATTGAAAGTTGCCCGCCGCTCTTAGATGCGTTTGAGCGTCGGAGTTCGTCAACCGAGATCGGCTCCTTGCGATATAGGCCGAGTAGATATTCTCGCAGATGCCTGCATTCTTCGGTGCTGTGGCCCCTTCGGTTGTGGAATTCGCAGAATAATGACTCGTCTTGGTCTTCTTCACCGCGGACCCATTTATTGTTCCACTGCTTGTTCGGTTGTTGGATTGCGTTTGCGTAGAACTTCTTGCGATTCTCGTATCCTCGACCGTATCCTGACTACGGCTCATTAGTCGCGGCTTTTGGACGTTCGGGTTGCTTCGTTGAGTAACTTTGCTCGTACGCAGCTTCTTCTTCTTCTTCAGCAATGTAAGTATTAGCTCGGTGCAACGCATCTTCTAACGTCTGCGGAGGGTTATGCGTGATCGCGCTTCGGAAGCTAGTCTTTATCCGAGCTCCTTTCTGAAGACATAAGAGAGCAGCTTCGTCGCTAATCGTACAATTGGCGACGATCGTCTTGAAGCGCTGGATGAAGTCGCGAAGGCTCTCGCTTGGTCCTTGAGCTATTTGCCAGAGTTCGGAGTTCTTGGTGTTCTGTCCAATGAACATGGAGAAGTGTTTGACGAAAGCCGTTGTTAACTCCTTGTAGTTGTCAATCGAATTGGCTTCGAGCCGTGAGAACCAGTCGAGGGCTACTCCTCCCAGACTTTCCACAAACAGTTGGCACTGAACCGCGTCTCTTTCCTCGGCGGACCTGAATTGGTATCGGTTCATGCAGATGCCGAACGATGTCAAGAAGTGTCGGGGGTCAGAGTTGCCTTCATAGACTTTTATCTTTAGTTTCTCCATGTGTTTGACCGGCGTTCCTGCTACGCGCGATGTGAAGGGAGTCTTCTGTGTTTCCTGTATGACGCGCTCGATTTCCGGAGCCGCGCTTGTGGCTTGATGTATCTTTGAGGTGATATCGCGAAGCTGCGCCTTCATTGCTTCGAACTCGGCGTCTCGGCTTAAATCTGATGCTGGTGCGTTTGCTGACCCGGCTGCGGCTGACCTCATAGTTCCGGCTGGATCTCCGTCGGTATTGAGATCGTCAATGATGTTCCGAACTCGGAGAGGAGTTCGTGTTTGACTGAGTTCGGCGATTTGCGCCGCCATCTGACTAAAACGTTCCTCACTTCTTTTGTTGATGGCTTCGAATTGGGCATTAAATACTTGAAGTAGCAGTTCGGTTCCATAACCTCCTAGGGGAGTCTGGCCGGCTGCAGTTCCAGCATTTTCTCCAGAAGTTCCTCCTCCTTGCCCGGTTGGGGCGTTGGCATTCTCTCCTCCGAGACGATATGGGACCGAGAGGAGTTTCCTTTTCTCTCGGTTCCTTTCCTTTTCTCTCCCAAGTTTCCTTTTTCCATTAGGAAATTTCCTGTTTTGACCGAGTTCATGGAAACTCTCTATTTCTTCGAGAGGTTTCTCACCGACCTCGGCCTGATGAGCCGTATTCGGCCCATCTTTGTTCGGCCCATTTTTTTTCGGTACGTCCCTTCGTAAACCAGGCTTATGGTTTGCCGATCTCGGTTTGTACTGAAGAAAACCGGGGTGCGGTTTTCACCTCCAACAGTAGTTCTTCCTTCTTATGTAAGGTTTACGGAAAGTGGCAGAATTTTAGCAAAGCAAGAGATAAGGTCTATCCAGATAGGTCCAGGAGGCATATTCTTCACCGGTGACGGAACTGGTCAAGTTAAAGTATGGAAGTGGTGTACATAACCAACTGCCATTCAGTCTTGATGGTTTGTTATACAGACTGCTAAGATGGATTGAAGCATTGTTGAGACGTTTATAAATGTTTATGAATACAAGAGTTACTTAAGAATTGTGTATAAATGTTTGTCAATGAATTGTTGAAATTGAAATGACCGGTTGTTTAAGTTTTTCATTTCTTATAGTTGAATAATTGAATAATAGTGGGATAGTATTATAAACCCACATCATAATTTTTTACAAAATTAACATTAGTATATAGGAGGTTTAGGTCAAACCATTTATTGTCAATTAATTTTAAGTCTGTAACCTAAAAAATGTAATATGATTTCAGAGTTTTGTTTATTGATCAAAGTAGAATAGCCTAATAAAGTGTTTTTTTTTTATCATTTTAAAGTGAGATTATGTTTGAAATGTTCATTAAAATGCATCATCCAAAAATGAGTATTAAGATCTCACATCCGAAATTTAAAGAAACCTATATTACTAATACATATACTAATACAAAAAGAATACTAATACATAAAAGTCTTGGACAATAGATTCATTGTTATTTCATTTTAAATTTGAAACTCATCATCAATCTTGACATATTATTACTAGCATATGGGTGGTAGATCATATCATTTTGAAAATAATCAGGACTTATAAGAATTGAATAATGAAACAATTAAGTGGAATAATTACATGCACATGTGTGGTACTGTAGATCGTTTTAGAAAAACAATGAAAATCCAGCTTTGATAAGTAGTCGAAACTATAGACGTCGTACCATGAGATCACATGTATATCATTTTCTATTGATGAATCATTGTTTATAACACTCAAACATATAATCATACACTAACATTTTCTATGTTAACCGTAAATATAAATAATATTAATTCTGCCCACAACTTATCTCAAACAGAAGGACAAAATATAATTATTCGTGGTCTTGAATAATAAACATGTCTTTGCGATGAAAAAATATAACCACATTTGGAAGCGACTGACCAATTATTGCTAAATAATCTGAGATGATAGACGAGTTAATTTGAAGTTTTGGGGCCATATGTCGTATTAAATATAAGCCTTTATTCATAAAGTCTTGTGAGCGTAACGAGCATCCACGTCTCTGCGAATTCTTCTCTGTGTTAGGCCAAAGAAACAATACCAAAAATAAAATCAGTTCTCTTTTCATCATTTCTTTTTCTTTCAGTTTCCTCTTTTCAATTTTCTAAATTTTATAAGTGTGAACAGAGTTGATCCAAGATTATTACTATTAGGGAACAAAATCTGGGCAGTTCTATAGAGAAAAAATATTTTGGATCTTTTATTTAGAAGAGAATAAATCTAAAATCCTTTTGAATGCCTATATATTTTGAGAATCAGAACACAAAATAATGGATATAAATATAAGGGGCAAAGCATTCAGCTATCAGATTGGAATAATCCCTAAAATATATATAAATTCTCACAAATTTTCTCATTTTGATATATTTTGAAAAATTTGGATAGGTGAAGTATTTTTGTTTACATAGATTTTTTTTTTGCAAAGTTAATATGTTCTCAAACAGTTAATTTGAACTATACCTGCTATATATGCTAAATCTATATTCGAGATTTGTACATGATAAAGAGATTGTAAGATTAGATTTTCTATATAAACACTTACATTGATGAATTAGATTTGTATTGATTTGATCGAATATGTTAAAATAATTTGACTTCATGGTTTTAGAACCCATATCTAAGTTCTGAGTAAATTTTCACATTCTATAAAATGTCTAGAGCTATATGACATACAAAACAAGAAAACTATACACTATCGAGTGCTATCCAAAATTAGAAGAACTGAATCATGAATGATTGGGATGATTATATATGGGTGGTAGATTATATTAGTTTAAAAAACAATAAGGATGTCTAAAATCCGAGTAATGGAAAACTAAGCGAAAGAAAAAAAAGTGGAAAAATTACATGCATATGGGACCATGTGTGATATCACATCATTTTGAAAACACAAAGAAGATCCAGCTTTGAAAATGACTAGAGATTCTAAGCGCCTTGCCGTGAGACCATTTGTGAATAATTATTTTTTGGGTTCTCTGACAACATGTATATCATTTTAAATTTGATGTATCATTGAGTCAAACACTCAAACATAATCATGCACATATAAACATCATAATCACTTTCTCATCCATATCTACCTCTCTCAATATAGATATGAAATGTAACCATGCAAACGTAGCTTATTGAATTTTATCTAGGTTATTTTTAGCATTAAAAGGAATTATCACAAAGTGTTCCAGTTTTTATAAATATTCTATATAAAAAAGAGCTAATACATTGTTTAGTTTTTGGACATTTTATTTTGGAATACATATAACATTTAAACCTATATATATACATACATTTTATATATTAGACAAAAATTACTAAATTATTATTTAAAGAATCATTTAAAATAATGATTTTTTAAAAACTTATTACATATTATACCATTACAAATATGAAAAGGTTAATAAATAATAATTGTCTTTTAAAATTATTTAAAAACATAAATTATGTATTTTCCATTGAAAATGTTATTTACTATCTAGTTTATTAATTATTAAGATATTAAAATATTCTATTCTAAATAATAATTAATTATTTAATTTTAAATTATTTTTTAAAAAATTATTTATGTAGATTAAATCTTAGTATATAAATAAATATTAATTCTGTAGACAATAACCGTACTGTGAGATCATTTATATATATATTTTTCTTCTGTAGGATCCACATTAGAATAAGCCAATAGCTAAATCTCAAGTAATAATTAACAATTGTTATTTAATCGGATCTTCTGAATAATTTTGTTTTTGTCGTCTCTCCTGAATAAAATTATGGTTAGTTGAAGTTCTCACGTAGCCTCATCACCTAATTTTATCCCCATAAAAAAACCCTTACATGATTGGGGGGAAAAATGTTTTCGTAGGGGTATTTGGCCATCGTTAAATCTCAAGTGATTTACGAAATAATTTGAAGTTATGGAGCCATGTAGTAAGTTGTATTGAATAAAAGCACTTATTTGTAAAAACACGAATATGTTTCTAATTACTGAGCATATATGAGAGCATCTCTACTGGGTACTATCTTAAAAAAATGAGGTTCTTTCAAATGAAGAAAACGATAAATTAGGATTCTATCTAATTGTTTGATTCATTTTTTTTTCTTCAAAAGTAATATTTCATTTATATTGATCTTTATTTTACTACTAGTTTTTTTATCAATACCTTTATAAAATTAAACTTTACAAATTTAAACATAATTAGTTTATTTTTAGCAATTATTCACAGAATCAAAATTTTATCGAATAAACATTTGTTTTATATATTATATAAGTGATACAAAATTTTATTGTTGGCTATGTTATTGTAAATTTTTGTTGATAAAGGTAATCAATTGAAAATGCATTCTAACTATTACGAAAGCTAGGATCTTTTGAGTTTTACAGTTGGTAAAATAAGTTTAGAGAACAATACGCATACACTTAGTCTACCTGCAATAACACTCAAAGAATCACCTGCGGAAGCACTAAAAAAACCACACAATAAGCTAATATTTTTGTGTTCCTATTTAATAAATGTTAAATTGCATTTTAATTCATAAAGTGATAGGAGAAATAAAAACACATAATTTTAAACTAATTACATAAAAGAAAAACACATAATTTTGTTTGGATATGAAAAAACATATCATAAATAAAAGTTCATCTTCAAAATATGAAATAATGAATAGTTTCCTTCAAAGTTATAAGTAACATTATTCATTGGATGGGCTAACGGCAATCGTCTCCGCCAGTTTTTCTGTGCGTTATGAGGCCATGTTGAATAAATCACGTTGTTCGTGTATGTGCTTTGTCAAAGTGAAGCTCTAGTTCTTTTCACAAAGCTAAGGAAATTGTGTGATGTCTAACTTCTTCTAGCCCATTGAAGAAGATATGCATATATGGGCCTAGACGAATTTTCTAGCCTTCAAATTTTCTAATGGCGGGTTAAATTATTTTATAGTTATATGATAATCTAGTCACTACCGTTATTTCTTCTAAGATATATTATGGGCAGTCATTCACTCTATTACTTACAATGAGAGAAACCGATTTTATCGTTGGTCTGTTCAACAGTTCATTTTCAATATTTATGATTTATTAGTTTTGTATGTTTTTCTTTTATATATCGTCACCTTTGTTTGGGTTTAATTACGTTTTGGACTTTTTGTCTTTGAAGATTTCGTTGTATTTTTTTTTTTCTTGCCGGCGAATATTTCGTTGTATTCTGTCGGTTTTCGTACTTTTTAAACAATTAAATAAAAAATAATTATGGGCTTATGTGACTATGTCACATCACATGTGTCACACATACACATGTTTTTCGATATGTTAATTCATATAACACACAATTATGTCCATCGGAACTCGAACGAATCTTTATGTATTGGTGATTTTTTTTTTTTTTTTGTATATCTAAAAAACTAAAAAAAGAGAATATTATTTTTACGGAAGTAATATTTAAAAAAAATAATAAGAAAATATTTCTCTACTAACTTACGCCTAAAAAATTTCCACTTACGCGTATCTCAAGAATCAAGATCTCATTTTCTCCTTGTTCATCTCTCGTCATCATCGGCTGCCAAATTTTGTTCTCTTAATTCTTGCTCAGTGAACAGATTTCCGAACTTTCTACCACTTTCGGATCCCTCTTAATGCAAAGTTAGGTTTTTATTTTGTTTATTATATTGCTTGGATCCTAAGCAAAAACAGAAGAAATGAAGAAACCCAAATCGTCGAAAGTGGAAAAAATCGACAAGCTTGATCTGTTCTCCTCACTATGGAAGCAGAGATCGGTTCGTGTAATAATGGCAATTGGGTTTCTCTATCTGCTAATTGTCTCAGTAGAGATACCACTCGTATTCAAATCCTGGTCGAGCAGCTCCGTTTCCATTGATTCTCTTTCCCGGCTCGACACCGAGCAAGAGCCCGAAGTCGAGAAAATCCCTAATCCACCATCGAAGACAGTTTCTTACGACCCGACCATAAACCGGACGGACCAGAACAAGGTCCGTGAACATCACCGAGGTCTTCTCTCAAGCTTGAGATTTGATTCGGAAACTTTCGACCCGAGTAGTAAAGACGGGTCAGTGGAGCTTCACAAGTCAGCTAAAGAAGCTTGGCAGTTAGGTCGCAAGCTGTGGAAGGAGCTTGAATCAGGAAGGCTTGAGAAGTCAGTGGAGAAGCCTGAGAAGAACAAATCAGATTCGTGTCCACACTCGGTTTCCTTAACCGGGTCAGAATTTATGAGCCGGGAGAACAAATTGATGGAGCTGCCGTGTGGTCTGACATTGGGCTCGCACATAACCTTGGTAGGGAGGCCGAGGAAAAGTTATCCCAAGGAAGGAGATGGTTTCAAGTTGGTGTCTCAGTTTGTGATAGAGCTTCAAGGTTTGAATTCTGTTGAAGGAGAGGATCCTCCTCGGATCTTGCATTTCAATCCGAGGCTAAAGGGAGATTGGAGCCGGAAACCGGTGATTGAGCAGAACACTTGTTATAGAATGCAATGGGGATCTTCACAACGGTGTGAAGGATGGAGGTCAAGAGCTGATGAAGAGACTGGTGAGCTTTATTCTTTGCTATCTGATTTCGAGGTTAAATGTTAGCTAAAGTCACCTTTTTTATAATCGTTTTTGTGGTCCATTTGCTAGCTAACAAATTAGTTGCAAACCTTGTGCTTCAATTTTAGCCTTGACCACCAAGTGGAGTAATTAATACTTTAGTGTGGTTGCAGTTGATAGTCATGTTAAGTGTGAGAAGTGGATCCGTGATGATGATAACTACTCAGAAGGATCGAGGGCAAGATGGTGGTTGAATCGACTAATAGGACGGAGAAAAAGGGTCAAAGTAGAATGGCCGTTTCCTTTTGTAGAAGAGAAGCTGTTTGTTCTCACTCTTAGCGCTGGTTTAGAAGGTTACCATATCAATGTTGATGGACAGCATGTTACATCTTTCCCTTACCGCACTGTGAGTATATATATCATACTCCATTCTTACATGATTGTGTTTAGATTAATGGCAATGAGTTGGTTGGTCTGTTTTGTTAATTTTTTTTTTTTTGTTTGTTTGCCATTTTTTGTTATATGTTAAAAGGGTTTCACACTCGAGGATGCAACAGGGCTAACCGTTAATGGAGACATTGATGTCCATTCTGTTTTTGTTGCCTCTCTGCCAACATCACATCCAAGCTTTGCTCCCCAAAGGCATCTCGAGTTGTCAAGGAGATGGCAGGCCCCTTTAGTTCCTGATGGGCCTGTGGAGCTCTTTATCGGCATTCTTTCCGCAGGCAATCATTTCGCTGAGCGGATGGCCGTGAGGAAGTCCTGGATGCAGCATGTTCTTATTACATCTTCAAAAGTTGTTGCTCGTTTCTTTGTGGCACTCGTAAGTTGGATTTAACATTGTTCATCAAGTACAAGTCATGAAGGCTTAATAGTAAGGAAGCCGGGACATAATTCTTATTTTATTGTTTCCGTGATGTGCATTTCACAGCATGGGAGGAAGGAGGTGAATGTGGAATTGAAGAAAGAAGCAGAGTATTTTGGAGACATTGTACTTGTTCCTTACATGGATAGCTATGATCTTGTCGTACTGAAAACTGTTGCCATATGTGAACACGGAGTGAGTTATCAGATCTTATAGGAGATGCTTCCACGTAATCGTTCATGAGTAAGTGCTTCTGAGGAGTTGATTGTTGAACAAATTACTCTGATTGCCGCAGGCTCTTGCATTCTCTGCAAAGTACATAATGAAGTGTGATGATGATACATTTGTAAAACTTGGCGCGGTAATCAATGAAGTGAAAAAAGTACCCGAAGGTAGAAGCTTGTACATTGGTAACATGAATTACTACCACAAACCTCTCCGTGGGGGTAAATGGGCAGTCACATACGAGGTATACATTTTTCTGCATCACACTCCATCTCTGTATGTTTCATGATGCATGAATTAGTTCAATGGTTTTGAGTGTTTGTTTATAAATTCTTCTTCGGTGCGTCAGTTCTATGGATACATCATCACTGATACATGTTTGTTTTGCGGATATATCAGGAATGGCCAGAGGAGGACTATCCGCCCTATGCAAATGGACCCGGATATGTTTTATCTGCTGACATTGCACGCTTCATCGTGGAAGAGTTTGAGAGACACAAACTACGGGTAAGCAGAAGAGAGAATTATAACCTATTGTATCACATCTCTTTTTTTCACTTGTCATTCTCACTGTCTCCAATTTTTGTTGATTCACATACACCAGCTGTTCAAGATGGAGGACGTTAGTGTGGGAATGTGGGTGGAGCAATTCAAAAACACATCAAACCCAGTGGATTACAGACACAGTCTGAGATTTTGTCAGTTTGGTTGTGTTGAGAACTACTACACAGCTCATTACCAGTCGCCAAGACAGATGATATGTTTATGGGACAAGCTCTTAAGACAGAACAAGCCAGAGTGTTGTAACATGAGATGATTATTGAGGGAAACAGTTACGTTTGCTGATATATATAACATGCTTTCAAGCGTGCTGTAGAACGCCTAGACAGATTAAGGAACCAATTTTGCAAGCTCACCAAAGAGAGACTCTTGACTTCCGTTCGATTGGTCTGCGAGCTTCAAGCCTTCTAATCTGTAGAAGAAATGGAGAAGAGTAGGGAAGAAGGCATATAGTCTTACTGTATGAATTAATTAATTTATTTTCATATGTATAAAACCCATCTCTTAATCTAAATGGAATTTTGTTCTTTCTTTGTCTTTCCACTTTCACAACAATATTGGCTGAGAGCAAGAAACAGTGGCCTTTATAAGGATTCTCCATGGCTACACATGCTAGAATCAAAGAGAGTGAAAATGTTCCTTTTGGTTAACTTAGTACAAAGTTAGAAAAAAGTTAATTGTACACTTACTCAGAGATGACATTCAACAGTAAAAACATAATCTACGTACCTCTCAAAACAGTTGATGTACAATTTAGAATATATCCATGAATTTGTTAATATTTCTAACTACTTTTCCAATTCTTTTTGTGAAGTTTGAAAATTTTACCTCAATCTGTCTCATTCATCATACATGTATCCTCTCAAAACATCCTGAAGATACAATTCAATAACAAAACTCACGAATCTTCTTAAACACAAACAAGGGACAACTTTTGGAAACTTTCATCCTATGAAAAAGATTAAACCTTTTCAACATTGTACATTTACACTAACAAAACCAGCAGAATCAGAGATAGAGACACCAATAAAACCACCGAGCTTCCATGGAAACCATTCATATGCCTATAACAAGAAGACGCTGAAGAAGAAGGAGAACTCGAGGGACTGGGGTTTCTTCTAGCCGCCGTGGTATTCTCCTTGGAGCAAGTCAAGTTGCAACGGCTTGGCCTAACCACTCTATAGACACCATTGCTTGTGAGCAAGTAGATGTCTTTGTTGTTATCCTCCCCAAAGGAGAAGATATAGCCTAGAGTTAAACCTGTAGATCCCGGAGAATCGCTGCATTTCATTGGTGAGTCACCAGCACAGCTAAAGGTTGTTCTGTTGCTCACAAAGTTACCGCTATTAGCGGGCGTCTCAATCCCTGCCCACACTCCATTTCCATATAGATCAGCATACAAGTACCTGCAAAAGAACATTTCAGTTGCAATGTGTTTTGTTTGACAGCAACAGAGCAAAGAGAGTGTGTTGGCTCACATTCCAGCTATGCAAGGATCAGTCTCTGATCTATAAAAGTATCCTCCAGTGATTGAAGCTGATTTTCCGCTTGAGTCAACTTCGGAGTGATTGTAACCCATCACAGGAAATATCGAGTTTACGGATTTAGCAGATGTCTTTCCTCCAGGGGATGACTCGGGATGGAAAAGATCCGGGCCTTCGTAAACACGCCAACCGTAGTTTCCTCCTTTGGTAATGAGATCAACCTCTTCATATGTGTCCTATTAACCGCAAAACCACATCAAGAACAGCAAAAGCCAGCAAACAAACTCATTGTCAAAGCGAGCCATTACCTGTCCAACATCAGCACACATGAAGTAGGAAGGCCTAGAAGAATCAAAGCTGCATCTCCAAGGGTTCCTCAATCCAACAGCCCATATTTCTGGTTCAAGCTCTTTGTCTTCACGGAAAGGGTTGTCTTTTGGTATAGAGTAGTTCCCCCAAAGACCCATTTTGGAAATCTCAGAAGCACCTTAAGACATTTGTAAATCTTGGTAAATGATATACTGTTGTGTTACAAAGAGAAACCATGCAATAAATCTTAAAGTATACCCACTAGGAATGTTATCTACATCAAGCCTCATGATCTTTCCAAGCAAAGACTTCTTGTTCTGTGCGAAATTATACGGGTCTGCGCCTCCACCTCCATCTCCCATCATAAAGTATAGGTACCCATCTGAAGGACCAAAGAGAATCTGTCCAGCATGGTGAGATGTGAAGGGAAGTCCCATTGTGAAAATCCTCCGGACTTCAGTCGGCTTAGCGTTCTTTGCCTGAACAATGAGAAGAAAAAGGCTTAAAGGCTCTACGAAAAGCAACAAAAGATTAAGATGCTGAAAAGGGTCCAGAAGAGTACACACCTTAGAAGGGTCTGAGGAAGTTCCATTGGTTGTATACTCAGCTATTACAGTTTGGAATTGGCATGGTTGAGAACCACTGTCAGGAGTTAGTTTAGAAGGATCACAGTTCACATCGGAGTTGCACGAGCATCTTCCAGTACAGCCTGGCCACTTGGACTTATCACAGTTGAAAGAAGCGAAAAAGCGCCCATTTTGAGCAAACTTTGGATGAAAAGCCATACCCATCATCCCAAACTCTGTATCAAAATGAACTTCATCAGTCAAATCTACAAACGGGCTAGATGGATCCACATCCAGTACCCCGCCCGAATCCTGATCCGGTAGACCAGCCAAGAACACTATTCCAGGTTGTGTAGAGAAGAATGCACGGTTCGAGCCATCAGGGTGAGGAACCATGTTGAGGTAAGAGCCGTTGCCGATTTTCTCAAGGCAAAGACCAGGAGGCGGTTTGTCAGGAGTAGTGTCATTGAGAGTAACTGGCTCACCGCTAAAGCAAACAGTTTCATTGGAGCTAGCTCCACCAAAGGAGCTGCAGAAATCGGTTTTGGACTGCCATAGATCAGCGAGCTTAGAGGCATTGTTGTTAGCTGGCGCTCCGACTCGGCCTTGCAACGAGGCAGCGAAAAGAGAACCCGATATGGATACGTTTTGGCATGTCTCCCATGTCTCAGAGCAAAAGTCCTTTGTGGAATTTGCTGAACTGGTTGAGTTGCAGAGGATTGGAACAGACTGCTGATCTGAATTATCTCTGAATAAGTCCGATGAAAAAGGATCGCATTTCTGTGACATCAGACAAGGTAAAACTTAAAACAAAGTTTCCTCTTTTGCAGATTCTTTTCAAACTAAAACATCACAATTTGGTTTCAATTCAGATTGTACTTACAGCACAGAGGATTGACTTTACAATAGAAGCACAACCCTTGTCCGAAATGTTCATAGCTTGAAATTGTTTATTCAAATTGGAATCTTCCATTGTATCGCAGCATGTTTTTCCTTTGTAAGGGCAAAAGCTCAATGTTGAATTCACCTCCAAGGGAGCTCCTGAAAACACAAAAAAAAAAAAAATGACCATTGAATCAATCTACAATACAAGAACTAAGATCAAGTCCATAAGCGGATTAGAAAAAGAAACTCACTTGAATCGGAACATAGAGGAAGAGCCCATGAAGAAAGAGCGAAGCATGAAAGGAACAAGAAGAAGAACACAAGAGATCGATGAAGCGTCATCGTGTCTCAGAAGAGACAAATCTTGGGGATAATGGATAATGACAGTAGAAAAGAAAAGAATAAAGAAGCCTCTGTTTTATACTGCATCTGATCTCAGGACAGGACAAGAGATGAGCAAATAATAATAAAATTAGTTTGTTTGACTCTACAGACAGAATAAATGCAGTTGCGATGGCGTTTACTGTCTTCCCATGACTACCAACAACCATATCCCCAGAAATCTCTCATCTGTTATCAATTATTGAATATCATCATGTTTGAACTTTCAACTGTCTCGTGTCAAAGAAAGAGAGGACGATGTACAAAGTTTCCGTCTTTTTTTCTTTTATTTTGCTTTGCTAGCTTCTTTTTTTCAACTCTTCTCTCGTTCACGGACTTATCTTCTTTAGATTTTGAAAGTCAAGTTAGTTGACTTTTTGCATCTGGGTTTTGGATTTCTAGGAACTTATTATAGGGTTCGAAAAAGTAGGTTTGAAGTTAATCAAAAGGTGACAAAGAATACGACTTTTTTTATACTAATAAGATAACTCTTAGATTATGTGGAAATTGTCAAAAAGTATAACTGGAAACGCAATGAATAGGTACTGGTGAATGGTGATTGGTGATTGGTTTGTGATGAGTCTGCACCAATAAAAGGGACTTGATGGCCCGCAGTTATTATTGAAATGCATAATTATCAATTAAAGAATTTCAACATCTATTATCTGAGAAGATGTGTCTATAGTATACAGTTCATAAATCAAAACTCACATTTGGTAGAAGGAACTCCAGAAAAGAAAAGAGAGACAAGATATCAGCCTTCTGTCTTTCCATTTATCTAAACACAGACAATTGATATAAACATAAGTTACAGAACAACTTATAGGTATATATAATTGTTGTACACTTGTACCTATGCCTCTGGGAATCATAAACTACCATCGATGTGGCAAGAGAAGCGGTATTCGTTTTCCTATGTTTCATATTCACAAGAACTCTTATCGACGATGCTGCCTCTTCACATGGATCTGCCGATAGAGCGTCTTTGTCCGAAAGAACAACACAATGGCGACAAGAAACCCAAAGAATGCAACAGAAGCCATTATAACAAAAGATAGCCTGAAGCAATGAGAGCCATAACATGTGTTTCCTTCTCCAGAAGCAGTCTTGTCATATATATAACCGATCAATCTTACAGAGAAGATATAGGAACCGATGGGACTAGCCACTGATATGGTGTTGAAAATGGTTCCCATGTGTCGAACCCCGAATAGTTCAGAGGTGATTGTAGGCATCAGTGACCATTGTGAACCATAACAAACGCCAACTATAACAGAACCGACATAGAGGTTTCCTTGAAAACCAGAGGCTATGATTAGATGGCCTATGGTCATTGTTCCAAGTGTTGCAGCCATTAGCAATGGACGAGGCCAACCTTTTTTGTGTAGCAATGCATCTGAGGCATAACCGGCTCCAAATCTACCAAGGAAGTTCCATATACTCCACAAGGAGACCAATGAATTTATCTCAACGGAGGAGTATCTAAGAGACTCACCTATTTGTCGGATGTTGTTTATCGTCGAAAGTCCGGAGCCCATTCCACATATCATAGCAAGAAACAACAACCAGAAGCTTAGTTTTTTCATAGCTTGCAGAAGATTCAGGTTCTCACTCAGACCAGGTTCTATTTGACTGCCGCCTTCAGAACTTTGGTTAACGGAGGTTGTTGCTTTTGGACTGCTTATGAGAGGGGATTTATCAGGTAATGCCGGTTTTTCCATGCGGTCTCGATGTGCTCTTCTCGCAATAAGTAGAGGCAAGCCAAGCAGAACAAATAAAAATACAAGTGTGACAACATTGGCCCATGATGACAAACCAAAAGTGTTCTTCAGAATGATAACGATCATAAGATAAGCTGCAATGATAAGAGATACAGCTGAAAGGCCATTTAAATGTTTTTTATCATCGGCTGTGCTTGTCTCATAGATCCTGACTAGAGGCATGACCAAAAGGGAGAGAAGTGTTGGTGTTATTGCCAGTAGAAGAATGAAGCTAGCTGGATCTCCTGCGCAAACTGTCTCATACAGTTGAATTAGTATCGCTCCGCTAAGACCAAGAAAACCCTGTCAAGAAAGAAGGCGAGATAAGCTTAGTTCTTTCGCTACGATCAAACAAACCAAAACACCGTATCAACAGAGCAAAAACATCTTGAAAACAGATTGACCAGTTTGCGCAAGACCACGATGTACTCTTTGGAAATGCATCATATTACCCACTGCAATTCAATCATAACCAGAAATTAAATTTCAGAGATAAGAATAATACCAACAGTTTCTATGGCTTTTTGAAAATAGAGTCCATCCAAGACATAAACTTAATTATGATGAATTAATCAACTAGAAACACAACCCACAATTCTGGAAACCTCTGTCAAGATCTAAGATTACAACCAAGATGGAATCAACAAAAACATCATCTACATCTCAAAAAGCTTCCAGCTTTAATAAGTTAGCTCCCAAAGCCACTATATTATTTGAATCCATATTCCAAACTTGAAACCATGAGTCACAATCTCAAGCGTGATCCAGCAACACAGACCCATTCTAGACAGCGAGAAATTGAAAGGGTATAGTAGAATCTCACCTTCATGATTCCAACGGCGGTTCCACCATAGTCGGCGAAATTCTCAACGGCACTAACGACGTTGGCCGTATTGAAGTACGTTTGCGATTGCGCCGCTAAGAACATAAAGAAGCACATCAGCGTCACCGGCGGCTTCCCGATCATCCCAGTGACGGAAGCCCAAATGAGAAAATAACCGGCGAAGCACTGAATTGCCCCAATAGCGAGCACGACCCAAGGCCCTCCCGCGCCTCCGCCTCCCTGAACGCGGCGGCGATTAGAAGTAGCATATGTATATAGAAGCCCAGATAAAACGCCGGCGTTTGCGCCGATGTCCTTGAAGACGGAGATAGTGTCGAGTGTGGATTGATCATACAATTGGGAGGATTTAAGAACAGCGGAATAGATGCTGAAGGTGTAGGAAGCGCCGCTTGTGCATTGTATCCAGATACTAGCCGCCATGGCCACCCATTTCGTCCTCAGAATATCCATCGCCGCCAGTTACTCACCACCTCTCTCGCCGGAAAAAGAGAAGGTCAACTCCAATCCTTTTCCCTCCTAGAGAAGACGAAGCGAACACGATCACGAAAATATATTTACAGTATTCGCAAATAAATTACTTTGGACTCCAGACAAATCCTTTTTCTTAATGGGCTGAAAAAATTGAGTTAGGCCCATCTACTTTAGAAGGCGCGGTCTTTTTGTTCTGCGAGTCCAATAAACTGGAGATAGTTGGAGAGCCACGTGGAGTTAACATGAAGAGCAGAGCACACGACAGCCACGAGACGGCGCGTGGAGGAGTAAAGACGGAACGGGGCGTTAATAACGGAATAAACTAACGGAGTCAAGACTGACCGGTCAAGGGATGGAGAGACAACTGTACGGCCGGCAATAGTCATGCCATTTTTTTTTGCATAACGTATGTTTAAATCGAACTATCGTTTTAAAAATCACGAGGCTGACTCGACCAATCACCCGCAAATCACGAATTTCTTTTTAATGTTCTTCTAAACATTTAACAATTCTCATATGAAAATACCAAATCTGATACTATAATATGATCTATATGTCGGATCACGCATTTGTTAAACATCTAATTAATGTTTACTGTACTTATATATCATAATCAACGACGTTGGAGAAATAAACTAATGTTGAACAACAGTTGACAAACAAAAAGTTTATTATTTCTTCTTTTTTTACTGATGAAAATTAGTGTTGAAGAATCGTAAATGATACCTCCGTTCGTGTTAAATAATTAAAGGTTTGGCCATTGAAGACATTCTGAAATAAAATACTTCATCTGTTCTTTCATAAATAATGTTTTAGGTATGTTCTAAGTCTTATTTATACTTTTACACAATTTTCGACTTTTTTTTTTTTTTTTTTTGACTTCTCATGCATGCGTGGGAGAAAAAAGCAATACTCAAAAATACCGAAAGAAATGAGCAAGTAATGTTAACAAATAAAAAGAGACAAAACAAATAGAGTAATGTTTTAATCCCGCCAGAAGTATGATATAAGCTTTGTTGGTTTTCAGCTGCAACGTCTCGGTCACTTCCAATATAATAAAGGATTAATTTGATTAATTAAACCATAAACCCCCCCCAAGTTGATTAAAAAACTCTGGCTAGCTTCAGCAGAGAGAGAGAGAGAGAGAGAGAGAGAGTGACGACGACGAAGACGATGATCAATGCCTTACAAAACCTTCTCAACTCGTCAACTCGTTTCCTTCTTTCCCTTTTTTCTCCTTCACTCCCTCGTTTATTCACGGTGGTTGTTGCGGGTAGATGGGAGGCGGAGATCTTCATCGACTTCCGCCGGAAAATGCGTCGACTTCTTCTGCTTCCGTCGGAGATACCAAGCTCTCGGATGCTCCTGTTCTGTTTTTCGTTTACTTCCACAAGGCTTTCCGTGCCCAGCTCGTGGAGCTCCGGCGTTTCGCTACCGACGCCGCAGCTGCCGGCTCCTTTAGCCGGGATCTGGCCAGGGAGTTATGCCGGAAGTTTGAGTTCTTGAAGCTTGTTTACAAGTATCATTCCGCAGCCGAAGATGAGGTTTATATTCTATCATTTTGAAGCTTCTTTATTCTAGATGTTACTTTACTACTGTATGGTAATTTCGATAAGAGTTTGTTTCTTGTTGATGATGTTGATTTGATTACCCAGGCCTCATATGTCACTTCTCTCTATGTTTACAAATACATCTTTTCGTTGCTTGTAGCTAATTCAACTAGAGGAGATCTTTTTTATTTTATTCAAATGCTTTGTCTTTCAATAAATTGTCAAAAGAAACATGTGAAAAGAGTTGCGGATGAGTGATGTCGTATGGATAATATTGTTGAAGAAGATTAGTACATTGATGTTAGCCAAAATGAAAAGAAAAAAAAATTGCATTTTGGTGCTAAATGATGCCCATTTGTATACACAAGAGCTTTAAGTAGTCATCAACCCATATAATCTTGGTGACTACTTAAGCTTTCGATGTCCTCTGTTTTTGGCTTATCTACATACTTGCCTCTTTATTTCCTCTGTTTTTAGGTAGACTCTGGTTTCTACGTTAAAAACCTTGTCCAAGTTTCGTTTGTTGTAAATTCTTAAAGTTTGATGATTGACAGTGAACTGAAATGATTTTTCTACTGGCAGGTTATCTTTTTGGCGCTCGATGCACGTGTGAAGAACATTGTTTCTAATTATTCGCTCGAGCATGCTGGCACGGATGATCTCTTCACTTCTGTTTTCCATTGGCTAAATATTATTGAAGAGGAATTGGGTAGCATAAATGATGTACTTCGTGAAGTTATATTATGCATCGGCACCATTCAATCATCCATATGCCAGCATATGCTTAAAGAAGAGCGGCAGGTATATATATATATATATATATTGTTGCTTCCCATAACTGATTAGTCTTTGAAGTGCGAATCAGATACTTTCGTGTCTTCTAGTTAAGATCTTAACATATTTTGCTTATGGTGTGCATATGCTTCATGCAGGTCTTTCCTTTGTTAATTGAGAAGTTCACTTTCCGAGAACAGGCATCACTTGTGTGGCAATTCATTTGCAGTGTTCCAGTGATGGTGCTTGAAGACTTTCTGCCATGGATGATGTCTTATCTCTCTCACGAGGATAGAACTGAAGTTGAGAATTGCATAAAAGATGTTGTCCCAAACGAAGACTCATTGCAACAGGTATACATCTTTAGCTGAGATTAATTATATGTTTTCTATCGTCTTTGTAATTCTGATAAGAGAAAAGACTTTATCAAGGTCATAAGCTCTTGGCTCCTTGAGGACACTCAATCTACAAAAGTCATGAAAGGAGTCCAGTATGAAGATGAAGAGTCTAGGACACATCCATCCAGTGGATGTTTTCAACGGTTTTGGCAATGGAGTAAAAAGTCCCTTTCTATTCCAGACGTAGGACACAACCCGATTCATGGTCTTAATCTTTTTCAAAATGCAATTGAGAAAGATTTGAGAGACATTCAAAAAGGACTATGCCAAGCAAAATTCCCAAGCCTTCTTTTGGACCTTGATGTACTGATGGCTCGGTTAAACTTTCTTGCTGATGTTCTTGTTTCTTATAGGTAATAATTTGTTGGATAACTTGATTTTATTTTCTCTTCGTGTATGGTGCCTAGCTAGTCTCTTCAAACATGTCTTGTTTTTTTTGTTGCAGCAATGCATTTAAGAAGTTCTTTCACCCGGTGTTAGAAGAAATCATAGATGGCTGCTCTTCAACTCCCAAACAGTTCACCATAGATGGCTATCTCGAGAGTTTTCAGAGATTGCTATACAAGAGTGCTGATGATAAACCGAGGACGGACAATTTTCTATTGATGCTTCAAGAGGAACTTGAGTCCCTTATAGTCCAAGTAGCAAACCATTTTTCCGTACAGAGAACAGAGGTAAACTTCATGATACTATTACAAACAGTTTCAGTTGAAAGAGAACTCTAAAACTTAATAGAAGCTTTTCAAGGACTAACTAATTTATGTTTCTCTTTAGTTTCAATTTGCCTTGACTGCATATAAGATCCAATTTTTTTGACTCACTCTTCTCTTCCAGGTGTTCCCAATCATCAGCAAGAATTGCAACCATGAAATGCAGAGGCAGCTACTATACACAAGCATACATGTCTTACCTCTTGGCTTGCTAAAGTGTGTCATACTCTGGTTTTCTGCTCATCTATCAGAAGAGGAATCTCAATCCATTCTTCATTTCTTAACTTTGGAAGATTCTTCTTCCAACAAATCATTTGCACGCCTCTTGTTGCAGTGGCTTCGCTTTGGCTACTCAGGCAAAACCTCTGTTGAAAGCTTTTGGAAACAGCTGTCCGTAATGTTCAAAATAAGATGCTTCTGCCAAAAGGAGCACACTGAAGAAGCATCTGGATCCTTTTCCCATCAAGCACAGCTCCAACCATGCAAAGGGTCTAGACTTAATTTGCTTGTATGTCCTGGCAAAAGAAACAAGTCTTCAACCTGCTTCCTCTCTATGGATCCGGCTGCTGGAGACATGTGTGAGACACCTTACTCTAGTCGAATGAATCAGCAAATGCTTTTCTCAGGAAAGCTTAGGCCTCCTCTCCATCTTCCAAAATTTTTTGGTGAGAAAAATGTGGATGATCCATTCACTATGGACGTAAAACCAATTGATCTCCTTTTCTTCTTTCATAAGGCAATGAAGGCAGATCTGGACTACCTTGTTTGTGGATCTTCTAGATTAGCAGCCGACTTTCGCTTCCTCCGGGAGTTTCAACAGCGATTCCATCTGATAAAGTTCTTGTATCAGATACACTCTGATGCAGAGGATGAGATTGCATTTCCAGCATTGGAGGCAAAGGGAAAACTACAAAACATTAGTCACTCATTTAGTATTGATCATGAGCTAGAAATTACACACTTTGATAAAGTATCATTCATTTTGAATGAGATGTCAGAACTAAACATGTTGGTTTCTACTATTAAGTCCAGTGCAGCCGACCAAAGGAAGATGAAGTATGAGCGGTTATGTCTGAGTCTCCAAGAGATCTGCAAATCCATGCACAAGATATTGTCGGAACATTTCCAACATGAAGAAACTGAGCTATGGGGTCTGTTCAGGGACTGCTTCGTTATTGAAGAACAAGAGAAAATCATAGGATGCATGCTTGGGAGAATAAGTGGGGAAATATTGCAGGATATGATCCCATGGTTAATGGATTCTTTAACCTCTGAAGAACAACATGTCGTGATGTCCTTGTGGCGTCAAGCAACAAGGAAAACAATGTTTGTCGAATGGCTAACAGAATGGTACAACGGTCATTTCATACAAGAGGAAGCAGAAGAAGCAAACAACGATCCATTTGGGGATTCAGATCCACTAGAGATTGTCTGGAAGTATCTCTTTGAAGGAGGTTCTGATGGGGATAGAGGGAGCATTGACAAAAAACTTGTCGAACTTGCAGAGACAGACATGGCAGGTATCATGAATAAGTCCCTTGGAAAGACTGTTCCTAATGAAAATGTCGAAGTTTGCAACAAAGAGGACGAACATGAGCAACTTTCAAAAAGTAAAAAGATATGTAGAGGAGCCGACAAAAAGGAAGACAAGGAACAAGCTGCTGTCAACAATTGCCAGATCATAAATCCTGCTCAAACTTTTCCAGTGTCTCAGAAAGCTAGCCAGTTTTGTCAATCCAAGAAATATGAACACTTGTTAACATTGAGTCAAGAAGAATTGGCGGCTATGATTAGAAAAATATCATGCGACTCTTCTCTGGATCCTCAGAAGAAATCATATATCCGGCAGAACTTGTTAATGAGGTAGGCTCTGCTTATTGTCCTGTTAAGCTTATAATTTTGTACTCGGACAAATAACTTTGTAGATTATCAGTTTTTGTGTTGAGACTAATACTATGTCAGATACTTTTTTCAGCCGTTGGATTATCTCACAGCGTATATATAATCTAGAACCATCCTCTCTCTCAAGCAATATAGAAACAGTTCCTGGTCAGCATCCATCTTATCGAGATCCTCAAAGTTTGATCTTTGGCTGCAATCACTACAAGAGGAATTGTAAGCTTCTTGCTCCTTGCTGCGAGCAGCTCTTCACGTGTATACGATGCCATGATGAAGAGGCTGATCACTCGGTGGATAGGTAGTGTAGCATCTTCTACTTCCATGTAAAAAAACTTGTCGATATTCTTGTTTGGCACTCAACTATCTCTGGTTATCGTGACTTCTTGTGCAGGAAACAGATAAAGAAGATGATGTGCATGAAATGCCTCCTGATTCAGCCAATTGGTGCAAACTGCTCAAATACTTCGTGCAAGCTGTCAATGGGAAAGTATTTCTGCAAAATATGCAAATTATATGACGATGAAAGGTAACTATTCCCTTGCTTCACCATATTTAACTTTGGATGCTGCCTCAGACCCTTTACTTCTTACCTTCAAACGATGAAATGAAATATTGTAAAGTATATTACTTCTCACCCTTTGACAGTGGAGACTAACAATAAAAGGTTGTTAACAGGAAAATTTATCACTGCCCCTACTGTAATCTCTGCCGATTAGGGAAAGGATTAGGCATAGACTACTTCCATTGCATGAAATGCAATGCTTGTATGTCACGCACTTTAGTAGAACATGCTTGCAGGGAAAAATGCTTAGAAGATAATTGCCCGATTTGCCACGAGTACATCTTCACATCCAGCTCCCCAGTAAAGGCTCTTCCATGCGGTCACTTGATGCACTCGTCATGCTTTCAGGTACTTTTAACTTGGTCAAGATATGTTTTTGGGTAATAATGAAAACCAGAAACACATTGCTAAAATCACTTAAATTTGTTCTTTAAATTTTGTTGGTAGGAGTACACATGTTCACATTACACATGCCCTGTCTGCAGCAAGTCGCTAGGAGATATGCAGGTCAGTTAAACCACATTTTAAACAACATTTTGTTTTCCCTGTTAAAGACTAGTAATTGCATCAAAACGCTCTCATACCATGTATAGATAATTCTGCTTTTCTTCTGAAGTCCAATTACGTGAGTCTTTATTGAACCAGTTAATACTTTTCATTCACTAAACATAGGACTGTATCACATGTACAGGTCTACTTTAGGATGTTAGACGCATTACTTGCAGAAGAGAAGATGCCTGAAGAATACTCAAACAAAACTCAGGTTTACATCTCTCTCTGCTTCTTTTATTTCCATATTGTTACATTAGGACAAAGAAAAGCATCTCGTTCTCTACTCCTCTTATCTCTAGATGGATTATTGAGATGCAAGAATAACTGAATGGAAAGATGGTTTGGTGCAGGTGATACTGTGTAATGACTGTGGAAGAAAAGGAAATGCTCCTTACCATTGGCTATACCACAAATGCACATCTTGTGGCTCCTACAATTCAAGGCTCCTTTAGATCTTCCTTCGATTTTCCTTTTCCATTTACAACATTATAGAATCAGCAGTATGATTAGTGCATGGCTGGCAAGTAAACAGTTTTGTAGTCTTTGATGTTGTATAAAAATAAAGCATACAAAAAATATTGCAAATACTAATAAATTCGGGTCTCATCACCCTGAAAGATTGATTTATATATTCCCATTACAACCCATTGCAAAAGGAGATAAATAACAAAAATCTGGAGATAAATTCCAGTCATCACTAACCTTTAAACTCAAACTTACGACATACAAAACCAAGCCACTGAGATCCATTGAAAGATTCATAAATCAATAGGCGTTAAGAAGAAGAAAACAAAACAACTAATCTACAACTAGAGCAAATGCATCCTCTCCACATATGATTCAAGCAACCAATTCTTGAGAGGCTCTCCGCATCCAACAAAACACCCTGAGTTTCCATTCTCAGTGAAAAACGGGAAGTTGAAGATGTTGAGCAGTTCCTCAACTGCTTGTCTTACCATTGACGTGCCCGTGACCCTGCTTCGTCTTCCCCAACCAGTTACTATATCAATCCGTGAAGGACATTCTCCTGAAACCAACATCTGCTTACGGAACCATGCAAGTGTCCTAGATAAGGCGGTGACTGCAGTGCCTTCTGACATTACATGTAGATTTATAAGCCAATAGCTGCAGCTTTTCTCCCTCAATGCATCTGGGTACACATTCTTAACTGCAGCCACTTCCCAGACCGAGCCCGCCTCTTCTTTTAGACCTGACTTGTGCAGAAAATCCACCACTGCATCCATGAGTCCCCGCTTACTCTCTCTGTCCTCGCTGTGCATATAATCAAGGAAATTGCTGACATGGTCACGCACCTTTTGGCCATCAGGACCTGCAGATGGCATTTTAAGGAGAAACATGTGTGCCGGATGACCTGAGACTGCCATTAGCTGGCCACAGAAATCCATGTCAAAGTTTGACTGAGCGTCTGTGCAACAACTTAAGAGCAATGTGTATGTCTGCAAAGAAGACTCCAAACCAAGCGCCAGCATGCTCTGTAATAAACTATAGGCTTCAGACAGCCTATGAACCCTTAGGAAAGTACTGAGAAGGGAATTGCATGTGGGAACATTAGGTCGCAGACCTGCGTGAAGCATTGCTTGATACCACTGCCAAGCTTTTTCCACGTTGCCAGCTTTTCCCCACAAGTCCACCAAAAGACCGTAAACCGGTTCATCAGGAACCCAGCTCTTACACTGCATCTCTGTGAAAACAGCCTCTGCTTCCTCGAGATATCCACAGTGTCCAAGCACCTCCATAACTATACTGTATGTCACTTTGTCGGGTTGAAACCCAGCATTTTTCATGTCTCGGTAGAGCTTCAACGCGCTCTGATAGTTCCGCGCCTTGGCATGCAAAGTTATCATGATGTTGAATGTGACCAAGTTAGGGGTACAACCTTGACCAACCATCTCGCAAAAGAGCCTATGGGCAGCAGGTAAATGCCCCGCTTTTCCAAGACAGTTTATTATAACACTGTAGGTGAAAGTATCAGGAGAAAGCCTCGCTGCTTGCATTCTGTGGTACATGTCCATGGCAATGTCAAGAAATCCAGCTTTAGCATGGATGTCAATAAGGGTACAGTAAGTCACACGGTCAGGCTCACATCCAGCCTCTTGCATTCGATAGAAAACATTCATAGCTTCATTGAGGTAATTTGCGCGGCCATAGCTATGGATAAGCCGGTTATACGTAACGGTATTTGGCTGACATCCATCGCTAACCATCTCGTTGAGAAGCTTGTTTATCTCTCCAAATTGCTTTGCACGGCCAAGGTTACCTACCATAGTGGTATAAGTATGCCCATCATGCTTAAATCCAGGTTGTCTTTTTAGCCAATAGAAGAAACCAAGCGCATTGGCATAATTATCCATCTGTTTAAGAACTTGGTTTGCTTGATATGCATCCATCCTGAAACCAAAACTTTGAAGAGCCTCTTCAGCAGCAGGGCCCCATTTGAATCTCCGCAATATACTAGAAACATTTTCTACCACATATCCAGAGTTACCATACTGCCTAGGTGTTGGAGCGGTACCTGGTGTCACTCTCACCATTTCCCTTGAGGGTTTACTGAAACCTTCAACAGAAGAATGCACATTATAGTCATAACCACCCGACGCATGCCTGGAATCAATACTGGGTCTTTGCGGCATGCTTTTCCTCTTTCCAGATGCAGTATTTGTGGGTAAACCCTGAGCTTCAAACGGATTCCCTGCCACATCATTTGAAGCGTGGTTCAAGCCTTTGACAAAGCCAGATCTTTCAGCTACTTTAGTACCACGAGAGTTGTTTACATGAACTTGGTCTGGTGAATCTTTTGAAGCGGACCTAGGGTAGACTTTAGCAAGGTGCTCTCTTCTGATGACTTTCACATTTGAAGATTTAACACTTGAAATAGGCCTAGTGGGATCAACCATACGGCTTTTAGGCAAACCAACAACTTCGGTTCCACCGGATAGAGGGATCTTGTAGCTTGCTATATCCGACAGGAAATTTACAGTTCCAATACCAGCCTTGAAAATCTGATCCCCAATAGTTGCTACCGCGTCTTCTTCAACAATAGCGGAAACATGGTTTACAGAATCTGATTTCATCGGCAAAACAGGAGAAGAAACATGTTGGGGAAGAAGAGATGGTCTAGTGAAATGCTCAACCTTGGTCGGTTTACTAGTCTCTGCTGGTAATATATTTCCCGCTAGTCCAGCTGCTAAATTAGATGCTCTTTTCCCAGTCTGTACAACTTCAGTCCTAGTTTGCTGGCGTCTCAAGACGCAGCTTTCATCCTCGGCGGATGTACAAGAATTACCATCAGCTGCACTAGATCTTGTCCCACTGATAAAAAAGGATCTTGCTGAACTGGAAAGATTACTGATGTGCTTTGCACGAATCATTGTCTGCAAAAAAGAAAAAAAAATAGCACCAGCTCAGAGAAAGCTCAAAAAGATTCAAATATGGAGCAGAAAAACCAAAAGAGGGGATTCCCTTAAACTATCTTAGCAACCTATTACACTACCTGATATCTCTCACCAGAAATATGTCAACGGAGCCACCAACGCGGTAATTAAGGTTCATGCATGGTCGTGTAACCAAGCTATGAATTAAAAAGAAAAATTACATTTAATTAGCCATATAGCTCTCTTCACCACAAAGATGTATACCTCTCTGTCAAACTTTGTACATTACTTATTCAAAAGTCACCCTTAGTCTTGTACAATTCCACATAGACTCACTAAACTATTTAACGGAAACAAAAAAACTGAGCCTTCCATTTTTCTTTCAGCTTCTCCATAAAGTATCATCCTTCAACACACCAGGAAACCCAGAATATACCACAATGTCTATTAAACAAGAATACTTTTGAGCATCCCCATTTTCGAGATGCAATCTAGCCACATGCAATCTAGCCACAGTGAAACTGAGCCTCTGTTAGAATTTCCACCATCTGAATTCACAGAATCACAGCTAGCTAAATTTAGACCCAACAACTATAGCATACAGTCATATGTTTTGAAAACGTTTAGTCTAAAGGAAAGCTTTAAGAACACTAAGTCCCATAAAACTGAAAAGCAACCCGAGTTCCAAACTCAATCGCTGGGAAAACACCGAGAACGACTCTGAACAACGAAAAGCAGAGAACCCAAGGAGACAAGAGGAGAAACCCACAAATATGTGGTATTTATAGCTAAGAAAGAAGCGAGATTTCCATCGGAAAAGTAAGACAGAAGCGAGATCAACGAGACTAGCAAAGTCACCTTAGAAATGGTGGCGTTTGACTTCCTTCGTCTTGCTTCGTGTTCCCCAGATAACAAAAGATAATAAAGACGAAATCTTCAGGGGAAAGGGAGAAACGAAAACGAGAGAAAAAGGCTGATTTGCCTTCTCCCTCTGTGGCCGTCAAATGTGGAAGCTTCAGGTTTGTTTTGCTCTCCAAGTAAAATTGGGCAGCTGCTTACGACCTTGCAAAGGTCACGACTTTTTGCTTTTACTGTCTCTCTTTTTATTTTTATTTTTATTAAAGGCTTTCTTTAACCTATACCTACTTTTTCAACTATACCCCTTACATTTTTATAACTATTATATAACACCCAGAGACGATAAATGTTTTCCTTTAGGAACTAGCGTAATTGACTGACTACATTTTCAAACTATTAGTAATTATTAGAAAATATTATTTTTTAATATAACAACTCGATTTTCCCTGTCAATTCTATACCAATGTAATGTCGAATTTGTTACTTTTAAAAAGTTAGTGGTTGATTTGCGAAAAGAAAAAGAATATCCGGGTTTAGCTATAAAAACGGCACAAGTTGAGATTTTTATTTGTGTTTATTTCGTCTTAACTTTGCTCCCCTTTGTGCAACGTTTCGGGTTTTCCCTCCTCAAATGTCGCTGTACACGTGGCTTTACTTTCATGTCTTGAATACGACAGCTTCGTTACTTGTTGAGAGAGAGAGGGAGAGCGAGATTTGGAGGATTTACAGTAATTTGATCCGAACTAAGAGCATGATTATCCCCGAAACAGAAATGGGTTTTTTAAACAATTATTTATTATTATTTTGGGTTAAAAGATTTTGATAAGAAACATTTAGTTTTAGGCTGATTAATGGTAAAAACCCAAATGGGTTTCTTAAAAAAAAATGTGATAATAATGTTTTATTATAATATTACTTAATACAAAAATCAAGAACAACCTCTAGAGAATTCCTTTCACTGTAAATAAGAATTTGAATTTTGGTTTATGACTTATGAGTAAGATGTTCGAAGCCTGAAGGAACACATATCTCTTCTCTTCTCTTCTGCAGTTAACCTATCTGGTTATCAATGCCGCTACGACACGTCCATATATGAACGTCTGGCCAAAACGCTGCAGCGCTCTCGTATTCTTAATTGTATACATTTATGATCTGACAGAAAATAAAAAAAGATGTTCAAAAATCTGCTTTGAAACCGATACGAACCACTTGAGGAAGGAAACTTACTTGACGACGATACACAATGTAAGCAAGGGCAAAGAAGACCAAGATAAAAGGAAGAAGCATTGGTGTCACAGGAGCATAGACAAGACCGAGAAGGAAGTAGAGCTGTATCTGAGGCTCCCCAGTGTTAAAACTTAAAACCAATGCTTCCAGGGTCCATTGCTTCCTCTCTGTCTTTCTCAGTCTTAACCAAGAAGGCGTTTTCGAGATGGAACATAATCAGAGGTTTCAGCATCAGAATCTGAAACTATTTACAAGCAAAGCTAAAACAGCTTGCAAAGTAACGGATCATCTTTGGAGCTTTTGTTTATTTTTAGCACTCATGGTGTCTTTGCTTCATCTCTTCCATCTCTTCAGCAATCTTCAGCGACAAATCTTGGTATCTTCGTTTCAGCTCTTCGATTTCATTCTCCATCTTCGCATGTTTGCGTCTGATTTCCTGGTAATCAAATATGAGCAGAGAGAGAGAGAGACTTTCAAGTGTTTGAAAGAAAGAACAGTGGGGAAGAGTTGTGGAAAACTCTTAGAAAGTAACGAACAGAGAAGATGCAAGCTCACCTGTAGTTCTTCTTGTCGCTTCTCTTCTTTTCTAGCTTCTCCTCTGGAATTTTTCTGCACCTCATAGACAAGAGCAGCACCTGCAACCTATAAGAGAAGAAGAATATGTTTGTCAAATTTCATAACCAATCCAATTGATAAAAACAAGTTTAATTAAGAGGAGCAGGTGATCTAATGGGTATTGAGTATTTGATGTTATGTTCTTGGGATCTTGCAGACGCAGACGAATTGAATGGAATACGAAGAACTACGGCTGTAAAAAAGTCTCCTATTGAGTTCTTAAGAGCGATTAAATCAAGAATACGCATGTTCGGGGAAACACTTATGATCAGATAATAAAGACACACACAGGAGTACTCGTTCCGATGGATGATAATAACCCAAGTCTCAATTTTGGTGGAGAATCAAACTCAAAAGATCGGAAATTGGGGGCGTTGAAAAAGGGTTCACCTGTGCAATGTTGATGATGAATTGACGGAATCTAGGGTTGACTCCAGCTTCCTTTTTGAGGCGATTAGCGATGGGTTTGCAGATAGTCTGAAGAGCTAGGGTTCCTAGATTCAGAAGTGGAAACACTATGCTCTGCTGCAACAGAGTCTTCGGCTTGCTCACGAGAAAAATTATCGACGAAAGAAAGAAAACTGAGAAATATCATTTTCTCAGCAAAAAAATTTAACCAATAACGAATGTACACGTGGCCGCTAGAAACGTTTCTTTAGGAACAAATAAGAAACGTTTCTTCCATATTTAGGCTAGATTCGATTATATTTATTATTAAATATTGAGAAAAAAGGCTTAATAAACAGGCGATAAAGATGGTCTAATATCCGTCACCTCCTCTTTAATTTGGACTCTTTTTTTTGGTTCTTACTTGTAGATTTTGTTTCTTTACAAAGTAAATTGAATCAAAGACTATTATAGTAAAAACTGAAGACTCAAAAGATAAAAGACAATCCCAAAACGCACAGAAAATTTTGTGGAATGATGAAGTCAAATAAGTTAGAGATTTTAGCCTATTGATGTGATATTAAATAGGGATAAATGTAAACTTTAAAAAATTTGTAATCAGGGTAACCATGAGTATGAGATCATTTGCATTTTGCAATATTTCGTTTTAAAAAAATGGGCTTTTGTATCTTTTAGCCCTACTAGCCCATTTTTATTTGTTCCGAGCCCAACCATCTGTGTTTTTTTTTCTTTTGAACTGAAGAGCCCAACTATCTGTATTAGCTCGGATCATTTTTCTCTACTAAGAATATAATGCAGAAAATAAATCACTTGATTCTTTTTTTTTTTTGGTAAAAAAAATCACTTGATTCTTGATCCATGCTTATTGGCTTTTATCTTGCTGCCTTCTTATTGTGCTTCATGAAAAGAAACTAAACTCCACCGGATATACATCTTTTTTGAGTTTTTTATTATTATTTATAAGTTTTTATAGTCGAGATTATTTAGGAGTTTATAAATTATAACGTTTGAAGTGGTAAAAAGAAAACTTGAAAAAAAATGTGGTAAGAAAAAAGAGAGGAGCAATCAAATTCTATGGATGGTAAACAACCACACCGAACCCAAATAATAACTAGTTACAGTCTTCACGGTCGAAACACAATTACTGGTGTGTCTCCTCCATATAAACTTAAAAGCCAAAAGCATGGATTCATTTGTATTCTAAATAAATGTTTAATTAGGGTATCCCATAAAGTATATAGTTGTAGCGTTGTAGTTTTGTAGATAAGGGTTTATATGCAAAAGGTGATGGGACTTCAATAAATTAAATAGTTGGCATGACAACGCCACATACACATGCAATCTCAAATATTTGAGTTGAGCCCATCATTTCATACACAATCTCATGTTTTCTCTCATCAAACAAAGTCCCTTTTACGATTTTTTTTTTCAATTGTTATTTTCTTTAAATCATTTGCCAGCTTAAAAGTTGCACAAGATAAAACATGGTCCATCAGCTTGTCCTCTTTTTTTTTTTCTTTTGTGAAATCAAACCTCATCGATATTACCTCCGAAATCGTAATTAATTATGTTTCATGAAATTTTTAAAATAAATTTATACCATATTATGATATATATTTTTTTGAACATAAACCATATTATGATATTAGTGTCTATATTCTTATATATTTATATATTTGAGAAAGTTAATGAGTGTAAACATAAGAAAGTTCGAAGAAAATGTAGCATAAAGTTATTGAATTTTTTTGGGGCTTGTATATCTTATTTTTCTCAACCTAATGTTTTTAATTCCGCTACGTGACTTTCAACTTTTCCATTCTCTTTTGTTGCCGATTGCAATAATTGTCGGTTGGAACTGAAAGTATAACCGGCAAATAAATCTAAGACCTTCTTTCACCTATTACATATCAGTTTTATTAATTGTCGATGGGAAATTAAAGGACGATATGGTTTGCGCAAATGACATATTTGATGTTGTTGTTTGGAAGAAAACAGATAGTTAAGTATTTAACCTTTTTCGTCTGTAAAATCTAAATTGTTAACAGGGAACGAATAAGAACCCGACATGCGGACACTTATGTCAATTCATTTTGAATATGAATTGAATTACTTATTAGGGAAACGAAAAACAAGTCGTTCCCATTTGTTTGCCTTTTTGTTGACTTTGATCAATGGAATCTTCATATTTACTTTTCATTTTATTTGATATGTCACAGAGTAAAAGTACGATTGATTGACAAAGTCTACACCTAATTTCTCCTATCCATATTACAAATCTGATAGGTTTTGAAATTATCTTCACCAAATCTTTTTGCTGATACTTTCAATTCACCCATATACGTAAATGAGTTTTTATATCCTGATGCCAGAAGTTTTACAACCAGAAGTTATTTAAGTTTCATACGAAAATCTTTGAAAATATTAAAATCTTTATGGTAAAAAAAAAAATCGAATCGAATTTAAAGAGTACAGTATATCTATATTTTTAATTTTAGAAAATCTTAATTACAAGTAGAATCCATCAAGCGGATAATTTAGGTAATGTAATTAGAAGGACAAGACAAAACAACTCCCACAAGTATAAATTACACAGTTTTATTTAATACTTAACACCAACTCAAATGAAACCAACGTCACATTTTGTGAGTCTTTGACAATATCATCACCATATCCACTTCGATGGTCAACAACTTCATCAAACTCTCCCTTCCACGTAGCTATATCTCATCCCTTGATTTTACCACCTCAACAAATTGACGGCTATTATTTTTTTCCGAATCATTTCTTTTAATCTCTGTACCCTTTTAAATACACGGAAAGACGAAAAGAGTAGGCAGTACATAAAGTATAAATATAAATTAACCATTTAAAGAACTGAAAACATGCCGTAAAAAATAACAAAATCGCTGAAAACATGCCGTAAAAAATAACAAAATCGCTGAAAACATGCCGTAAAAAATAACAAAATCACTGAAAACATTTCATAACCTTTTTATACATTGTTTGGATAGCAAACATAATTATATGATTTTTCTACAAAAATCGAATTGCGCTAGAATTAGTGCTTAACATCGTATTGTTTCTATGTACTAATTTTTTGGTTTAATTGTACAGATACTGATCAACTTGCTTCCTAACTAAATAATTTATGTTTGATATAATCAAAAAATCAACTTTGCTCAATTTTTTAGCTGATGATATAATATAATTTTTTTTACACACTATCATCAATTTGATCATATTGAAGTTTACGAAAAGGTCGAACCTTTCATTTCTTGAGCTAAACCCGCGTTTTCTCTTCTCTGCAAGACTGCAGCAACTCACCGCTTCGCCGGCGAAAATCCGCCGTCACCGTAGTATTTCCCAGAAAACCCTCCAGGAATTAGCATTAAACGAAGCTTCTCCAAACTAATACTTTCTTCATTTTCGTCTGCTGAGTTACTGAGTTTTGAAAACTCGGAGCATGGGTAATTGTATCGCCTGCGTGAGGTTTGACCCGGAAAACTCAAAACAAACCCAGAACCCGAAGAAGAAACGACCCGATCGGAAACGTAACCCGTACGACGATCCCGATGGTCTAAGATCCCACGGGCCGATACGCGTCCTCCCCGACGTGATTCCGATGAGTCATCGGACTCAGATCAGCGACAAGTACATCCTAGGTCGAGAACTCGGTCGCGGAGAATTCGGAATCACATATCTCTGCACGGACCGGGAGACTCGTGAAGCTCTGGCTTGCAAATCGATCTCAAAGAGGAAGCTCCGGACCGCCGTCGACGTGGAGGACGTCCGTCGCGAGGTCACGATCATGTCCACCATTCCCGATCACCCGAACGTCGTGAAACTCAAGGCGACCTACGAGGACAACGAGAACGTGCATCTGGTGATGGAGCTCTGTGAAGGAGGCGAGCTTTTTGATCGGATCGTCGCCAGAGGACATTACACCGAGCGTGCGGCGGCCACCGTCGCGAGAACCATCGCCGAGGTCGTGAAGATGTGTCACGTCAATGGCGTTATGCATAGAGATTTAAAGCCTGAGAATTTCTTGTTCGCTAACAAGAAGGAGAACTCTGCACTTAAAGCCATTGATTTTGGCTTATCCGTGCTCTTTAAACCTGGTACTTTCCATCAAAATGAAAAAAGGGTTTTTTTTTTCTTTCTTATTTCTAAATTTAGTATCTTTGATCTCCACTGATCTTTTACATCACATTGTTCAAGAGTGTGGTTGACAATTGCGTTCTTATAACAAAAGAGATCTTTTTCTGATGCATTTGCAGGAGAGAGGTTTACAGAGATTGTAGGGAGTCCATATTACATGGCTCCAGAAGTGTTGAAGAGAAATTATGGACCGGAGGTTGATGTGTGGAGCGCTGGAGTTATCCTCTATATCTTGCTCTGTGGTGTTCCTCCGTTTTGGGCTGGTAAAAAGCAGTTTTCTTTCCTGCTAAGAAGATGTTGTATATGCAGATCTATACTGATTGACTGATTCAAGGTTTTGATTGCAGAGACTGAACAAGGTGTGGCTCTTGCAATCTTGAGGGGAAATCTTGATTTTAAGAGAGACCCTTGGTCGCAGATATCCGAGAGCGCAAAGAGCCTTGTGAAGCAGATGTTGGACCCTGATCCCACTAAGCGTTTGACTGCTCAGCAAGTTCTTGGTAATGATAGATGGATCTTGTGATTTTTCATGTTCTTTGCTACTTGTTTCTTGTATAGGGAGCTGAAGCGAAGACACGGTTTCTGTTTTCTCCTTTGCAGATCACCCTTGGATTCAGAATGCAAAGAAAGCTCCAAATGTTCCTCTAGGGGATATCGTTAGGTCAAGGTTGAAGCAATTCTCCATGATGAATAGATTGAAAAAGAAAGCTCTGCGCGTAAGTGTGCTGCCTCTACTCATTGTTTTCAGGTGATTTTAGACTTTTGTTTTTATTGGTTTCTCTTACTCCCTTTTGATGCTTCCAGGTTATCGCTGAGCACTTGTCTCTTCAAGAAGTTGAAGTGATCAGAGACATGTTTACACTGATGGATGACGACAACGACGGTAAAATAACGTATCCGGAACTCAGAGCTGGACTAAAGAAAGTCGGTTCACAATTGGGCGAGCCAGAGATCAAAATGTTGATGGAAGTGGTAAAATTTTACCATTGACACTTTTTTGTCATAAGAATTTGTCTTGATCAAAAGATGAAAAGGATGTTCTTCTTCTCTGGTACTAACATTCATGAATTTTGATGCAGGCGGATGTTAACGGAAAGGGATGCTTGAACTATGGAGAATTTGTCGCAGTGATAATCCACTTGCAGAAGATGGAGAATGATGAACATTTCAGACAAGCTTTTATGTTCTTTGACAAAGATGGAAGTGGATACATCGAATCAGATGAACTACGGAAAGCTTTAACCGACGAGTTGGGTGAGCCAGACAATAGCGTTCTACTCGATATAATGCGAGAAGTTGATACTGACAAGGTCTTTTTCTAAAACGCTATTAACATTATAAGAGACTCTTGTTATAGAAAGATTATTAAATGCTTAGGGGAATCTTCGATGAATTTTGATTTTGCAGGATGGAAAAATAAACTATGATGAATTTGTGGTGATGATGAAAGCTGGTACCGATTGGAGAAAAGCATCAAGACAATACTCAAGAGAGAGATTCAAAAGCTTAAGCTTAAACTTGATGAAAGATGGGTCATTGCATCTCCACGACGCACTCACTGGACAATCTGTTGCCGTTTGATCTTTACGTTTGTTTATCACCTAAACAGAAGCAATCTGATGGCTGTGTTTTCCTCTGTTCAAGAAGAAGGAGGTTTTTATTTACTGGGATTCTTCGTATGTAATTTTTGTCTTACTTCACTTTGCTTCTAAAGATTCTTTTTTTTTGGTTTGGGAAGTTGAAAATTTGTAAGTTACGGGCTTAGTTTAGGCATTTCCACTGGAGAATGAATGTATTTGTACGTAATGTTTGTTTAATTGTTATAAAGCTTCTTTCTGACTTGGTCTGACCATAGTACAGTTATGATTTCAGCAAAACTGACATAAATCAATTGGACAAGAGGTTTATTTGTGTTTGGTTTACAAAGAGAAAGAAAAAGAGTTAGTCAGCTTCTTGAAGTCCATCCAAAACAACAGATCCAACTAACAAAACGACTCCACCAAGAGAAAGAGCACCGGCCAAAACCGCTTGAACAACGACCAGAGTAGTTGAGTCATCGGGAATCAGCACCACGGCTACAATTGCTGCCGTCAGAACCGGGAGTGCAGCCGAGGCTAAGACCGAAGGCGATGTACCGGCTAGCGTTTCAAGGAGACTGAGAAGACCAAGCTCCTCTGCTTTGGAGAAGACACCAAGCTTCTCAAGAGATGACAATGTAAGTCCCAAGCCTTCTGCTTTTGAGAGCAGACCAGATTTCTCAACCTTGCTTAGCACTTTTCGTTTCTCCAGCTTCTTGAAAACGTCAACGTTTACATCTTCGCTCCCTTCGAAGAATAATCCGGCTCCGTACCATTGTTTCTTCCACTTTGCATCATATTTGTTCACCTTGTTTTTGCCCGATTCACAATTACACAAAATTAAGAAAGGATTTATATTAAAAAAAAAAAAAAAAAAAGCTCTGCAAGGGACATCAATAACTCAAATGTGATGTCTTTGTTTCATTATTGAATTGTCTGCATTCTGAAAGAAGCGACCTAATATACATCTATATAGATCAATGTTCATCAAAGTTTACTCCTTTTGAAAGTATTTGACAATCAACTGATGTAAAGCTACTAAACTGTTTACTAAAACCAGAGAAGAACAAATGGAAAGGAAAATGGAGATAGAAAGTGGATTATTGAGAGTTACCTTCTTTTGGGGAGCCATAGAAACGACGGAGAAAGCTGCTGGTGATTTCACGGCGGAGAACGACGGGCGAAAGCGGGGGAGAACGGGATTGGAGAGAAACTGTGTTCGCGGGTGAGCCGCCGGAGACGATATCGGAGCGTTGACAGCCATTGGAGGAATATCGATTCGTAAAGCGATGAGATATTTCCTTTGGAGATGTCTTCGTGTGCTTGTTTTGCCGTTCGCACACACTATCTCGAAACTCTGGAGACAGAGAAACTGCCACGTCAGATGATGTATTTGTGGTTCCAACCAATCATACTCGTTAGCGCTTTATCTCCGGTTTTCACATGTTTATTAGATAATCAGACTTTCTTGACCAAAACTGAATCAGACAATGTCAGTGGTAAAATGATTAGTCAAAATTAAAACAACAGAAAGAAATTACGAACGATTTCCGAAATATTTTGCAAATGGTATGTCATTGAAAATTATGTTCTGTACTTGTTAATCACGAATAATGGTGTATGTGTAAATAATTGTTAAAAATGAGTAATCAATCAATTATTTCAGATTACAGAGTAAACTACGACAAGTTTGACTATTTTTATTGTTAACCTCGCAAATCTGAAATCTCTCTCGTTTGCTTCATAATATTACAGTCAGGTCTCAAGACTCCATAGTCCATACCATCTGATTATAGTTTCCGACAGAATCCCACTAATAAAATAACGAATCATAATAATATGATTAAAATCATAGCTTCTTAGCTTAACCCATAACGAATCTTTTTTATTCTATCTCCTCCTCAGCTCAAATATCACAAGAAACTGCTGAATACTCAAAAACACCTAACTTAGTAAATTTACTCTTCATGACTTCTTTCTTCCTCTCAAAAGTTAAGCCCTTAGATGAGCCGATCAGACAAGCTAGGCAACCGCCGGAAAAAATTGAGACTCGCCGTAGGCATAGTGTCCCGGAACATCGGATGCCGGAGGTAGTAAAACCCTAGAGCCACCGCCACCATTTTCGCCGGAACCACATACAGAACTATTGTGATCGCCAAACAGATTGCTATGAACAGCTTCGTCGCTCTCGGATCTCTCCAGCTAACCAACGCTTGAATTCGTTCACCTTGCGCTGCAAAATCGCCTAGAATGGTCTGAATCCTCACCGCTAAGATCCTTAACCGGTCGTACCTAGCTCGGATTACTTCTGGTCGCCTTGAGCTCGGTATGGTGTCGAATTCTTCGTCTAGTTCATCAGGATCAACGGTTTCCGCTTGTGATAACCTGATATCCATACCAGCCGGTATCTTGGGTCTAAACCGGTAGTACCAAACTCCGATCATCACCACGTACAAGAACGCCGTCGGTACAACCAAATCAGGGTACCAAACAAGAACCAGATACAGAATATGGACTAGCACAGTAGTCACCGGGTTCCTCCACCGCCGGATATTATCCAACCACTTAGCTAAACCCACTGCCCAAGCTAAAACCCCAACAATCCTATACCAATTCGCTTTGCTCTTCCTCATGCTCCACGAGTGAGAATCCGCATCCAACATATATCGAACCACCTCCGGTCCCAACGGTGGTTCTGCTCGAGCCAGCCACGCTGCAACCATTTTCGTAGCGGCTCCTCTCAATGCATCCTGTTGTGCTACACCTAAAGGCCTTATATAGTGCATCCGAGGCAGAAGTGGTTGTCCGTAAGCCGCGCAAACATCAGGTAACAGCGACGGGCACGCGAACCGGACCGCCACTTCGATTTCACCCATCTTTTTCAGACCGCTAGGTAAGAGAACCAAGAGAGGATACGAATTGGTGTACACTTTGTTGCTCTCTAACGTCGAGACTCGAATCCGTATCTTCCCTATCCGAGTGTCAGGTCTATCATCGGAGACGTCCGAGAACATCCTCCAATTGTCAAATACCCCAACGGTTAGAACAGTGCAAGGATCGTAAACCTGCCACGTGTACTGCTCGTGCCATCTCGGGTCGAAACTGTCTGTTATGGTTCGTGTCCGGACCCATTTCTTGCCGTACTTAGCAACACAGTAAGCATCAGTGGAACCTTTACCTCCGTTTTTAGCCTTCATCGGCAACAACCCACGAGCTCCGAGAATCCCCAACTCAAGTATTCCGATTGGTGGTTTCCAGAGCTGTTTAGCCGTCGGTCGGAAATCGCTGCACACGTGCGCCGCCTCTTCAAGCACGTGATACCCACCTTCAAGACAAAGCCTAAGGCTAATCCTTCCGCAGTAAGGTCCACCACCACCTCCTCCTCCTCCACTTTCTCCTTCTAAACTGTGCCATTTCGACGGCACGAAGCGTTCATCGATTCTCTGCTCGATGGAGCTCACTGGGATCATGGCGTGCCCTAGAACCGTTGGTTCTTTAGTCGTCCGGTCTTCAACCATCAGCATCAAGCAGTCTTCCAATGGTTCTCCAGCGACGAAGATCATATCCTCGTGCCAATGGAACGACCCGCTGTGGTTATTCATTGAGCCTCGTCTTGTACGCGCCGACTGAAACCCTAATTGAGCTTTGACACGGACCTCAGGCGCCGTCAATGGCGGAAGGTTTGGAGCAATGTGGAGATCCTGTGCTTCGAGAACCGTAACCCTCAAGTACCAGAGCTTCGGCGATTGGTATACCTTTGAGCGTGTGTGAGCTACGTGTGGAGCGTCGGAGCTCCACGCCTCCGGGAAAGCTTCGTCTACTTGAGTGCCGATCCAAACAGAGAGCTGAATATCGCCAGAGACTCTCCCGGAATTCTGATCCGCGGCGGATCCTTCGAGCCGGTACCACTGAGGCGCGAGCGTACTGTCCGGCGGATCGCGAACGGGAACCTCGGAGAGATCGAAACATACTCCTCCGAGAAATCCCTCCGACGAAGCGTCCCAAGCGGAGATCTCGAGAGTCGCGCCGGAAGCAGCGGAATCTGACCGGTTATGACCAAGTGCGAAAACCTGATTCCACTCCGGAGAGTCTGTTGATTCGCCGGGCCGGTTAACGGCCGGTTTAGACCGGACGAAATGGTTCGATGTCCGGACTTTGACGTACGCGCTCTCGTTTGGCGGTAGCCCACGCGCCTTCACAATCCTAACAAACAGATACTGCATTGGCTCAACAAGATTGTAAGGATGATGAGTCTTCTTCTCTATCGTCGCATCTCCTCCGATTTTGCTGTTGATAACCCTAGGCGAGAAATCCCCATTTGGTCTCTTCGTAACCCTAATTCTGTCTCCGCCGGGAGGTCTCCCTACCTGCATCTTCCTCACTTCCGGTGGATAATAATGCACTTCCCCCGCCGATGGACGCGACGGAGGAGGTGGCGGAGACGGCGGCCGTGGAGGATGGTTATCACCGGGACCTTGCATTACTTGTTGCGGTGACTCCACGACGACAACCACCGGTGGCTGTTGAGCTTCCGGATAGCTACGGCACATATCCCCATGATTTTGAACCGATTCGAAAACCCTACCTTCGTCTACCACGACTACATTAGGTTTCTCCGGCGGGAGATTCTGCATCTGCTGCGGCGGCGGAGGAAACTGTTCATCCGCTTCTTGCGGCGGCGGCGGTTGCTGGCCACCAATCGCCATGTCTTCGTCGGCGACCTCGTCGTAGTAGTAAATCTTAAGCCCAATCTCACCGCGAATCCAGCTGAAAACGCTCTTCTTCTCCAAGGGGAAATAGACGAGACCTTCCTCGCCTCTTCTAGAGAACTGGCTTCCATAGATCTTAACCCTACCGAGAAAATGGTTTTTCCGGCCGCCACCGTTGCCGAACCTCTTGTCGTTGTAGACCTCGACATCGAGCTCGTCGTAGTCCATGTTTTTGGGGTCGGAGACGGCGAAATCGAGCATCTCGTTCCAGATAGGGTTTAGGTCACGGAACTTGGTGGAGGTTCGTTTCTTCTGAGCATCGAAATCGACGACGACGTATGCGCTTGAGCTGCCTTGACCATCTTTGGGGAGAATATTACGCGCCTCCACGACCTCGACGACGAGCCTCCGCTGGGTCCTCGACGGCGGAGGATCCGATTGAAATGGCGTCGTGTTCATAGTAGTCGTGCTCTCATTTTTCGAGAGTGTTTTCTTCTCATAAGAGAGAGAGAGACAGAGATAGCGTTTTGGTTGTTTGTGACAGAGATTACGTTAATCGCGGTAGAGAGAGAGAGAAAGAAAGTGTTTTCTTTTCGAGGCCTTCCTTTATTTATTTGAATATATTCCTCCTTTTAAGCTTTTCGATTACATGTTTTCTAATTAAATTTTCGTTTCTTTAACGAAAAGATAACGACCTCATTAGCGAAATTTGAAAAAAAAAACTTAATTCTGGTGGATGGCATAAAGGTAGGAGGAATATTTGGCGTAAGAGTGGAGATAATGGGAAATCTGATTCCATTCTCTATCGCCAAGGCTTCGTTTTATTCTCGCTTTTTACGTGCTCTCCGATTTTATTATTGTACTATCTCATTTATTTATTGGTGTGTTGATTCTGCATTTCTTTTATTATAGTATTAGTAGGGTACTTTTTAATGTTCCTGTTAGACATTACATGAAAAAAATTTGGCGAGCGAGGTTGTTGGATGAAATCGTTACTACTCCCTCGGTTTCATAATAAGTGTTATTCTGACATATTTCACACATATTAAGAAATTAATAAAATATAAAAATATACCCCTAATTAATATATTTTTATAACATTTAACTATAAAGACTATTATTTTTAAATGAAGGATAAAACGGGAAATAAGAGTAAAAAGTTACATTGAAAATGCAAAATAATACTATTTTTGAAACAAAAATGAAATCTAAAACGACACTTATTATGAAACAGAGGGAGTATTTACTTAAGTAGTTTCTTAATCTAGCAAAGAAAAGCATGCTATTGTTATCCTATCACTATTATAAGGATGATTAATGTTTCCCATTTAAAGTCCTTTATATTTTATAAATGCCACTTACTATTGTACTCGATTCCCGAAATCAACCCCATCATCAAGGCCCAAACATCCGCCCCATTTTTATTTTTATTTTTGGTAAATCGAGGTCATTGTTGTAGCTAATTTTTGTTGACTAATTTTAAAACGTTTTAGGTCAAAGAAAAACGATCAAATTATTACTTGTGACTTGTGAGTTTTATTCACTTAATGTTATTGGACTTTCACATCAGAAGGTAGATATTCACTGATAAATGAGCACAATTACTATGCAGTGGGTTCTTTTTTATGACAAATAAAACCAAGAAAATCTTGTTTTTATTGCGTTATGATTTATGAATACTATCATTTAATGTGAGAAGAGAAGTAGGTAGGGACCATTATGTTCCTTTGATTTTGTATCCCACGGTACACGATAAAGAAATTAGCCCCCTCGTGCTGTCTTCGCTAACCATTGTTTCCTTAAAGTTTCAAAGCAATTGTTTTTGTTGTATTGTTAAATAACCGGTTTATTTATAAGCAGAAGAACCCGTAATCGGTTTGTTAAATGTATCGACCCGGTTTTGTTCAGCACAACACAAAAGTGACGAAATTAGTCAAATGGAACATGAAAAGAAATGAATATATACTTCTCCAAATAGTGTATAGCTCATGTGTCAAACCTCGTTTTCATAAAACTGAAAAAGCATCATCGTTTTCATTAAAGTTCGATTTTTTTCCCACACCTTCTTTTCTTTATCACACAATACCTCCATTCAAAGAGCGTGTGTGGAAATGATTATCTCCACTGATCGCTCCGGCTAAATATTCACTGCTCTCCTTATCATTGCCATCAAATTGGTATCTCCATGGTGGTTCCAATTTGATAAACAATAAATTATAACACCGATGATATAGAAAACCCATTAGCAATCATAAAAAGGCTCGGTCGATTAACATTCAGAAAAGGCCCGGCCTAGTTACAACAAAGAAAGACGTGGCCTATTAACAATCAGAAAAGCCCATAACTTCCAGCAATAATTCTTTTTATTTACAAGATAAGACAACACACATTGATTGATTCTACTGTAAACCCCATTCCCATAATACAATGAAAATACAAATGCTACTCTTCTTCAGTTAATCGGCTGCAGAGTTGTTGTTGCCTCATGCTCAATTGACTTGGTGAACTACAAAAACAACAACACAAAGAATCAAATTAGGGTTTAGGAAACAAGGAAGCGCGATGTTAGGTTACATTTTCTAAACAACTCGCACCTGAGAAATCTTTAGATCAAGCTCATTCCACTCTGAGGTTGGGTTGCTTCCTGCTACTATCCCTGTCCCCGCATAGATCAATGCCCCAAGACCCTGTAATAACTCAATATAAACGATTTAGACCGGTTTGCTAATACTTAGGAAAATGTTTTTTTTTCTTCTTGGCTAGGGAGAGATGTCAAAATAAGCTCACCTTTTCAACTAGAGCTGATCTGATTCCGACTGCAAATTCACTCTCATCACCACCAAAAAACCCAATAGGCCCGGCGTACATTCCTCTATCAAATGATTCTGTAAGAAGCAAAATGTTTGAATACGGATTATTGTTAATCTCTAAGAAAAAACATAGGCATTTTGGTACTAATAGACTGTTGAACACCCCCCAGAGAAAAGTCAGATACTTTACCTATTTCCTTAATCAAAAGCCGGGCTTCTTCGGCTGGAAGCCCACAAACAGCTGGAGTTGGATGCAGAGCAGCCAAGATGTCAAACTGTACATCGATATAGGACAAAAGGTTAAGCCTAAATGAAGGAAGAAGAGCTTGGCCTATGATGTAATATAATTCCAATACTAGTTATCTCACCTCGTCATCTTCCTTCCTAAGGTTCCCCGCCAATTGAGAATATAAGTGTTGCACTCTTGCAAGCTTCCTCACAGTTTTTTGGGGCTTAACAACTACCCTGTCACATATAGCCTGCAAAGCAAGAGAAAATATAATAAGAAAAACAAATCTAAATATTATAGAAGAATGGTTTCTAGATTGACATGTATTGGCCTCTGCATTTGATCCTGCTTAATAAAAAAAAAAAAACTGAAGTTGCAAAACTATGAATTGAACTTACGTTTAATTTTTCTCTAATATTCTCTCGTACAATAGAGAACTCAAGGTCGTCTTTGGGACTGCAACAGTTGTACAAATCACATCAGTATGCATATCCGGAAATTTTTAATGCATAAGACTGGAGATATGGATTCTATAACTGTTCAAAGCACAAAAGCAAAATATTTACTTGGTTAGTAAGTCACGCTCTATCTCCATATCACGAGCCCTTGATGCAGCTCTAGGCCTAGTTGCAGCCAAAGCTTCACTGCAGACACCTAACTGACTCCTTTGGAAAAGTCTCTCAGGCTGTTTCAAATAGATATATATAACTCTTAAGTAAAATTATATTAAAAAAAGTGCACATATCTTTACTGACAATCGTAACAACAGACTACTTAAAACTTACCGTGTTTCCTATAAAAGCTGGTGCACCTGGTGGTTGAAGACAGAACTGATACGCATCATGCCCTTCACCCTGTCGTTTGAGTGAAATCTAAGTCTTTAAATTGTTTTATATGCTTACTACACAACATCCAGAGACAAAAACGAACCTGTAACTGTGCTAGCCAAGCAATGGGATCAATATCGGTATCCGTGATGACCCTGCTGTTGCGAGCAAGCACAACCTGATTTTGCAAACCGAAAACATAAGTTAAGTGGAAACCATAATTGTGTAAGAATAGATACGGATATTGTAACTAAGAAATCTACCTTGCTAAGGGATGAACTCTTTTGCTTTATCATCTCCAAAGCCTTCTCTACAGCAGGGTAATAAGCCCCTTTTGTAGGAACATGATTCTTGCTAACAACAGATACACCTAAACATTCCCTCCGTAACTTCACTACATGAGAAGAAACCTGACACACAACAAAGTTTGAAGCAACAATAACGCCGTTAGTATAAAGACCATCCCAATAAAAACAGGGACTTTATTTAAGCTATGGAACCTGAAGCATCGTCTCCTGGAGTGCTTCAATGGCGTTTTCCAGCGTCCAAGAGAGCTCATCGTCCCAAGCAACAGTTGCAGCCAACATTGAGCTTCCTAGAAACTCATTAAACTCAACCTGTGCGTGTAAATGCATCAGTCAATAAGTAGGCATCCCAAAAAAACTCTTAGAAAAAAAAAAAAAAAAAAAAAAAACAGAATTTTCAAGGTACCTGAGGCACTGCAAAGTAAAATGCACCAAAAGGTTCCCATTCTACAGAGATCTTTCCATTGGGATCAAATCGCATTCCCCCATACGCACGAATCAGAGGTGACTTAGAAGACAGAAACCTTCAATACACGAATTAAAAAAAAAATTGATGAATCTCGGAGAATTTTAACAGATCTAAAAGGCATAGGAATCGACGAAATTGTAAAGATTTGTTTACCTTCTGATGGATCTCCAGTCATCATGAGAGAAGGGATCAAGGTCACGGAAGAACACGGCGGATCCGATACCGGCGACGCTAACCAGGTTACGATCAGAGGAGGCTCCTCCGTTTCCGTTATCATTGTCGCTGGCTAAGTCGAGAAGAAGATCGGGACGACCAACGTCGCTGCGACGAGAGAAGAAGCACCGAGGCTGAATCTCGTTCTGTGCCTGAAGCCAATCGATTGCTCCGATTTTCTGGTCAATTGGCACCTGCGCCCCAAAACCGAGTCTAATTAGGGCTTTTCAGATAAACTGCGCGGGAAATATTCGACTTTGGTTGTTTTAAAAAAAAAAATTGAAAATATGCGTTTTTTTACCCCACAAACTCAGTCAATACTTTTTCTAGCTAAATATGGCTAGATCCTAATCAATAATCAAAGGGGTATAATTAACATTGTTAAATTGGATTAAAACCAGTTATTAATCTTTCGATGATTTTTCTTTCTCGAATGTCAACTCTGAACTTGGTCAACGTTAATTTGACATTTTGACTAAAGGACGATGATCTAATTCAGTAGCTAGATTGACTAGCGGATTCAGGTTCTTTCTTCCTTAGTAATTATTGCTACGAGCCAATAGTCAGAATTTCTTTCTTTGAAGAGATTGTTTATGATTAGTAAGCAAAAGCAACAATCATTTATATAATAACAATAATAGTCAGTATTTGACCGATGACATCGACCCGACCTTCTTGGCTTCTTTATAAAAACAGATCCTATATTCTACGTAATTACTGTAATTAAAGTAAGTGAATACCCCACTTGAAGCCTTTATGTCTGCTTGTTTATGGAGTATTACAAATAATAATAATATTTTTTTGACTCATCCTAAACTATAATAAATTATTTAAACTCGTTCGTCTACTGATTAAGAAATATTTAAAACATTATCCCAACCAAACTTGATTTAAAAAAAATTAGCATAGAAAGTTCGTAAGTTGTATGTTTCAAAAACCGTTCGAGCTAAACAAATAAAACGTTTTTATCTCAAGAAAATAATGAGTTTTTCTCCAAAAAAATAATAAAATGAAAAGGTAGTAGTATAATAGTATTATTATAACTATATCTCCTTTTTTATATGTTTTCATCAACTAAAAGATTCTCCTAAATGATTCGGCTCTTATTATTAAAAAAACTTAAACGATTAGGCATAAACGATCCGGCAAGGAAACAAACTGAAGAACGATATCACCATAAACCAATCCAAAAGAACCACGTGGCGTGATCTGATTCTTTCACTGACAGAGAATCGGATTTTGTCTAAAACAAAAACAGAGCAAGAGTCATCAGTCATGTGTACCTGTAACCGGACGACGCCTGAGGAAAACGACGGAGGTTGAGATTTCAGCTTCGACACGGCGGAGATTAACCTCTCAGTGGCGGCTTCCGGCGACAAAACAGTCGCCGTAGTCCTCGTCTCCACTGTTCCAAGTGGCGTCTTGAAATCACCCTCGCATCCGTTCATAGACATCGAGCACGACATAAACCTCTGCAATTATCAAGAAAAGTTTCTCAATTAGTCTACGCTCTTCGAGAAAGATAAGCACAGAACAGAGCCCGAACAAAAAAAAAAAAACAGAGAGAAAAACAAAAAAAAACCTTGCGGGAGAATAATCTGGTGAATGGGGTTGGAGAGTAGTTACGAGAGATGGAAATGGAGCTGTGTTTTTTAGTATTTGAGCCCAGAAAACGAGAAGAGAGCTGAATTGACGCCATTTGGTGAGAGTGAGTTTTAAAATATTTTTTGTGTGGATTTTTTAATTTGCTAGCTGTTTGTAGCAACTAGCAAGACACTAGAGACTATTTTTTGGTTTGTTTTTTGTTTGAAGAAGAGAGATTGCAAGAAATAGACTTGTGGTACGTCTGAATAAATAGAGGGCGGGTTTGAGTTGGGTCCCATTATACTGAAGATTCATTTCACTTTCACAATTAAATTTCTTAGAATTTCTTGTTTTGTTAAGTAAACGACTCAGAAATTTTCGTATTTTTTCTTTCAAGTGTACTTTTCTTTCCTTCTATCTTTGTTTATTCAAAGAACAGTTTTTTTAAAATTGTTCGTCCACCATTTTATTTCCTAAAAAAACTGGTCTAATAAAGAAAAAAACAAATTTGTTGCACAAACAAAAGAAGAATTTTTTTTTTTGTCTATTTATGTGAAGCGTGGAATTATATTGCAACATTAAAAAGTACAACTGAATAAAAAATGATGTTAAGAAGAGGAGATATAAAAAATAAATAGAATACCATACCAAAAAATGTAAAATAAACATCATACTTGGGGTACAAGTACTTCAACCGTATTACCAAAGGATGAAAAGGTTTAAGATTTTTAAAGTGAACTAATTTGCACCCACCAACATTAGAGAGGTTCTCCAGAATATATACCATTTAAAACAAACAAAAACCCACAATTTTTAACAAAGTCTAAAAAAAGGTATTTGAAGTCACAAACTTATTTTCTGTAAAAGGTTATAGAAAACTAAGAAAAGGTAATGTTTTCATAATGTTTATTTGTATTTGAAGTTTGATAATATGACACGGCAGCAAAAATGATATAAACCATTATACTATTATGTACATGTATTTTATGTTTTTTTTGGTAAATGATGTATTTTTCTGTTACTTGTTTAAATTAACCAAAACAGAGATATATAAATATATGACGGGTCATAATGTCTCCATGTGATAATGGTATTTGTTGTATCTTAAATAGCAGGAGAAAATGACAATAATAATGCAGGAGCTAAAGTAATTTGATTGACCAAATGTAATAATGGTATTTGTTGTATCTTGATCTGTCGTTCATCAAATTATAATCGTCGTAATGGGAATTTGAGTACACTGTTGATTTAAGGACTTTTTAATACAAATATACATAAAAAACAATTTGGATTTCTGCGAAAAATTGCAGGAGGTATATTCATAAATCAGAAAATGTCAAAAATATTGTATATCATGCCGCGTTTTCTGATTTATGCGTTATGGATTACACCGTTTCATTCATTGCAACGAGGTAACAAGTGTGGTAGAAGTAGACATGCATATTGACATATTGTTTTAGTTGAAATATAAAGACCCTTAAATATAAGGACATGCAAATTATTTTTGATAAACAGATTTTGTTGTTTGAAGAAAACAATAGTATATTTTAAAGACCTTGCAGACCCTTACATTATTTGAGGAGTCAATTTATTCGAATCATCTTCTTTGCTGGCCAGCACACTTTGGCTTTTTGAACATAATCGTGATTCATGGATGGAATATAAATTATTTCAAACGATATTTGTATGTAAACTGAAACATAAGTGAAACTACAAAGGTCGTTAAAAAGGTGAAAATATAAAGATTTGTTTTCACTTATTTAATTAACATTTTGAGTATATCACAGTTTCGTTACAAGTGAGAGGAGTGCATAGTGGAGAGTTGCAGCAATTTCCCCTACATTTCTTTGAAATAACCAAGATACACATATTAGTCCATGTCCATATGATGATTATGATGGCTCACCGGCTACTTTAGAGAGAATGGTTGTTTTTCTTCTTAGAGGAGTCTAACTGAATAATCGTGGTCAAAACGAATATCTTAAGACTATAAAAGACTTGACTTCTAAAGTCAAATTGTTTTTTTATCATCACGAGCTATGAAAATTAGGAAGTCTTTTAAATAAGCCAAAGTAATGAAACCAAACCACAATTCAACTAGCATTGGCTGATGTAAAACTGAATAAACTGTAACTACACACGGTCCTAAGATATTATATAATAGTATGACTTTAAGGTCATGAAATTTCCGACGCGGTCACTGATGATCACAATTTTCTCTATTATTTAAGACTTTGAACGGTTGTTGTGGATGCTATGGACTCATCCGTAGTTCGTCAATTTGATTAACTTTTTCTTTAAGTGTAATGACTTACGATATGGTTCAGAATGTTGAACACAGTTGGTAACACTGTTTCTTTATTTTAGTACTATACAGCTTTACATTATAAAAGCTAAATAATTATACGTACATATATATATATATATATATGTTGAGTTTAGACAACTTCTACAATTTTCTCGGAATTGAATAGTTTAGTTCTCATACTGCTTTTTTTTCAATAATTATTATAAACACGTTCTAATTAATATCGATAACAACTGTATAAAATTGTCTAAATGTCAAGATATTATGGTGGTTAGGAAAAAAAAACAAGAGATCTTGCATATGCAATTAATTAGCTCCCTTTACGCGGCACAAACCAAACTTGCTGGTGATCGAGCAAATCCGACAAAAAGAAAATTAGAGACTATGGAAACATCGAATCGCAATAAATCATCTTTCGCTATCCGTAAACACTAGCTTTAGTGACAAACAAAATCTATATTTCTATGAGCTTCAAAAAGATCCAGATTTCGGCCAATGAGCTTCGAAGGATCTTGGAAATCACATAAACATGTGTATCTCGGGAGAGAAAATCTTAAAGTCAACAACAAGAGTACAATGTCTACCTGTGCAAATACAAAAACTTGGGCAAACAACAAAAATACAGTGTGTAAAAGCTACAAAGAGTATTTACTGTTTAGAATCCTTGTGTTAGAGCAAAAACACGTCCCTTTAAAGGTGGAGGCAATGCAGAAACCGCATCTTCGATTTCCTGTGAAACTCGCAAAGATTCAGGGAAGAAAGTAACTGTCTTTTTTCTACTGTTACATAACTAGATTGAGAAAACACACCTTCACTGTATACCGAGCCGAAAAATGAATCAGTAGGATTGCTTTGTTTTCAAACTTTTCAGCATGATTAACTATCTGCAGTTTTTAAGTAATTCACAATGAGGGAAAAAATTATACGAGCATCAAGAGACAGAGAGTAACAAGGTTTCAGAGAGACGAGGAGACTCACCTCAGACAAATGGATATGTCCAAAATCTCTCGCATGCTCTATGGATACCGAATCATTAAGAAATGTGCTCTGCACAGGTGGAAATAGAGACAACAAAAGTTTCCCTTTAAAAAACAAGGCAATGAAACTTGAACCAGGCAAGAGGATAACGTCAAGCATCACGCACATTGTCCTAATTCATATAATCAGCAGCAACAAATATTCACCTCCATGACGAGAACCCTTGCCTTGAGAGCATCAGCGTTATTCTCATCAGCTACAAAATCTGACGTTGTATCCCCTGTAAAAGCGACTTCAGGAGTTGTTATGCTGTTTGTTATCTGCCACCAAAAACCCTTACCAATTAAACAGGCTTATATTTTTGAAAATAAATATTCCACAACTACTCACTGTGTGATAGACCGACGTAAGAAAACATTGACAAGCAATTTAAGGGAAATTAGAGACAAACCTCAACACCTGAAGCCTTCAAGTTCTTAATTTCATTTCCAGAAAGGCCAATATACTCCTGCTTGAGTTTCTGTTTAGTTGAGTAAACTACATAACCCTGCAATGTCCCACAAAAAGCATGAATTGAATGAAGAATAGAAAGAACAGTAGGAAGAGACTGATGTGAGAATAGTTCAAAGAACCTGGCTTTGGATGACATGGTATGTCTTAAAGGCTTTCACTTTGAGATCTTTCCTTATAATAAACTCCTCCCCTACACCAACAAGTGCCCAAGGTTTAAAACAAAAAAAAGAACAAAAACCCCACAAAATAAACCCCAAAGCTCAGGCTGCAATGGATGCCAGAAGTTGTATTACCAATGTCCAAGCCAACAAGATTGTGCTTTAGCTCTGAAGAGTCTAACTTTCTGTGAACCTCGAACAAACTCTCGACGCATTCTTTAATGGACTTGGGCACTATAATTGTTGGAGGCTTCATTTTGTACAAGCCTCTAGTCGCAACATACATTGGTAATCCACCCTATCAATTGAGTTCACAGCTAAACGAAAGTGACACCAAAAACGAATAACACAGCATAGGCTAATGATAAACACATGATGGGGTCAAAAAGGAGTTTGTTCTTACGATATGATCCATGTGGGAGTGAGAGATGAAGAGGAAGTCCTGAGAAATCGAGCGATGTGGGCAACGACCAATGTCGAAAGCTAGCCGAAGAGAAGGAAATATGATGCACGTCTCGTGCCCTCCAATCGACAATCCATCGATCGGGTACCCTTCGATTTCCATTACTTTCTTCTTCTCCATCTCACGCGAATCTTGGCTCTGACTTCCTTCTGCTGACTCTTGGGAATTGAGCACAAGGTGTTCGATGATTTGTCTCACGAGCTTCCAGCCTTCCATGATTCAATATTTTATTATTTTCTCCGCTCTCTCTTTCTTTTTGATTGGGCTTAGGCCTATAATACTTAGGCCCATAATAGTACATCTTCACTCGAGCGGTTTGATTTGCACGCGTGGACGCATGTGCAATCGCACCGGCTAATAAAAAATTCCCCACGCGCCTCACTCGTGCAGAAGCTAATAGTGTATTCCATATTCATCAACAGTAGAAGGGTCTAAATGTAAATTTACTACGAATGCTTCATATGAACGTAGCGGCATTCTTACACTTGTTCTCGAAGTAATGTCGACGATTTCGGACAATTTGAATTCGTTATCTGTAATACTTTAATTAATGTAGATTTAAAATGGTCCGAGTCCATACGAAATACCCAATTTCTGAATACTCCCAAAAAAATTTACTTTACCATTTTGGCATTGAATGTTTTTCCTCTTTAAATATTGCTCTCTTTTTTTCCCTTTTCGAGTTCTGATTTTGTTTTTTTTTTGTTTCCTGTAAAAAAAGTAATAAATTAATTAATTAATTAATTAAAACTTTGGAGATGATCCAACGGTTAGAAATCAACGGCGTAAGTTTGGAGTTATGGAGATGCGCTTACTTTTTGGTTAAAATTAGAAATATATGCTGGAAGAAATATAAGTATATATATTTTCTCTTTCCTTCTGGTCACTGAAACTATCACCAAAGAGGAGGAACAGTTCTTAAAGCTCCGGGAAGAGGAATACAGAGACGCAAATGCAAGCATTTCACTAAAAACCTCTTAGTTTCTCATTTCTCGGTATAATTTTCTTCCTTTTCGTTTTTCTGTTGTCTGAATCGGGCTCGGATTTTAGAACAGAGATCCGACGGTTACTCGAACCGACATTTTAGGACATTGTTCGAGTAGTGTGGATTTTAGAGGGATCTCTCTATCTGGGGGTTGTTTTATGATTCTGTCGGTTTTTCTTCCTGTTTCTTTATCGTTGTTCATTTGGAGTAACAAGTGTTGGTAGATTTTGGAGTCCCTAGGGTTCTTCTGCTTTGCAGTGTGAGTTTCAGATCTGGTTTTGTACAGTCGATAACTTTCTCATCTTGAGTATTATTGTCACATCCAAACTTTGTTAATCATTGTTCTTAATGATTAATGTTTATCTTTTCAAGCTTATTATTAGAGTTGATTATAAAAAGAAAAATGATGAACCGTTTTTTTTTTCTATGATTAATTTATAAACGTTTGATTTAATGTTAATTTTCTTCATTTTTCACTATTTGCAGTAGTACTTGTTCCCATATTCACATAGTCATGACTCATGATAGAGAAATGATGCTATCTTCTTGAGTAATATAAATCTGTGTTATTGCTTGGACAATGCAGGTGATTTAGTTCTATACATCATGGGCAAGTCTACAAAGTGGATAAAGAATGTACTACTTGGAAAGAAACCATCTAAATCTAGTGGTTCCAGAGGAAAGGAGGTAACTAGTTCTATATATTATATGATGATGCTAGTCTAAAGTGTGTGGAATTTGGAACGGAATCGTGAGTTTTTGTGGAGGAGAAAAGTAGTGGTTTTCGACAACGAATTTGCTCGATACAATGACATGAGTTTTTTTTTTTTTGGTTTTGATCTAACTAGTGTTATCACGCGCAGAGAGTTGTGAGTGGAAAAGAGGTACTGGTTACTGCAAAGGTAGAAGAATCCGATGTGGTATCAGATCTTCCATCTTTTGCAAATGCAGCAACCAATAGCGTTGATAGAGGCAGTGGTATGTTGGAGACGCAAACTGTAGAACCTGAGGAGATCTCAGATGACGACATACAGCTTCCTGAGAGCAAACCAGCAGATTCTCAAAATGCTGCACCTGTGCAAGACAATTTACTGTCTGATGCTGAGAGAATTCAACAAGAGATTGCAGCAACGTCTGTGCAGGCTGCGTTTAGAGGTTACTTGGTAATGAATCGAGCTATTTGGATTGTTATTGGTTTTTCCTTTTCGGTATATCCTGATCTGATCTCATTATGTGAAGGCTCGTCGTGCGTTTTGGGCACTCAAAGGCATAATAAGGCTACAAGCACTTATTCGTGGTCACCTGGTTAGGAGGCAAGCTGTTGCAACTCTTTGCTGTGTCATGGGAATTGTCAGGTTGCAAGCGCTTGCTCGAGGACGAGAGATCAGGAATTCTGACATTGGAGTTCAAGTTCATAGGCATTGCAGGTTGCAGCTGCTTCAGGTACTAATACTTTTGCTTCTCTCTGTAGATTTTCAGTGACTTTTAGTCCAGAAAGATATTCTAGTTGGGATATTTGAGGAGAAATAACTTTTTGTTTTCTCTCGTCAAATTAGAACAATCCTGCTGACACAGATCGTTACCTGGGAATCAAGAAACTAACAGCCAACGCTTTTGCTCAGAAGGTATGCTCATTGACAGAGCTACTATATATTACAATAAATTAGTACCATCTAAATAAGATGAAAAAGAGCAATCTTCGAAGTTATAAAATTTTGTTGTCTTATTTTATGGAGTTTCTAATCTTTTGTTTCAGCTTCTTGCTTCATCGCCAAGAGTGATACCTGTACACACCCCCTATGATTCATCCAATCCAAACTCAAACTCAATCTGGTTGGAGAACTGGTCAGCCTCATGTTTCTGGAAACCAGTTCCTCAACCAAAGAAAACAATTGGGAGAAAACTCCAGAACAGACTTGCCAATAATGCTCAGATAGTCGAGGCTGAATCTGCTAAACCTAAGAAGAGTGTCCGTAAAGTCCCTGCTGCAAATATTGAAAGTTCCTCAGTACAGACATCTTTTGAGTTTGAGAAACCCAAACGCAGCTTCCGAAAAGTTTCAAGCCAGTCTATAGAACCACCTGCTGTCGAAAATCCTCAGATTGAACTTGAAAAGGTTAAACGTAGCTTGAGGAAGGTACACAATCCTATAGTTGAGAGCTCTATACAACCTCAACCAGTCCCTCATATGGAAGTTGAGAAGCCAAAGCCTGTTGAAGAGAAGACAACTGAATCATCATACCCGATGGTTCATGAAACCGTGGAAGAACCCGTGAATGTCTTTGACGAGAAGAAAAAGCAAGAATTGCCCGAGCAGCTCGAGGAGGTACATGTTCCTGAGGTGGAAGTACATGTTCCTGAGGTGGAAGTACATACTCCTGGACCATTGGAAACAAATGAAGCACTTGATTCCTCACTGATCAACCAAATTGACAGCATCGAAGAACCCATGGTTGAAGAAAAACCTTCAACGGAAAAGAATGCAAAGGAAGATAAAACTCCCAAAGCAAACATGAAAGAGAATTCAGCCGGGAAGGAGAACCAGAAGTCCAGGAAAAAGGGTTCAGCTACCAATAAGACCGAGCGTGAAGAGAATAATGGACACAGCCCATCAATCCCAAGCTATATGCAAGCAACGAAATCGGCGAAAGCAAAACTGAGGCTGCAGGGCTCACCAAAGTCTGCTGAGCAAGACGGGACTGAGAAAGCCAGTGTTCCCAGACGTTACTCTCTACCGTCTTCAGGTAATGGCAGGATCACCTCTCATTCTCCAAGAACAACGAGGCTCGCAAGCTCAGGTGATAAAACCGGAAATAAGAAGGAGAAACCTCTTCTGTCATCTCGAGAAGGAAGTGGTTAGTGCCAAAAACCAATACATGCTTAATGAGATCAAACTAAACTCTGGGAGATTTGGAGAATTTTACTTTCATTTAACTCCTCTTGACTGTATTGTTGACTTTTGCAGCAAAGACAACTCCGGTAGAGCGGAAGAGGTGACCAATAGCTTCAGAAAGTTGAAGCCTTTCTCGTTCTTGATTCTATAGTAGCCACATTGTCAACATGAGGAATGCCACCGTCTATCTATATAAAAGCTATATTTTTTTAGTTTGTGATTGTGTGTGTGTTTATATGCTGGCCAAGTGTTACAGTTGGCCGCTGAGTTTCTGCATTTGTGAGTGTCCTATAATGTTGCATCACAAGGCTGTTGGATTTTGTTATTCTTCTTCTTATGGTTTTATCGTTACATTACTCTGATTACTATCTAAGAATTTATCTTTTTATGTTTATGTGAATCTGTGATTATTTTGGGAATGGTCTTCTCATTTACAAACTTTGGATGAAGGATGAAGGAGGGAACGGTGAAATTTTTGAACTTTCTATGTTCGTTTTTTCTCATGCCTCTAAGACATAGTTCGAAGATTGCCACAGACAAAACTGCAGAGTGCAAGCTTATATTGAATCGTAATCTGTCAAATTAACTTAGTTATCGAGTCCAGTCTTTAAAGATTTGATAGGTTTCCCCAAATTTACGACTTTCTTCTAGCCTTTGATCTTCAACTCAAGAAAATAAAACAGAAATGAGGCAAGAAGAGAAAATGGATCTTCTTCAAATAACATCTTTCATATATGACATATATGATCTTAAGTCGATTGATTTCTGTCAAAAATTTCAGACCTATGGTACCGATTCTTTCTTTGAACACCAAAATGAAGTGAGGAAAGCTTATGCGAAACCGACGACCAAATCAAATCCACGGAATCTCCAGGCTGCGAAGGAAAACGATACTCGAAAAACCTAACAACCTCTTTTAGTCTCTCCCACTTCTTCTTCCACTGATCCTCTGTTATCCCTCTAAGGAGATTCACCAAAAGCCCTTTCTTTACAGCTTCCGAAGAGTGCACAAACACAGAGAAGCCCGAATAGTCTAGAGTATCTTCGAATGGAAGCTCAATCTGGTCACTGATGATAACAGGAACACAATGGCTCACGATGGAGTCGAAAAGACGGTTAGAGGAAGGCGTGTCACCTGCGATATTCAGACAAAACTTGGAGGAAGCCATTCCTTTACCAGTTTGTTTAGTCCCGTTCCCTTTTACGGTTCCAAATGCAAAGTGAACGTCTTTCTCATCTTTAAGAAGGTTATACAGTTCTTGGCGAATAGTTCCACCCTGCAAACGAAACATTTGATGGTTAAATCAGTAACATGATTGAGATGTGATTACTGCGACACAACAAAGACTTTATGACTAAAAAAACACTTTACATCTTTTCTGTAGATTGCTCCTTGGAAATACGCCAATACAGGACGGTTCTCAAACGTAGCAGACTCATTGTTAGGGATAGTCTTGACGACGTGGAAGTAAGGTGCAATGACGTCTTTCTCAAGATTCGCAATCGAGGATGGGTATCTTCCAAAATCCGAGAGAACAAACATAGCGGATCCAAGCGAGTTTCTTGCATAGAGCAAACTGTTTGGATGGTGAGCTATGATCAGATGATCTCTCCCATTAAATCTTTTCCACTCCTCTTGACTTTTCAAGAACTCAACTAATCTTTCCTGCAACAGTTTATCAACACTGGTGGTTTCGTTTCCACGGAGCTTAGATTTCCGATTGTAACTCAACGAGGAGAAGAAGGGCACGAAAACTATGTCAGCTTCAATCGAATTCTTCACTCTAATTGCAGTACATGGTCTCTTAATCTCAGGTGTCTCTGAAGCTAATAGGTCAAGTGTAAGCCAATACTCTGCACTGTGTTGCCGATTTAACCCACCGGGATAAGATGGGATTGTGCTAATGTTCTTGACATTTGGCCAAATCTCAGATCCTTTTCTGTGCCAATTCAATATCCCAAAATGAAACTCAGGGGGCAAATCGTACATAAACACCTTCAACACATCTCGATTTAGACCACATGAGACCGGTTTAGAATCGGTTTTCCTGAATCCTTCGTTCTTGATGTCTGTTCTTGGAAGAATTAGCTTGCGAACTAAAGTTGAAGTGAAAGAAGATTCGTTGCGTTGGAGGAAGAAGAGGGAAGAGAGAATGAACAGTAGCGTTGAAACAGTTACTGTGTAAAAGAGGAATTTTGAGGAAAGCAAGCTCTTTTCCGACATTTTTTCGAACCTCACTCAAATCATCCACAGAAAAATTCGATTTGCAGGCAAAGGTTTCAGCTTTCGTCCATCATCTAATGAAGAACCATTGGGGAAAATAGTTAGTACCTGAGGAATTAGTGCTTCTGAGGTTTTACGCCATCGGAGGAGAACATAGACTTTGATGCACTGCTCTTGTAATCTAATACTTTCAGACAATTTCTATAACTGAAGAGGACTTTGAGTTACAAGATTTGGCCTTTGATCTACAACTTTCTCTGACAAAAGCCAAGACTTTTTTTTTTTTTTTTTTTTTTGGTATTGACGCCTTTCTTTTGTTGACGACACTTAACCCTTTTTTTAGGAGGACAACATGTAAAGAATCAATTTCTGAAGAATAAAGGGTATATATTTGTTAGTGGCTATTGGGGGAAAAACCATGATCGGACCCGAAATTAGCAAAGAATTGTTTCTTTGATATTTATATTAGTATGAATCTTTGGAATTATTTTTTTAAATTATTCACTACAAACTCAAAGAATTTGTAATTAATTGAAATGTATTCCTTAATTGGAAGAAAATAACAAAAGACAAATAGAAAAGAAACATGGAATTATAGGGGATCGGGAATTACAATACAGTTATACAGGCAAATATTACTGAAATTAATTTTCATTATCATTACAATGAAAACATACTAGAGCTAATTGAAGAAAGTACTAGATAGAAGTCTCTCTTTTCGTTTTTTCTCATGGACATTTTGGTCCACCTTGTTGAGTTTTCCAGTTATTGTAACAAGGACACACTTGTTTGTTGCCGTAAAAGCCTGGAGGGACACAAAGGCATTTAGCACAACACTTTTGGCAGAAGAACATGCATGGCTTATGGTACTGCGTGTTGCTACACCTCCTCGTGCATTCTCCTCCACATTCTGCAGTGAGTTTTAAATTGCGCGCTTTTATAATCAGATATGATATTAAAAGAAGAAGAAGATGAGGAGGTTTTTTACTTACGGTATGATTTGAGACTTCCAGGTCCATACTGTTTTCAAAAAAAAAATGAGAAGCGGGTTTTAGGTCTTATTGTAATAAATATAGAAATGGAAAGGGAAACAAAATTCCAATGAAGATTTTTGTAACAATAGCTTACCCTTTCTGGATGGTACTCTGCCTCTTTTGACATAGTGAGAAAGGTGAAAGAGAAGAGAATGGTGATAAAGAGAAGGTAAGTTACGAGTTTGGCCATGGCTGCCTTTGATCCACTTGGCTCTTGAGAGAGAAGATGTGTAGTGAAGCTCTTAGTTTGAGAGATTTATGAGTGTGTGACTAACGGTTGTCTGAGCTATTTATAGAAGGTGTGAGTAGGTCTTTAAGCTTTCTTTATTCCATGTATAATAAGTTGATAACGGTTCCTATATGCTTCATGTCTCATACTAATTACTACCACTTGTTTGTCTACAACACAGCGCTTATGAAAAATACAATTTGAAATACAAACGTAAAAGTAAACGCAACAAACTCAAGAGAGAAAAAAAAAAAAAACAATTGACCCTAGTCTATACATAAGAAAAGGGAAAATCACATTTTTAAATTTAAAAAAGTAGTTTCAATTAATCAGATGAATTTGGAGAAAATGTACACCAGACTTTTAAATTCGGGGCAGTTTTTTTTTTAATTCGGGACAGTTAAAAAAGATAACTCGCAAAAAAAGTTATACATTCAGAAAAAAAAGAAATATAAATCACAAAATAATTAAAAACTTAGTGAATAATCCAATAATATCATCTCGTTATTAAAAATTTGAAAGCCAACGTACTTTCAATTAACTTTCTTTTTTTAACATATAGTCGTAACAATGAATAGAATAAGAAAGAAAGTGAACAAGCTGATATGGTTATGCCACATTAGAACACTTCTATCAGAAGTTTATAACAGGTTCTTGGCACAATATATATATATATATGAATTTAGGTTTAAAAATAAATAAGAAATGGCCCAAAAATTAACAACCGATTGTTAATATCTCGTGGAATTGTTACGCGATGTAGTCACTTGTAATTGGTCAGATTTTATTTTTATTTATTTATTTTTTAAGTTAAAATTCTAACTTTTCTAAAGAATAAAATATTCTTAACAATCTAAAGGAAGGGTTTACTGGTGGATGTGCTCTTAAGTCAAATTTGGGGACAATCCAAAATTCAAGTAAAAGGAGGGTATGATGGTAAAATAGGGAGGGAGTAACATGGAGGAGCAGTTACGTATCCATCGCTAGTGATTGGGACCAACCAAAAATGGACCGATAAGAGCAATCTCGGCCTGGATTCATGCTGCTTTTCCTCTTATCTATTAGCAAAGTGATCCGAGGAGATCCGTTCGATGTAGAAGAGGAGCCACGTGTTTAAATCGCAAAGGTGGATATATAGATGATGCAAGTTAAGAGGTGGGAATTAATTGGAGAAATGAGAGAGGGACAAAAGGGTAGAGGCAGTTTTCTTGCATGCATAACTCCATGTGCACTCACATGGGGGACATATCTATCCAATGCTTTCAAGTTTCAACAAACTTAACGATTTTTCTCGTATTTGCATTTTTGGCTTTTTTTTTTTCTCTATGAGAAAAATAAATAGCTTATACAGTTTTGTAAAAGTTAGTTTGAAATGAAAGACCAGAAAGATTAATATGCTTTTGGGTTTTAAATATTTTTTCATTTAAAAAAATGTTTGTCCAAAAATAGCAGTTATGTTTTCTATGAAATTGTTCGTATTAAACGTTTCAGTAGATACGGCATCTTGTTACTACACTGACAAATGAAGTTGAAGTCGATTTCTTTGATGTCTCCCCTTCATTTATTTCTTCACCTTACTCTACCGTTCAATAGATAGCGTCTATGTCCATTTATTTAGGCTTCACGTTTTTCTTCCACAAAAGAAAAAGAAAGAGTAGCACACGTTAATTTCAGCATACTAAAACCTTTGTATAAGTTTTGAGGTCATTTTGAATTATTATTCAAATACTGATTTTATACTAAGTGGCCACCTTCTTTCGTTCCTTCATATCTACTCCCTCTGTTCAGAATTATTTGATGTTTAAGGTTTTTGCACACAGTTTAAGGATTCATTTAATTTTTATTTTTCCTATACTAAAAATATTATTTATAATTCATTTAAATATCATTCAGCCAATAAGAAAACAATCTGCAGAATATAAAAGGTCAAAAACTATAAAAATTCATTAAATTTTGCATTAAAAAGTGAGAACATCAAATAATTCTGAACAAAAAAAACCTTCTAAAACATCAAATAATTCTGAACAGAGGGAGTATTATTTATTTCACCATAAACATTCATAGATTTCTTATAGCTATTTCCCAGATATTTACTATATGTTTAAGCTATGTTTGGTTAGAAACAGAAGGATTTTAAAAATCTTACTTGATCCTTTATCCTTTTATTTGTTCAAATTTGATCCTTTATCCAAAAATTGTAAAATTTCATTCGATAAGAGCATGTTCAACGAGCGTTTTTAAGATGGTTTTTAAAGATATTTTTTGATTAAATTAAATCAAAATAGAATAAAAAAATAGAACGTAACCTAAACAAGCGATGTAAGAGACGTCTTTAAATGCTACGTGGCGTGTGTGTTTTGGTTTAAAGTTTTGGGGAGTGTTTTCTATCTTCTTTCATTTCATTTTCTTTCTCCTACGTGCAGTGTGTATAGTTATTATAAGTTTTTTTTTTTTAAATCCACGAAGGTCTTTCCATTGCACTCTCTAAAATTTCAAAATTTTAAATTAGATATTTACTAATAAAACAACCTATTTTAATAATAAAGAAAAGAATAAAAACCCATAAAAGTCTCTTCATTGAACATGCTCTAAAATTTCTTAATGAGTGGACGAGGCCCAAGCCGAAGTGATACGATAAACTTCAAGAAGTTTACAGATACTATTCTGCAAGAAAAGGCCGAAAGAATCGAAAGAGAGGATATTAAAAGCCCAGTACCCGGTTTTAAAAATCCATATCCAAACGGTGAAAGGAAACATCAGTCACATAATCAAATTACGATAGCTTTGTTTGGTTAATTTTGCGCATTATTTTTTTTTTTGACTAATTAAGATATTTTTTATTGAATTAAATAAGGCTGCTTCCGATGAACCAAAAATCAAAATATAATTTAAAGATAAAAAAAAAGAATTACATAAGCAAGTGACAGACAGAGAGAAGAAAAGTAGATTTCATGTTTAGTTTCCTTAATATATTTTACCTTTTTAGAAATAGCCGTAGTTAGTTGTTTAATACTAATCATTATTACGTGCCCTTTCTCGTATATTTCGTCTTTAACCGTTGCTGCTAGACTGCTAGTTATAAATTATTATAAGTTAATATATCTGGATCATCATATCTAACATGAGATATTATAATAATTATTAATCTCATTATGATATTAATTAAAATTTTAAAACGAAAAGACAACATATTGACTTATGTATATAAATCACAAAATAAGTTGATTTTTAGGGGTTGATATGATTCTAAACTTCACGAGTAGGGCACGGTGGGTGAGAAACAGAGAGTCTTTTCAACATGATCCCCCATCTATCTCGTTCTTAATTACATGTGTCTCTGATTAAAAAAAAATAAAATAAAAAAGCAATCCTATATTTAATTAATTCCACTTCGAAATTAATATATAATATATAATAATGAAATGAACTCAACAGTACGATCCTGACTATTGACTAGTAACTGAGGAGCGAACAAATAAAACCAAAACTCGTCGTCAAAGATTGATTAAGAACTTACTTAATTTATTAATTCATTTGACAAATCAACTTCACGACATTCTTCCTTGAGTTTCAGCTTTTAATACCTTAATTACGCTTTTCTTAATCGCATCATCGACAATTATAGCATTTTCTTAATCTAAGTATTTGCATGTCTTCCCTTTACAAATTTTTCCTTTTTTGCTGTGTTTCTGTTGTCGCTATGGTACCTGTTAAATGTGTATATATATATATATATATCGGTGTATGTGGGAATTAAACATGAAGTTAGATTTTTATTTTTCTCGTTACATACAATCAAAAACTTATTAAAAGCCAGCTCCGTTTATTTAACAAACAAGGAAAAAACAAACTTATTCTCTTATTATCTGGGCAAGGTGAATAAAAGTCTTTACAATGGACTTTTGTGTGTCAATTGGGACCCAGTTTAGTTGGTTCATGTTGTAAAGAAGTCAGTTTGACTAATTAGGCAGTAATAATATAACTTAAATTGTTGGTTAATAAAACAAAATAGTCAGTAAAATTCAATTAGAAAACATAAATCATTTGCTTACTTTTGGAAAATGTCACGAAAATCATATTCCTTCTTTACAATTTTGTATTCCCGTTTATTTGGCTTACAAAATCGAAGCTGGTTCAGTTTTGTATTGAATAGTCATTTTGTTTTAACCTTACAAAATACAAGGTGGCACACGAGAGATAAAAGTTATCAACGTGAAACAAAACCGAATTCATCAATTATCTTGTATTAAAATGTACCGGTTATATGATTAATGAATTTAGTAGCTAGAGAGTTCTAGGAAAGAAAGATACTTTAGGAATAAGAATGCATATAAATATTTTAAGTTTTTGTTTTTGTTTTTATGAAGTTGTGTCAAACTCCAAATTTCTAACAAATTATCTCACATCATTTTTGATAGTTCATATTTTTCAATAACTCACGTATGTATTCTGATAAACATAAGTACGAATGACGACACGTCAACAACATAAATGTTCACAAAAAAAGAAAATCAAAAACAAAAATGACATAAATAATCCTCTACTCAGTTTATAAATTGAGAAAAAATGAACTTCTTCTCATTTGATAGTCTGTGCTTTTTTATGATGTATAAGTATAAGTGTATAACTAATATGTATAATTGATCTGCTCAAAGTTTAATCCCTAAGTTACTCTGCAAGACCATAGATGTGCAGTTGTAGTATATAGGGGTCGAACCACAGAGATAAGAGATCACTCAATAAACCTTATAGAGATCGAATTACGCTAAGCAGAAATATTTTAAATAAATAGCAATGCAACAGAATTAGACTAAGCAGCAATAAAAACGGTTTGTAAGATTCAGATGGATGGAGATTAGGCTTAGGGCGTTTCTCAGGAGATCAATGAATGCTGAACAATCGATTAATCAGGGTTCAGGTTTAAGCACGGTTCTTGAACTCGAATCACAGAATTATAATTAACCAACTTCCGTTGTGAGAATTATCTAAGTTAAAATCCTAGAATTCTAAATTCCTTTGCAAACCCTAAAGATTTAAACCAGCATGCACAAGTTCGATATATTCACAAAGTATCTAAACCAAATTCTTTTGCGAATAGCTACTTTGCTCACCCTAGGTTCTTTCCAGTTATTCAATTACACTTCCGTGTCAATCAATTAACCTAAGATCTAAGTTGTAAGTGGCCAATCCAGAATTAGCTTTAAGAACAACATATGGTGAAGAACTAAATAGATTATGAACCCTAACTAAATCAATTAATCAAACATCCAGAGAAAACTTTTATGAGAACCCTAAACCTAACAAGCAAACTACTCAGACATAGAGATTGAAGCAATAAACATGAATGAATAGATTGCAGTAAGCAGTAAATAGATTAATAAACAGGGGTTCGAAATCTTCTCTCTCCGGAACAGAGTTTCAGACTTGTCTCCCCAAAAGCTCTCAAAAACAAAAGTTCTCTCTCATAAAATCTAAGGTATCGATATAAGGTGACTAAAAACCCTATTTATAACTTAAAAACACGTTTTGGGCTTCCTTGTAATTATTGGAGACTTTTGGGCCCAACTCCTTCTTCAAATAGGAAACAAAATCACGTTTTCCTTATTTCTGCAACAGGTGTCGAGCGTCACTCTCCATGGTGTCGAGCGTCACTCTCCATGGTGTCGAGCGTCACTAAAGCACATGATTCATCTTTGACGAATTTGATCCTGATTAGCTCTAAAGTGCTCCAAAATGCTCTAAAGTTTTCAGTTAAGCTTCAAACGTACCTATGATTTATAAAGACTCCAAAAGACTCGAGAAACACTAGAAAGACTCTATAAATAAGACATATACCATGGTTAAAAACCATAAAAACCATGATATATCAATCAATCTTGAACAAATGATTTGTTATAATCATTCCATTTAGTTTGAGACATGTTACTGTAAGCCGCAAGCTTATTTGTTTTCCTTGTTGGAACATTTTTTTCTTCAGAGTCATCTAACTTACGCATTCAATTATATATGATTTTACTATTGCTTTCAAACCACTGGAGGTTTATTATCCTTTTTATGTAGAAAATTCAATATTCTAATAAGTATTTTTTTTTCTTTTTAGAAAATGATATCTATTAGCTAATGATATATAAAGATATATACTCAAAAATACCACTAATAAATGTTTAACGTTTTTTACACGCTTGGTAGATCTTAAGTAATAAATAGTATGTATGTGGTGGACAAAAAAAAGTGTTCTTTGCTCCCATGTTTCTTTCTTTGTTTGCCATGAAAACAATAATATATAATAAATTTATTTAAACCTAACAGTTTACTTTACTTAACAAAAAAAGACTTGTTCTTGTGAAAACTTGCAGCTATAATATAGATACATATAGGAAGTTTGGATTAATATTGAGATTCAAAACAAAACAAAAAGTTTGGAACAATAATAAAAGGTGATTGGAAATGCGATTGCATTCCAATATTAACCTGTCATTGTCTATTGCTTGTGGGAGCAAGTCCGTTGGACTGAGTCGGATTCGCATTTAATTTACGTATTCAAATAATTTATTTCTGTTCTATTCTATTCTATTACATATAAATGAATTATCTGTATAATGCATTGCACGTGATCTCGACGGTAAAATAAGGCTGGCTATTGATTTCTTCATTTCTTTGTGATTTTTTAATGTTCCACTAATTAATATATCTTTGTTATTTCTTATGTTCCACTAAATAAGGCTTCCCTTATAATCTTATATGGTTCACCTGTAAGCTCTAACTAGGTATGAGTATTCGTATGCCAGATTTTTAGATTTCGGGTATTTTGATATTAGAGGTTTAAGACTCACTGAATACTTTTAAAAAATATAACTGAAAAATTTCCGATATTTCAATTTAAAAATAACTAATATATTTAATTTATAAAAGTAGTTTTAAATAGTTTTAATTATTTCAAGTTTAGATATACATACGACACCTTCTAGTTCAGTTTGGTTTCTGGTTTTGTTTTTTTGGTTCTAGCTCTAACAATTGAGCTTAACATGAATTTGTTATTTCATCTGTATTCTTCTTCTTCTTCTTTTCTCGCTGTTGTCACTAATATTCTTTATACTAGTATTATTTAGACAACTTGAAGACCATTTAAGATTCAAAAAAAAAAAAAAGAATTGAAGACCATTTATAATCGTATATTACCCTTATGTCGCGTTTGAACATGACAAATTGACAATAGGGTGAAATAATGGAAGAGAATGAATATCGTTATATCGACAGAGAGACAAAACCACACCCATTTTAATAGTATACACTGTAGTCTGTATAGATTTCATCAGATACAGTTTCAAAATAGAACATATCATCACTAACTATCGAACACGATACAATAAATGAATGATTTCAGCCGTTTGATAGTTTATAATCAGTTATTAAGAAAAAATATATAGTAAACACATGTATTAGATTAAGATAATACATATAGTACCGTATACAGTACATAGATATTTTAGTCGTATGCATATAAATTTCAAAATAACTTATAGGGAAAAAAAAAGTAGCCCCATTTTTAAGCTACTTTGTCGACACCGTAGGTATATAATTAAATCCCTCTAGCTAGGTTGGATAGTTTAACAAAGCCTAACTAATATATAAAAGGGGGCAAGTACACATCTTCTAGTCTTCACTTCGTTTTCATATAAAGAGATCTTTCGTATGACCAAAGAGCCATTTTCAACTTTTAAAGGGTAACCAAATCGATAAAAACTAGGGTTTCCAAGATCCTGATGAAGAAGAGACAGATGGTCCTAAAGCAAAGATCAAGAAACTCCAACACGTCGTCGTCTTGGACTACTACTTCTTCATCGGCGATCAGTAACGTCCGTTACGTGGAGTGTCAGAAAAATCACGCTGCTAACATCGGAGGTTACGCCGTCGATGGTTGCCGTGAGTTTATGGCCGCCGGCGATGAAGGAAGTGTCGATGCTTTGAGATGCGCGGCTTGTGGTTGTCACCGGAATTTTCACCGGAAGGAAGTCGATACGGAGGTTGTTTGTGAGTACTCTCCTCCTAACGCTTGATTTTTCGAGGATTTAGCCTTTTTCTCTGTGATTTGGATTTTATCGATTAATTTTCAAGATGAATTTATCAGAGGATATATTTGTATATAATTATTGATGTGTATATCAACAGCTCACATACTGCCGACCTATATGTATTTTTAAAATGGCTTTGTTGCTTTGACATCTTGTATAGTTCTGTACTTCTGTTTGTGATGTAAACAATAGTATGTTTGATAGGTTTAGCTTTGTGGATCTTAATGAGTGCCATATAAATGAGTGCCATGTTCAACAAGTGACATTATAGGATCGAAGCAAGATTTGTTTTTAATTTGGAGAATGATATTCGATTTATTTATTTCATACGATTAGAAGCATATGATCAAGTATATCACACTATATATACTGGCCATTCTTCGACCTTCTATATGGGATAATTCGTAGGAGGCCTCTTATTTTTTAAGTACAGAGTTAAAAATCGAATACAAGTTCCAATACATGTGTGTAGCAGCAGTCTTTTTTTTGAATAATATTGAACCCTGATATGTGCTTAATTAAACGTGTGAATAAAAAGATTGTGTGAAATGTATATATATGAAACACTAATCCATTCAATTATTAACTTTTTTTTGTCGAGTTCAATTATTAAATTTAAGGAAATTTTTGTATATATACGTCATAAAAGATCGTCTTGATTACCTACATGTAATATTTTTCCACAAAAACCCTTTATTTTAACATACGTTTTAGAGTCATGTTATATATCTGCCAATCACAACTCACGACCAATTATATATAATAAGATACTTGTTGAGTAGGAAATATGAGGATGTTAATGATATATAGTAGACTGATGGATCAGATTTTTTAACTCGAAGATAGGTGAATCTAATTCCAATTTTGTTGGCTTCTTGAATCTAATTCCGTTTAAAATATACTAATATTGCGTGTGTTTGAAAGCGTGAATTTTTATAGAATAACGTAGGCAATTTCTTTTATTACAAACGGTCCACATATCGAATCATGTTTTCTTATCGTCTAGGTTAATGGTATTTGTTTATTTATTTGTAAAACCTATGGAATCAAAAGGAGAGGCGGAAGCAACTACGATTTAATATTAATGTAAAATCATGGCCATGGAAAAAGATTTGGTTTTGTGATTAACAAAATGATGTATTGGCCGCTTGCCATCATCTAAAGTGGCCACTCAAATTTGTTGGAAAAGACCACTATAGTTTTTAATTATTATAATTGTTTGAAACGAAAAGAGCTTTATATCCTTCTATTCCAACTTTTTTTTTGTTAACTAGAACGTATCGTGAATCTCCAGAAATTGAACTGTATACAGTCAATTTTTAATATATTGGCATTATATGACACGTATATTTAAATACAAAAGTTTTGTGCATTGTCATTTGTGGATCTCTCTAAAGACAGTAGTAACTCGGAGTTAATACCACCATATCGCATGAAAAAGAATGAACGGCAAATAACTAAGCGAAGAAAAATTAATATAAGTAAGTTTTAAATATCTCAATCTCCACAGACTTTTGTGATCCCTAAACACATGCGAAATTGCCTAATCATTTTCCCGGCATCACATGAATTTCCAATCAAAATCAATATTGTCGAAAGTTTTTATGCAAACTACATAATCAAACGTAGATCAAAATTAGGATCCGTTTTTTTTTTTTTTTGGTCAAAAATCCGTTTCTTTCTTCTCTACCGGAGCCTCGAAGTGCATGAATGTAAACATCCGAAAAAGATTTAAAGTGTGTAAAACAAAATATCGGAACATCTTTTCAATTAGGTGGTATGCAATTGTCATGGAGACCTTGAAGTTGAGATTGGTGAAGGCCCGTTATTGGCAAATCAATCAACATTTAAAGACCAATGATAATATTATTTTTTATAAAGTCAAATTGGTTTTATTTGGGTGAACAATCGGCATTTTTTGGTTGATAATTGGCTCTTTCGTAAATGTGCAATGTTTATACGACCCACCCACTAATTAGTATGATTATAATTAAAGACTTTTTTTTCCTTAGTAATGGACCGATGTGGAGAGCCTTAGGGCACATTCAAAAGCTTATTAAAGGCCCATGGTAGGTAGCTTTTCTTTATTGATTTGTTCATTAGAATAAGGGTAAATGGGTAATAATCACTAAATTCTAGTTCATATCAAGTTCTATGTAATTCAACTTCAGTCACTAATTAGTACTAATTAAATTATAGGCACTAAAACTTTTAAAACAAAAGGGGGTCACGAAGAAGGAAATTTAGTGGAATGACAAGGCAATTTAAATAATAATAATCTCTGTTGAAGAATAATGAAAAGGGGCCAAAAATGAACAAAACAAGTGGACCAAGACAGCGAAAAGAAACCTTTGGCTTATCTAACAAGGGAGATATGGGTTTGAGAAAATGATTGAAGTGAAGATGAGTTCCTTCGATACATGGGATCGATGTGATTTCCAAAGGCCCGCCCTTAAAGATCACATGCTTCTGTCCTTTTAATTCGACATTCACATTCTTTTTTTTTTCCTTTCAATTCGTAGATGATGATCAAAGCATGCAGTAGATGTATTTATTTTTATTGGAAACCAAAAAGGAAAAAAAATTATCAATTCTTTTGTACAAACCAAGCATGTAATAAAAGAAAGAGAGATATATCAAGGCCTATGTTGCTGGGTATAGAGAAGCCCATTAGATTAAATGGGCTTAGGAAACTAATCTCTATTTCGTTATTGACTAGGTCAATTACGTTGACTTGATGTAACACATTTTTTTTTTTTGAAGAAACCAACACATTTGGTACACCATACTATACAATGATTCATCAATGATTAAGAGTTTGCCGGTCTATTCAATTTCATATTGGGGCAGCCTTTTTTTGTAACAGCTTTCTTTATTAGTTAGATAGTATTAGAGAAATACAGAAAGTTCATCAACCACCGACGTGATATAAACTGAATAATACATACTGTATCATTTACAAGAATAATTATAATAGTCGATGACATAACTGTCCCAACCCAAATACCCAATAATCATTAATGCACGTAGACTTCAAAGATCTAATGAAGACTATTAACACCATTTATTTTCTTCACAAACTAAACATCATTCACAATATCACACAGTTGTTTGAGTAGTGACATCAAACTCTTAATGATACTATTAGGAAAGGAAGATGCCTCGTTGGAAAAAAGAAAAAAAGAAAAACAAAACTCATTTCAATAATTCCAAAAACATGTACAATGCTGATAAAACCTAAATAAAGTAAATATCTGGATCAATTCTTTTTTATCTATTTAATTGGATGATCTAGACTCCGACACCCGGTTGGAGGGAACGGGATTCAGTTTGCTTTGCAAAGACCATGCTAACACACTTGGTCAATGACTCTTTCCTTTTGTGAACCGGAGCTTCTTAGTACTAACAGCTACCTGATCACAATCACTCAGTCTATTGACTCCCGGGCTTTAGTCTACACAGTTTCACAGAAGAGTCAGATCAACATTTAATATGAATAAGTTCAACATAGGTTAAACGTGGGTTGAATCTGACCAGTGTCAACTACGACATCACTAATAAAAAAAATTTAGATAACAAATTTCAATCCTGAAAAGTATAAAGATATTGATTTATCAAAAAGAAATAAAAAAGAAAGCTTAGTTTATTGCATTATTTTTTTTAAAAAAAAATCACACTCATTAAGTAGATCACAATTCATAGTTTTCTTCATCGACTTGACAAGAGCAAGCCACGCAGTGAAATAAACTCTAACTAAAAATGATAAAAGGATACTAAAAAAACGGTAAACCTAGATAGCTTTTTTTTTTTTTTTTTTGCTTTTCTCAAGGAAGTTCCGGCCGTAGACTTCGTTGCCGGGACCTGCTTGTGCTATCATACATCTCTCTCAAACAAGGTTAAAACTAGGGTGCAGAGAGCACAACATCCTTTTGGATGAGACTAAAACCACAAGACTACCTATACTTGGTAGAACTATAGAGTTGCTCCACGTTTTCCTTTTCGTAGAACAAATCTTGACTGTTGCTATCATTATTTTTACCTTTCAGAGACACATCAATGAGATCTTCTTGATCGTGATCACACTGAACCAAGCCTTGATCATCAAACAACCATTGCTCGATCAAAGACAACGAGCCATGATTATCAGTAGTAGCATTAGTAGTTGCTTCCATGTCATTGTTTGCTCTGCTCTCACCTTTGAATATACTTGTCTCCGCCATCAAATTCGACTTCTCATGATCAACTGATCCAGATTCTGAGTTCGATGAGAACAAAGAGTGATGATCAAGAACCCCTCCTTCACCGGTGCTTGAGCTCCGGTTGTTGGAGAGTGATGAAGTGTTAGGCATTGAAGAGGATGAGCTTGTCCAGTTCTGTAGTAACTTAGAGATGTTGTCTGCGCTTGAGGCATATGTACCGTTGGCAGAATGATTATGAGGAGGTTTTGGTGAGTCGAGATCAGGAGGGATCGATGAAGATGGTTGGTCAAGTGATAAGGCTTGGAATAAGGCTCGTTTGGCCATGTTGATGTCTGTTTGAAGCTTTTTCTCCCATTGTCCTTTGTTGGCGAACCTTTTGTTGCTGTTGTTGTTGTTGTTGTTGTTATCACAAGACGACATCTCTGTCATATCGGTGTTGTCTTCGTTGGTGGTATCGTTTTGACGCTGCAGCTTGAGTTTCTTCTTCAGATGAGTGTTCCAATAGTTCTTGATATCGTTGTCGGTCCTCTGAGGTAGATATGATGCTATGGCTGCCCATCTGATTTTCAAAGACGATAACCAATAAAATAAAATAAATTTTAAAAACAAAACATTAATCGACAGATGAAGACTGAGAGATTATATTAGAGATGAAAATAAATATTTAATCATGAGCTTCGAACACAAAATCACTTAGAAGTGTCTATTCTTTAACATCCATCAAATTAACATACAATTTATAGAAATGGTGAGAATATTTAAAGGAGCATTTTCAAATATATACCTGTTACCCAAAAGAGCTTGGAGGTGGATGATCGTTTTCTCTTCAGGTTGAGTGAAATTTCCTCGTTTGATCCCGGGGCGAAGGTAATTAGTCCATCTAAGTCTACAACTCTTGCTACACCTTAGCAAACCTGAAATATATATATATATATATACATGTATATTTTATGTATGTAATAAGTTTGAAAACAGATATATATTTTATATATGTAAGCTGATAATTAAGGATTAAGAAAATGGAATGAAGATCAATACCGGTGTTTGAAGGAACAGATCTCCAGTTTCCAGGGCCATGTTGTTGTATATAAGAGACCAAGATTATGTCTTCTTCGGGAGTCCATGGTCCTTTCTTCACCTCGATCTTCTCGCAACAAGGTGGTCTACCCATATCCACACGCACAAGATCTTGATCGTCTTCTCTGTTTCTCTCCCTATTATATATACGTAGGTATAGTGTGTGTGTGTGTGTGTTTGTTTGGAAGCTATAGAGTAACTAGTAAAACTCCAAGATTGGATTTTTGCAAAGAAGGTCTTCTAAAAATGTCACTTTGGACTTGAAAGAGTCTTCCTTTCTTTCATTGAATCTTTCTCTTTAGCTCTTTTTTGTTGTTGTTGTTTGCTTATTACAAGGGAGGTTTCACTAAAGACTTTGAAGTTTGGATGTTGAGGAGAAAGACAAGCGTCTAAGTCACATGGGTCGCTCTTTGGATCTATTTGCATTGGAATAAAGACACCCATAACACATATATAAACCGAAACGAGCGCTAGCGCATGAATTAATTTTTTTTTTCAAGAGGATAAACAATTTTATGCCTTTTTTTTTAGAAATTAATTTATTTTTGCATGTCGTTATCATATGAACATAGTCATATGAGCACTGAATAACTTTTATGTTTTGACGTAAATAAATTAACGTGGCTATGAAGTAAACCGCAACAAACAGATAAATATTGATAGAAAATAATAAAAACCAAAGAATTCCTCTACGTGGCCGTTGATCCCAAAAAAAATCCTTTGATTTAAGAGGAAAGGAGTCAATAGAGATAGCGAAGAGCATTTACTCATCTTCTCCTTTGTTTCTCTAAGAAGTCATATCTCTCTCTCTCTCTCTCCTCTACGTGGCTATACTAATCAAAGGGCCGGGGCGTGGCACACTGGCACTGCACCTGATTACGAGTATTTACTATTTACCGATTATGTAGGTGACATTTTATATGCTTACTGTTGAGAATCATTGTGAATCATGCATGCCCTTCGATTGGTGATATTATATATCCCTTTTCTGTATTATCGCGTGTTACTGATAGGGTAAAGAAATTGTGGTAAAGAGACATAGTAAGGAAATTGTGGTAAAGAGAGATGTAATACAATTATTTTGTTCATAGTACGAAGTTTTGTACCACTATCATTTTGAAATAACAAAGATACAGTCTCTTTATTTTACCGTATCAGTTATCACGTGATAATACAAAAGTGATACTATTATATAAACAATTATATTTCTGTTTTTACTTTTATATTTTAATTTAAAATTGTTTATAGAAGTGTTATTGAATGAAGGTTTAAATATATAATCAGTTATTTTACGATTTAGTTACTATTTATTGATCGTCATGTTTTGTCATATCGTCACGTTTATCAATCAAATTATGATTAATCTGATATCTCTTTTTTTTTTTTTGAGAAAATTAAACTGATGTCTATTATCGTGATACTATATTTGTCTAACTAATTATACCATAATGTTTTGATATAGTTTTTATTTACGGTTCTGTATCATCAATCGAACCTAACATTTCCATGATCCTGTCATATATAAGAACAGGTAAAAAAGAATATGCCACAATATTAATGTTAAAAAAAAACTATTAACCAAAAAGTTGTAATAGAGTAGTTCTCTTCTAGTGGAAAATTTGATTTATAGGTCTAAGTTAGGATCGAATTTTTTTTATGCAGAATTATCACATTAACTCTTGGCAATTCAATCATGTAAACTGTTATTAAACTTATATATAAAAAAAAATATTGGGCTTAAGGGAGATTTGTCTGAATCGGAACGGCTAAATTTACTACGGATATATGTAAAAAAATTATACCTGAGTTATTTCCTTTTTAAATCGGCCATGCATGATAGGCCTCATCAGTGTTAATAGTAAAGGACAGCTGGACTCGTGTCGTAACAAAGATTAAAGATATGACGGTGTTACATATCGAATGACAAAATACTGTATTCCTAAATTTACGGTTAGTATTCTACCAAAAAAATTATAACAATCATGAAAAATAGCTAGTTATTGAACCTCTTTTTCTTCCCTGCTTTTTTGTCAAGATATTGTTTAATAACGTCCACGTTTACTTTTTTGAAATTTTTGTTTTGAGGAAAAATTCTCGTCCACTGCATCATTTGATGTCTACGCGACACAATTAAATGGTACACCAGTGAGGTCTAGTTACTATTTCTGGCTTTGGCCCATTTTGTTTTACTATTTATGGTTTTGTTTCTTTTAACGTTTGTAATGTTTATGTCGAACCGTGATTCGTACTGTCTTGAATTCGATGACAGTTGATAGTACTATGTTAGATCAAATAAATAAATTTGCTGTTTTCTGGTAACCGCAAGATTCCAAAAAAAAAAAAATATATACAGAGTAATAGCAATATCTGTAAAATAGCTGGATGTTCTTATTACTTAAGACATTTACAGTGTCAATCATACTTAAAATTACAGTGAAAATATTTAAATCATATATTTTGTAGGTTTTTGGGCGAACCCTTGTTAATTACTAGCCCTCATTCTAATAAACACATGCATTTTCCTACAATTGCCTTGATGTGAAAAAAAATATAAAATCCAAATGTAATGTTCACACTTTTTTTCATGAGCTACACAAAATTAAAATTTTGACGTATATATAAAAACGTCAAAGAAATAGCACAAACGAATTTCCTTTCCATTTTTTTTTGTATTTGAATTTTTAAAGTAATTAAAAAACACAAATTATTTAATAGCTTCCCAAAAAAATGTAAAATCTTCATCGTTTTTCGAAAAACATATGAAAAAAATTATTGTACCATCTTAGTATACAAACTGAAAAGTCTATGTGACTATGTATTTTAAATTCGTGTTATAACAGACGAGACTAGCTATTTTAGCGAAACAATGAGAGCACCTCCAGGGGCAAGCTGTGTTCATTTGTATTTTTTTTTTCTTACGTCGTTGTTTGCTTAAAATGGATATTACATTATTTTTCAAAAATATTATTTAAAGTCATTTTCCTGGCGACAACGATTCAAATTTTTAACATATATACATAATTTGATTTATAATGAAATAAATATGCGTTAGTTTCTATTATTTCCTGCAAATTTTGGTAGTTGGAGTATCAACCCTACAGCCATGCGACCTATAAATAAATATTTAATTAGTTCACACTTCAAGCTGGTGTTAACATCTTAACATTTTTTTTCAGTAAGTCATATCCACGAAAACTCAACTATTATAAGCGAATTAAATTTTGTGTACGAACGACAGCTAGCAATTGTCTTACATAACATAGAAGACGTGAAACGTCATCGATTAATATCGATCGAATCTATCTTTAGAAATTTTGTGGAACACGTCAACTATCAATTGTCTAATGATGAGTAATAATCATATTAGGCGTAATTAATTGGTTTGCTTTTTTGTGACGAATATAAGAGCATGTTTATATACAGATTTTAAAACAAAATTCAATAAAATAATAATTTTAAAAGTAGAGATTTATGGTTCAGATTATTCTCGACGAACCTGAAGAACTCAGGTTCATTCAGGTTCATCACACGTGAAACATCCTGATTATTCTAAAAAGATAATTTTCGAATTTAAAAAAATAGAAAAACAAAATCTAAAAAAAAGTATTATTATATTCGGATGAATCCTTTCTTAGAAATTCACTGATAACATAGTCTAAAAGTAATAAATTAAATCAGGTCATATATTACAACTAAAAACTTTTAGCACCAGATTCGGAATAGTGATTTGGAGTCGAGTTAATGTATGATTGGCACACGTAGAAGGTCTAGAATCAACGTGCGATCAATGAAGTGAAAACGATGGATTATGCCCTTAATTATAATTACCCTACTTTATTTATTAATTACATTATCCTCGTCCCAACAATTGTCGGTTATAATAGTTCGAGCCTTTGGAACAAAAAAAAACTCAAGTCTATATATATGTAAAAAACTTAAGTTTTTTTTTAAAGATATAAAGTTCGTCAATTGAATGTTTTCTAAGATATCGTTCTTCAAAAATATGTCAAAAAATGGTAAGAAATCAATACTTATTGGGAATTTTATAATGGCATCATTCTTCAAAAATATGTTAAAAAATTCAGATGAACTGAATAGCAATATCAAAAGCTGGTTATTAACTGATTTTCCTTTTTGAATAAAAGTTAATTATTTTTCTTTTTTCTAAGAAAGTTAGTGATTGCTACCTTTTTTCATATTAATTACACTAGCTGCTTTCATCTCGGTTGTTTTCTATCCACATGACAATTTAGTTTGTTGATATGCCTCATACACATATTTGAATTGATGTAGTAAGTACATGTATTCCATTTTCAGCGATCAACGACCTAAAATACAATCTAATTCTATTCTAGCTATATCTCCGATGTAATCATTAAGGCCCATCCAAATTCAAATATCTGATAAGTATCATCAGAGTTATTTCTGTAAAAGGAAGAAGAAGCTGATAGCAGAAGCAGAGCAGGAGAAAGACACTGATGACGTGGTTATTCTAGAGGATAATTGAAAAAGTAAAGCAAAGTTTGAGAGAGAAAAGGAAGTCGTATAAATAGATTCTTCCCTTGTTTATTTTTCTTTTATGCAATTTATGATGAATGTGTAAACAAGCAACATGAGCTTGTGATGATCGTCATAAGATCATCAGATCGACATGAAATCTTGATCAGCTTCTTGTAATTCGCATTTCTATCATCAATAAAGAGTTACGAATTCTCAATCTTTATCAATATCACATATGGATTGTTGTCATGTTCTATTTAGCCCCTAAATTTCTATATTATTTTAGGCTAATATATACGTGACATACTAGAAATTTTAGTATAATGGTTTCTTTTGTAACTGTCATGTTAAAATACGGATTCTAACTCATAATACATATTATATTTGATAAAAAAAAATATATGGTATACGTACGTGATATTAATCAAGGTTCGAAAACGTATTGTTCTTATTGGCGTCTACAACAGACGAAGGCACATACGTCGGGGACGTACGGACATACGCAAGCAGCGAACGAAGACGTAGTCAACGCATATCCATAACAAATTGAGTGATAGAAAAGTCCATCCTTTAAGTGGATACGATCTCATGATAAAATACAAAATATTATTTAACTAAAGAAACTTATAAGAACTACTTTCATTTAAAAAAAAAACTCTGATGATAGTAATTATTTTTTTGTGGGACAGATAATGGATAGCTAAAGCCTAACTAATTATCTCAGAATTTAGAAAGTATAGCTTGAAAAGTATATTGTGCACAAATATTTAAATATTTAGATGTTCAAAACATTTAAAAACTTCTTATAGTAGAATACAAGTCTTACGCTTAGTTAGATATTAATCTTAGAGGTTGATTACAATTTTTTAATCTCCAAAAAAAAAAATTGATTAAGAAAGTAACCAAGGTGTGTGTTTCCAGCTGGTGTTTTGGAAAACTCATAGAAACAATTTGTTAACATATAATTTTTGAATCACTTTATTTAAATTGTGGAATGTTTTTCAGTTAAATAACAATAAAATTCTATATCATATGGTTGTTATTTTATAGAACTAAAGAATAAAACAGGAATAATTTTGTTGATTTATTCTCTGTTTCATAAAGATAGATAATTTAGGTTTTCTATACTTATTTATGAATTAGCTGAAATAATTGAACATATTAAACTACTACAGGTTTAGAGTTATGTGAAATTGTTTAATAAAAATAATTAATAATTAAATATTAAATGTGTTCTTAATATGTGTAAAAATTTTAAGAAACATCTACCAGGGATTATAAATTAGGTTTTCAAATGCTGTTTTGGATTGAAATTCGAAATCTCGAATAGTCTACAACTGTTTAAACCTTCGCTCCTTCCAACATTTCTTGAGTTCAGCCGGTTAAAATTATCAGATATTAACAACGTACTTAAACAATGTTTTAGTCTAGTAAAAATCTATATATAATAACAAACTCGAAATCAATTGGATTTTAACAAAAGTAGACAAAAAGATCTATCAATCATCAGATTTTTCAGAACTTCTAGAAAGATCTTATTAATTTTAATAGAGAACATACATGATGAGTCCGCCTATGATCACATGCTCTACGTTGTAATTAAGTGTTAGATGGTTGAAATCTGTTTACTTGTTTAAATTGACAACATATTTATTATTCAAGAGACTAATTGGGGTCATCTACAAGTACACACACATTATTTGAGGCGACATGATGATCCTATTGTTTCGGCAACCCAATATTAATACATTATGTGGAAAGTGGATGTGAAAAAAAATGTTTGAACTGTTTATTTTTTCAAACGACCAAAATTTACAATAATAAAAATTTACAGAAGTTTTCAAAAACTTCAAAAATTAAATTACAATAGATAAACGTATATGACGAGCTTTTTTTTTTCCCAACAGAACGTATGGGCAGTTAGCCAGTTACAGAAGTAGAATCTAAAACAGATTAATGGTTTGCAATATAAATTTGACACCCATAATATGTCTAACGAAATATTATATAACAAAAAGCTAAGCTGATCATTTATGAAAAGGAGCCATCAGCTCATCACGTACTTCATTAGAAGCTGAAACAGATGGTGATATAATGCAATATAATCTAAGAAGTTTGGCTATTCGAAGATCACATTTTGTGGAGATTCGACTGCATGACATCTAACAGCCACTAATAGAACCAAAAGTTAGCCTGCAATCTTCAACACTGACGATATACTAAAACCAAAAAAAAAAAAAAAAAAAAACATTGAAGATATACTGAAGCTAGAAGCTGGTGGTAATAGTGATTACAACTTCATGAAGATCTAAAAGAAGTAAACTTTATGGCTGATGCATTAGCAAAAGATGTTAGAAGAAATCTTCGTAATCCTATAATACCTAGAACATTGTAATTTAGGTTTTCGAATGAATGAATTGTCGACCAAATATAAACACAATAAAACAAAACACCATAACTCGTTGCCTACCAAACTTTCTATGAAATCAATATATGTTTCGACTAATATATATAATTTCTATGAATTATACCGTCTATAAATGACAGCATAATCGAATGGGACTTGTCATACTATTCTTTTGCCGTACGTGTCATAAATTGAATAATATGTGTATGCCCAAATTCCTTTGGAAACACGTTGTATATATGTGGATTTGTGCTTTTTTGTGGATACATTCCAGAATAGTCCAAAAATAACATAGCTTTTATTTATTTATTTGGTCGTCACACAGCTTTTATTTCTTTCCCGAAAATACTAGTATATATATTTTTGGTTTATGAAGACCGGTTCACTTATTATTGATAACAAGACAGTAAGTTTTGGGGGTAACTATTCTAGACAGTAAGTTTCTGACCAAAAAAAAAGACAGTAAGTTTATGATATTTTAAAAATTGTAAAAGATTTTGGTGGTAAGTTTAAGAGCTTGATTGATTAAAGTTGTAGCTCTGAGTTTTTTTGCTGTAGAATTTAGACTGTAGATTATTGGCTGTGGCTCTAAATTTTATTGCTATAAGATTTTATCTGTAGATTTTATTTTCATTTTTCAAAGCATTAAATATTAACTCTAGAAAAATTGATTTTCACAGCCAACATACTTCCTAGTATTTTAAGTGTACCTTTTTAAAAAAACTAAAGAATGATTGGTACATAAGAATTTTTTTTGGCTCTTTATAGCATCTACAGCGCGCTTCATCTAATTATCCCCTAAAACATCTATAATTAATGATTTAACTATATTTTATTTTCTTTGAATTTGTTTTTATGAATTTATAGAGACATCACATTTTAAACAAAACGGTTCAAGTTTCCCATTATGAGGACAAACAGGATTATGCTTTAAAAAAAAAAAAAACAAATAAGTTCCATGTCTTACACAGTTACACTACACCCATATAATATCCTTTGACTAAGAAAAACAAAATCATTGACTATTTGACTCAGAAATCTGCCTTTGATAATACTTTTGGAAATATAAATCATTCACTTATAACGGAGACACAAATAAAAGAGTAAGAGAGCTCATCCTTCGATTAATTATTTTTTGGCGGAGTTATGTTTTTGTTACAAATTGACCAACTGTAACAATCAAAAAGACAAATTGACTAAATTTACATAGAATGAAAAAGACTAAGAAACACTACTACCAAAATTTATCTGCAAAGAAATTTTACTGCTATTAATTATTGTTGTCTATTGAATGGTGGATTATTTTATCCAATATTATATAGTATATAAGGAAAATCTTATATTGTTAAAAAGAAAAATATATACAGTACTATGAAAAGTAGTAAGTTTAGGAACAATCATAAAATAGAAATTGAATGGAGTGAGGTCCACGTCGGCTAAATGCATGGCATGCGATATATCTACTTGGCACGTGGGATGGACCCAACTCACGGGATTTTTGTCTATGGTATAAAGAAATTTTTTTTTTAAGATCATCAACAATGTATTCTTCTATTGATTTTAAAATAAAAGAAATCTATATTAAAAATATTTTTTTTACTTTAAAATAAAATACTGTAAATATATTCTATTTTTCTTTTATTTATTAATATATTCTATCGTAAATAATACAATTTAACTCCACTTGTTTTATGGTTTACAAAACTTTTATACCTTATAATAAAACATATAAAATAAATATTTATTCAATAAATAAAATTTATTATATCAATAAAAAATAATTGATATAATATTTTTTTTTAAAATAAACATCTTGTTATATCATAATATTTAGAAAATAATGTTATAACATCTAGTATGCGGATATAATATTTTTTAGAAAATAAACATTTTGTTATAACATTTATTTTTAGAAAATAAACACTAAACATTTATTCATTAAGCTCTCGGGTGAATTCATGAAGTCAACCACAAACTTCTCCATGACATCTATGTCGTAATCCATCTTTGGTCTATCAGAATAACCAAGACCGGACCAATCTACAATAGTTGCTCGCCAGTTGACATCCCCATCGCGTTGCACAATGTCTTTAGCCACAGAGCTCTCCTCTACGGTGCTAACATCGGATATTGTTGGTATCATGAGGATGTTCTTAGCTGATTCACACTTCTCCCTCTCATGCTCCTCATAGTATATACCGATCGAGTTTCCATTGAAGTTCCACTGCCAATTGCTTTTCCGAAAGCAGAACAGATCAATACATTAAAGCCCAGAATCTGAAGATTATGAAATAAAGAGCTTAAGTTTCTATTAATCATTGATCCCACTTTCATCGATTGCTACATTAAAAAAACAGTATGAAGCAAACACAAAAAAGGTCAATTGATAGGCCATTCTATTACTCACCTTAGCTTGGACTGGAGATTTGTTATCGATGGCAATGGAGGGCTTGTCCACAAAAAACACAAAAGCTCTCACCAGAACAGGTTTAAAAAATTTTGGACTAAGCAAAGAGAAATAGTCTGCCAATTTTGTAAAAAGAGGGTACCAAAGGTGGTGATGATATGGAGAATGAAGCTGAAGTAGCCATGACAGCAAAAGAATGTAAAAATTTGGAAGGTAGAGACATTTTAGAACCAGAACCACCAAACGTCCTAACTTTTCTCGTCAAAAGTTGGAAAAATCTGTCAGAAATTTTCAATAACAGTCCAAAAATATTTCGCATATTACGTTCTAGCCTAGGTGAAATGAAAATTTTCAAAATAACCCACAACCTCAAGATAATGTTAACCACAAATGAAGACCCTTGTAGAAACTTCTAAAACTTTGTGTTGGCTGTAAAAAGTCTCTAGTGATGAGGTTGCTAGTGGAAGCTTAGATAATAAAGTGGTTTATAGTTTGAGACTTTTCTGCTCAGAACTGTTACCAATAGTCACGACATGAGCAAGAACCGTCCTTGAATGAATGAAAGCGATTCCTGTCTCTGACCAAAATTTCTACTCCATAAACTCTCGACGTCAGCTTCATAACAGCGTGACAATCTCTACAAATTCTCAGATTCTTCACTATCCTGATATTTGCTCCTTTAGACAATCTAGCTAGAGCAAATGCAAGAGCAAGCTTCTCACTGTGTTTACTCACTTGATCCTCCTTTTCTTCTTCTTCTATATCATATAAAGCATTTGCAACTTCCGGGGCATACCCAGATTCATCTTTAAGCCTCAAGATTACTTCCTTTAGCTTCTCGTGGGCCTCTACATTGATTCCCTTCTTTTTCTCGCCTGCAGTGAACTTATACATGGCTTTCCCAACTTCAACCATGCTCCAACCAGTTATCTTCTTGATCTTATGGACAATCATTGACTTTCTGATAGAAGCAACATCCTTCCATTTACCTACAGTAGCATAAACATTCGACAAAAGAACAAGATCCCCCGAGTTATTTGGGTCAAGCTCATTAAGCCTTTGTTTTACTTGCTCGGCTAATTCGGTATTCCCATGACTACTGCAGGCCCCAAGAAGAGTCCGCCACACTATGGCAGTTGGTGAAATTGGCATTTGGCATATGAAATTGTAAGCCTTTTTGAGTTTTCCAGATCGGCCATATAAATCAACCATACAACCATAGTGTTCAATCTCTGGTTCTATGTGGTAAACTCTCTTCATCTTTGAAAAGTAATATTCACCTTCTTTAATCAGTCCACCATGACTGCAAGCATACAAAAGCGAAATGAAAGCTATCCCGTCTGGCCTAACACCAGATTGAGTCATTTCATTGAAGAATCTAATAGCTTCTTCTCCGTGACCATGCATTGCTAAGCCAGCAATCATTGATGTCCAAGATACAATACTTCTCTTCTCTGGCATACCTTCAAATACTAACTTAGCCATTGCGACATTACCACACCTAGAATACATATCAATAAGCGCATTTCTTACCGAAATTATCCAACAATACCCTGTTTTTTCTAAAAACCCGTGTAATGTCTTCCCAAACTCAAATGCCCCGGATTGCGAACATGCAGAGAGAACTCCGGTCAGGCTTACTTCATTTGGTCTCATCTCTGCTCGTCTCAACTCCTTGAAATACGAGAAAGCCTCATTGAAACTTCCATTATGAGCAAACCCAACGATCATAGTACTCCAAGAGACATCATCCTTCAGAGGCATTTCCGAGAACACACGTTTAGCACTCTCAAGCTCCCCTGCTTTAGTGTACCCAGCAAGCATCACGTTCCATGACATGTGATCCCTCACCAACATCTTATCAAAGATTTCTTTGGCTGCCGCAACATCGTTCCCCCTGAAACAAGCCGTGACAACAGCGTTCCACGCAACCAAATTCGGCTGACGCATTTCATTGAACACCTTGCGAGCAAACTCCACACACCTGCATTCACCGTACAAGCTGATCAAGGTAGTGGCAACGAACAAATGCGAATCGAGTCCATGCTTCAAAGCTTGACAATGCATCTGAAATCCGGTCCTCAGAGATTGGAAACTCGCCGCAGCCTTGACGACGAACGCAAAGGAGAAGCTATCTGGAAAGACGAGACCTTTCCTCATCATCTCAACAAACGCCGCGACGGAATTGTGCGGTTCGTGGGATTCAGAGTAGCCTCGGATGAGAGCGTTGAACATGAAGGCATCAGGATGAGGAAAACAGAGCAAGAGACGGCGAGCGTAAGGTAGAGCGTCGGGAATAGAGATTGCACATTGTAGGATTAGTTTTCCGGTGAAGTAAGAATTCGTATCGACGCCAGATTTGATAAAGGAGGCATGGATTTGGATAAGGCCTCTTAAGTTCTTGCAGCTTGTGAGGAGAGTGTGGCAATGGTGAGAGTGAATTGCGATAGACATCGTCCTAAGGCAAAACAACAAGAAACAGTGTATACTCGAAAGTAATCACAATGTTCCATGTATGTGTATATATATATATATTAGGTGTATATATATATGCTCATGAACCCTAACAAAACCCTATGAACACAATTTATATAGAAAAATACAGAACATTCGAATATAGATACAAAACTCAAAAAAAAAATGAAAAGGATGATGAATGAGAAATGTGAAATCGATAAAAAAGACAGTGAAGATTGATTTTGCGACAACTTGTCAATTAAAACTCCATAAAAAATCATGACAACATGGTAAATTTTCGATACGGTCGATCCTTGTCTGAAATCTTCCAAGCAAATGACGCATCTCCTCCTCGATCCGTTGGAATGAGAAAAGCATGATCCGTTGGAATGAGAAAAGCATGTGCTGGTTTTTTTTTGTTAGTTTCGTGTTCGAATATAAATGATATTTTAGTAAATTTAAAAACAGTATATAATTTAAAATAAATGATTCCTTGCAAATTTCTAATTTTTTATTTTATTAAAAAATTTGTGCTTAAGTTGTTGTTATATTAATAGAATTAGATGCATCTAAAAGGCCTGAATTTTTCGGAAAGAATAACCCATTCCGTTCTATACCTATCCCGAAATTCTCGAACTTTTCGGGAAAGAAAAATTGTAATTTCCTATTTGGGTTTGAAAATAATATTTAAATGGATAAGGGAAAGGATACAAACCGGAATAAGATTACCCGAACTTTCCGTTAGGTTTATATAAAGTAAAATTTTAGAGATTTCGGTTAATTGAATTTTTTTTAATAATAAATAATAATTTTTCTAATTTATTAACAAATAATATTTTTTTTTAAAACAAAAATTGATTTTAGTCTAATTATTTTAATTATTCGAAATTTTTCCCGTCCCTTTCCTGTTATTTTCCTATCCCTTTTCTGATTATATTTTATTTTGAGATTGTATGGGTAGTATGTTTTGATTTCCGAATTTCCTATTCCCGTCCCATACCCGTAAATTCCCCTTCCGTTATTTTATGGGAATACTTTGAGTACTATATTCAAATTCCCGACATTCTCATCTTTTACCCGTCAATTAGACATTCTCATCTTTTACCCGTCAATTCAAATTCCCAAAAAATTCAGGCCTAATCTTAATAGATATTTATCGTATACTATAAACCTTATCGTATACTATAAAACTTGCTCAAAAAATCAGTTGTCCACTTGAAATATTAACTAAAAAATACTCTTTACACCTGTGTTCAAAATATGGGCCGCAAAGACGATTAGAAGCACAATTACAGGTCCAACTGGAGTGGAGGGCATTCAGAATTCGAAATGGGCCGAAAATTAGGATGGATAATTCATATAATTACAGGACTGATCTTCTTTTTTATTTTTTCAGGGCAACTATTACCGAAATTATCAAGACTCTTGTTTATAGTGCAGCTTCCCCTTCTCAATTATCCAAGTTTGTCGATGTGGGACAAACTAAAATACAAACTTTTAAAAAACCCGAAATCCTTTGCCCACACTCGCACTTCAACATCAGCATAAACATCATCAGGAACTAGAGCTTTAGCAGCAAGTGAGAAACGAGGAGGAGGAGCCAAATCCTCTCTCTTTCTTTGGAATAAGGATTTCTGAATCTCTTTCTTTCGAGGTGAAAAAGGGAGTCAAGTGAAAATGGTCGCGGACAAGAGCAAGAAGGCGAAAACTGAGGAGAAAGTCGAAGAGGAAAACGTGGAGCAAATCGACGGCGAGCTTGTTTTCTCAATTGAGAAGCTTCAGGAGATTCAAGACGACCTCGAGAAGGTGAAAAAGATTCCTTTTTTCTCATCTCCGGATTTTCCCTTTCTTTACCGGTGTTCTTGTGCTCTGTATCGTGTTTAAGTTGAAAGGATTCCAATTCTGATTTCTGTAGCTGGGTAATGATGATGTTTCTGTTGCTGGCTATGCATGGTGCTAGTATATAGCTTTCTTGAATTTCACATGAAAGTTGGTCTTTTTTTTTCTTACTGCTATAGTGATAATAGTGTATTAGTACAATTCAATTTGAAATCATATTCTGAGATTTCTGCATATTTAACTCATTCATGTGATAGCTCGCTGCTATTAGCTTCTACAAGTTCTGTTATCACGAAATGAGAAGTCAAAGCTCATGCAAATTCATAGTACCAAGTCTCTAATTACAGTTAGAATTGGCATTAACTATATACAACGTTTGTTTGTTTGTTTGTTTTTTTCTCTTTCTGCTCACTGGTATGTTATGTTGGTTCTAGATTAATGAAAAGGCAAGCGATGAGGTCTTGGAAGTGGAGCAGAAATATAACGAGATACGAAAACCTGTCTATGACAAGCGTAATGAAGTTATCAAATCGATTCCAGACTTTTGGATAACTGCTGTAAGTGATATTATTCTAGTTATTTTTTATCACTGTGTAAAACATCTTCTTTCTAATTGACTTTCCACATTATTTGCAGTTTTTGAGTCATCCTGCATTAGGTGAACTCTTGACAGAAGAAGACCAAAAGGTTTGAGTTATCCTTCGACATGCTTTCAAGTTTAGAGTGTAGATTTCTTTTTGATGGATGCAGATCTATATACTATCCTTTGTATATAGAGATAACTATCCCATTGGCCTTTCACAGTTTCTGTACTGTTACATCCCTTTTACCTCTTGATTTGATTTCTCTGCTTTTACAGATTTTTAAGTACTTGAGCTCTCTGGATGTGGAGGACGCAAAAGACGTTAAATCTGGATACTCGATAACTTTTGTAAGTTTCTTTGTCCACCTGATTCTATTATCTAAAAAGATCAGGTGTGGTTACTTGGTATTGTTTATTTACTTGTTACTTGGGCATCAATCACAGCACTTCAATCCCAACCCATTTTTTGAGGATGCGAAACTTACTAAGACGTTTACCTTCCTCGAAGAAGGAACAACGAAGATCACAGCAACTCCTATCAAATGGAAGGAGGGCAAGGTATATACATCTTTTTACTTGTGGAACATAATAAGTGTCTTACTCTATTTGTCTCGTATTGGGATTATTATAGTTAATGATGTTTCTCAATTATGAAGGGCTTGCCAAATGGAGTGAACCATGATGATAAGAAAGGAAACAAACGTACACTACCAGAGGAGAGGTTTAGTTTTTTAAGCCCATTAAGAGATTTTTTGCAATCACCATAGACTTGATTGTGAAATACTTGTGGTCATGGATATATGACGCACTTAAGTTATAAAGTCTTTCTTCATTAGTAATTGCATACGACTAACGCCTTTCCACTGTGCTATCTCTTCAGCTTCTTTACTTGGTTTACTGATGCTCAGCATAAGGAAGATGCTGGGGATGAGATTCATGATGAGGTACATGCTCCTCTACTCTCTGACCTGTTATAAGTTAAACACCATGTTTATTGTCTGCCCAGTTTGAACTCGGAAACATCTCCTCTTGTTCCAGGTTGCTGATATTATCAAGGAAGATTTGTGGTCCAACCCTCTCACCTACTTCAACAATGTAAACAACTTATCATTTCACTTTCAATCATATTACTTTTCTGTTGAATAAAAAAGGTGCTCAAAGAAATAAAAGTTATTAAAAAAAAAAATGATCCTTGAAAAAATAAAGGTTTTTTTTCTCGTACAATCCATGTTACCAAAAATAATATGTTACATTTGAAAGTTCCCACATCGGCTGGCCACATGGAGGAAGGTAACTAAAGTATCTATAAACACTCACACTTGCTCGCTTTTATCTCGACAACTAGTTGGCTTCCCAAATTGCTTGATTAACAGAATTAAATTAATAATATAATTGGGTTTAATCTGTATTTGGTAACCGATTAGTTTGACATTTGGTCCAACTCGCGGCAGAGCCTCACCACTCACCGCCTATGCGCCTGCGTTTTTGAACACGGGCTTGTATTATTGGTCTTCGAAAAGTCACGAAGTTAATTTATAGTCTAGTCTGTCGATTAGATAGCTCAATTAACTGATGATGAATTGTCTAGCCAACGAGAGTTTAAACTTGTTAAAGATCTCGCCTTCTTCTGCTTGGAGACTACTATCTACGGTTACCAATTTTCGAAATCCTTCATTAATTTCCGGCAAAGACTGTAGTTCTTTGGCTCCTTTTAACCCTTTTCACTTCTTCAATGATCAAACAAATTCTAGGTTTTGCACGCTCAGAACAACCAGAATTTTGCAAGCGCATTTGCTTAGACGATATCTTTTGCCATTTAATGTTTTCCTTACTAAATCTTTGCTTAATTGGTTCTCGATTTCGGGTTCCATGGGTGACGCAGCTAAGCTGTTCGACACAATTCCTCAACCAGATGTTGTTTCTTGTAATATCATGATCTCTGGCTACAAACAGAATCAATTGTTTGAAGAATCATGTAGATTTTTCTCTAAGATGCATTTCTTGGGTTTTCAGGCCAATGCAATAAGTTATGGTTCTGTACTTTCGGCTTGTAGTATCCTTGAGGTTCCTCTGTTCTGTGAGCTGATATGTTGTCATACGATAAAGATGGGTTTTTTTTTGTCTGAAGTTGTCAATCAGCTTTAATCGACGCATTCTCAAAAAGTCTTAGATTTCAGGATGCTTATAAGGTTTTCCGTGATACTTTATCTGCTAATGTGTATTGTTGGAACGCTATCATCACGGGGGCACTCAGAATTCAAGATTATGGTGCTGTTTTTGATCTTTTCTATGAAATGTGTGGTGGCTCTCAAAAACCTGATAGTTATACATTTTCCAGTGTTTTGGCTGCTTGTGCTTCACTTGGGAATCTTAGGTTTGGAAAAGCGGTTCAAGCCCAGGTGATCAAATGCGGAGCGGAAGATGTATTTGTTTCTACTGCAATTGTCGACTTGTATGCCAAATGTGGGCATATGGCTGAAGCTAGGGAAGTGTTCTCCCGTATCCCCAACCCTAGTGTTGTCTCTTGGACAGTAATGTTATCTGGTTGCACAAAGAGTAATGATGCTTTCTCTGCTCTTGAAATATTCAAGGAAATGATACGTTCAAGTGTTGAAATCAATAGCCGTACTGTAACCAGTGTAATTTCTGCTTGTGGTAGACCTTCAATGGTCTATGAAGCAAGCCAGGTCCATGCTTGGGTCTTAAAGAGTGGTTTCTATCTTGATTCTTCAGTGGCTGCCTCCTTGATTAGTATGTACTCAAAGAGTGGTGATATTCATCTCTCTGAACTGGTTTTTGAGGATATGAGTGATGTTCAGAGGCCCAATATCGCAAATGTAATGATATCTTCACTCTCACAAAGTAAGAAGTCTGGTAGAGCAACAAGACTTTTTATTAGACTGCTTATGGAGGGTGGGAGACCCGATGAGTTTAGTATATGCAGTTTGTTGAGCGTATTAGATAGTTTAAACTTAGGAAAGCAGATTCATAGTTACACCCTTAAAAGTGGGTTGGTCCTTGATCTCACTGTTGGAAGTTCTCTTTTCACAATGTACTCCAAATGTGGTAATTTGGAAGAATCTTTTAGTTTATTCCAGGAAATATCTGTTAAAGACAATGCTTGCTGGGCGTCCATGATTTCTGGTTACAGTGAGTACGGTTATCTAAGAGAAGCTATTGAACTATTCAGTGAGATGTTGGCTGATGGGACTAATCCTGATGAAAGTACTCTAGCTGCTCTTCTAACTGTGTGTGCATCTCTTCATTCTCTGCCAAGAGGTAAAGAAATACATGGGTACTCGTTAAGATTTGGAATTAACAAAGGGATGCTCCTTGGTTCTGCACTAGTAAACATGTATTCAAAGTGTGGCTCATTAAAGTTGGCTAGACAAGTATATGATAGGCTTCCTGAAATGGATCCAATTTCATGTTCATCATTAATTTCAGGATATTCACAACACGGGTTAATCCAGGATGGCTTCTTCGTATTTCGTGATATGGTAATATCTGGCTTTACCATCGACTCTTTTGAAGTTTCATCCATTCTTAAAGTCGCTGCTATCTCAGACGAATCATCTCTGGGAGCTCAAGTACATGGCTACATCACAAAAAGTGGATTGTGCACGGAGCCTTCTGTAGGAAGTTCACTACTGACAATGTACTCGAAATTTGGAAGCATTGAGGACTGCTGTAAAACATTTATCCAGATCAGTAGCCCAGATTTAATCGCATGGACAGCGCTGATTACAAGTTATGCTCAACATGGGAAGGCCACTGAAGCGTTGCAAGTGTACAATCTTATGAAGGAAAAAGGATTCAAGCCTGATAAAGTGACTTTTGTAGGAGTTTTGTCCGCTTGTAGTCATGGTGGTTTGGTTGAAGAAGGTTATTCTCATCTAAACTCGATGGTACAAGACTATTGTATCGAACCTGAGAACCGCCATTATGCCTGCATGGTCGATGCTCTTGGGAGGTCAGGAAGACTTAGAGAAGCTGAGAGTTTTATCAACAATATGCCTATTAAAGCGGACGCCTTGGTCTGGGGAACATTACTTGCTGCTTGCAGAGTTCATGAGGATGTTGAACTCGGGAAGCTAGCTGCAAAAAAAGCTATAGAGCTAGAGCCATCAGACGTTGGAGCGTATGTTTCACTCTCAAACATTCTTGCAGAGGTTGGTGTGTGGGAAGAAGTAGAGGAAACTCGAAATCTGATGAAAGGAACATGTGCACAGAAGGAAACTGGATGGAGTTCTGTCTGATGTTTAAACTTTGGGTATGCATTTACAAGCTGCAAGGTTCATTTTTGTCAGTGTTTGGGAAAATACAGAATGTTCAGACATAGTTGCAGAAGTCCTAACAATTAGACCTAATGTTTTTATAAATATGGTTTGTTGCACACTTCAATCCATTTGTATGTTGCTCATTTGGGTTTTAATGAAAGTTGGCCGACAAAAAACAAAGATGCAGAAGTCCTGCTCCAAGTTATGACAAATCACTGAAGAAGGAACAATTGAAAGCAATTGGAGATTGAAGCTGAAATTGATTGCGTTGTAAGGGACAGTCTTTCTTTTGAATGATCATGGGTTCTTGGACAGTTCTTAGAACAATTTCATTCTCGTTCAAGGTTATTTATCTTTTTTTTTTGGGTGTAAAAGCTTGTAGTTAGCCCGAATCGAGTCTTTTCCAATGAAATTTGTCCAATGTTCCAACATTTTCTCGTTAAAGGTTATTATTATTATTGTGAGTAGATATCTCTTTAGATCATTCCAAAAAAAATAGTTCATGATTTTCATAATCTTGGGCTGCACGTCCAGGATAATTCATTATTAAACTCGTGGCTCTGATCCTTCCATCGATATTGAAGATAAGGTGATAGTTATGAGAGAAAAAAAAAACAAATCAAAAATGTTGAATGCCATGTGGAATTTTCAAACTTCAAATTCAAAATTTTGAACGAAAGAACAAGACAGTAAGATCCAAAGTAGACACTCTCGTCTTAAAACTCTATAAAGAGTAAATAATGAAGCACAAATCATAATCCCAAGAAGATTTGGGTAAGAGAAAGTAAAAAAAAAACAAGAAAAAAAAGAGAACAAAGTTTTGAATGAATGAAGGAAGAGAAGAGTAAAATGACACTACATGGGATGCGGGAAAGCACACACTCGAAAATAGTCTAAATTTCCCTTAAACTCAAGGGTATACCCTACAACTACATTGAAGAAGATCTAAAGAACAAGTCCGAATCGCTGATTCAACTCAACCCGGTTCACAAGAAGATTCCTCTCCTTGTCCATGATGGTAAACCAGTCGCTGAATCACAAGTGATTATTGAATACATCGATGAAACGTGGAAGAACTCTCATTGCCTCTTGCCAGAAGATCCTTATGAAAGGGCCTAGGTCCGGTTTTGGGTTAACTACATCATCCAACATGTGTTTTCCCGGATCTCTCATCAGAAAATCTTATACACTGATATGGTTATTAAAGGAATGATTGTTTCTTGTTGCAGGTGTATGAGGTCTTTGGTCGTATTCTGTTCCAAGAGGGTGAAGCTCTAGCAAAGTCTGTACAAGAGGCTCAAGAGAGACTCAGAGTTCTTGAAGAGGGACTCAAGAAACATTTCCCAAACAAAATAACCAGAGAGAATGATGATGTTGGGCTTTTGGAGATCATCATCTTCACTTCTTTTGGAGCCCACAAAGTTTATCATGAAGCTCTCGGTGTAGAGATAATTGATCCAATGGATACTCTGACTTTATACAACTGAATAGAGCGCCTGCAAGAGCTGAATGTGATGAAAGAATGCGAAGTGCCTCGTGATAGGTTGGTGACTTCAATCCAGAACTATAGACAAGAGCATCTCCAGAAGGCTGCAAATGCGTAAAGAGATTAAAATGTTGGTCAATGATTTTAATGTCTCAGAGGATAAGAATTTTAAAAGTTCGATTATTGTTTGACAGTAAAAAATAATTCCTTGAGACAGTTATTTATGAACTTATGGCAGCTACTAATGTATGATAATAAAACTAAATAAACCATTTGTGGTATCTCCATGTTTTCAATAGCCACTTGATACACTTTGTTGTTATACCTTTGACATAAATAAGTTGAGAATTGTGATGATAACATTTTTGATCAAGATGTGACTTGTTCACTGTAGGATTTACTTCATATAGATTGTAATTAACTCATCACACCTAACCAAAAGAATGTTTCCATAATATATACACGGCCCTTCTTCACAGCAGAGTAAGGCTTCTTTCACTCTGGTGCCAACAAATTCTGATTGGATGTGAAGTTAAAAACGATTTCGCCTGCGTTCAATTCTATCTTGAAGCATCACCATCAAGGAAAAATTCAAAGCAGAGAACTTCTTTTCAGTCTTTTCAGGCGTTGACGGCATCACTTTATAGCTGTGAAACCCTTCGTTTTTGTGTGTCTTAGGTGAAAGCTCACAGGGTGGGGGGGGGGAGGGGAGAGGGGGGAACTTAGCTACTCAGATACTCATCAACAAACTCAACCTATTCATTAAACAACCCGAGCAGAGGTAAGCCACTCCATCAGATTTAGATAGCTACAACTGTTAATCCCTTTTTCTTGCGTAGCCTTTTATCTCTAAGGCCATCAAAAAGAAGTTCGTAAGCATAATATGTAATACAGCTCTTTTTCAACAGATCCTCCAATACAAGCTTAGGAGCAGCCACCTCTTTTTTGTCAAAATCAAAAATGGTGCTCATAACCTCAGGGACCAGTCCTTTCTGGACCATCCGATGGATTATACCAGCAGCCTCATAAACTTTATCCTCCACACAAAGACTGTTTATTACACGTCCAAGTGTTGTGAGCGATGGAATAAACCCATTTTCCATCATCTTCAGTAGAAACTTGCACCCCAAATCGACATTTCCCGTTTTACAAAAACCATCAACCATAAGCCTGTATGTGTATCCATCAGGAACTAGGCAACGATCAACCATCTCTTGGAAAAGCGTTTCTGCCATGCTAACATTTAACTTCTCCGTGAAAGCATGAATGATGATATTATATGTTGCCGTTGAACTTGATACCTTATAAATCTCTTCCATCTTCCTAAATAACGTGTATGCTCCATCTAAGTCTCCGTTTTTGCAGAACCCGTCGATCAACGTTCCAAACGTAACCGCATCTGGATTCACACTCTTGATTTTCATTTCCTCCAGCAACCCCAATGCTTCATCTAGTTTTCGGTATCTGCATAGACTCTCCAAAAGTATATTAAAGGTGAATAAGTTAGGAGCACAACCTTTGTCCACCATCGTTTTGTATGTTTCCATTACATCTTCATATTTTGACGTTTTGCAGAGACCATTCAACAAAGAGTTGTAAGTGTACACGTCCGGATCAACGCCATTGTCCAACATAACATCTAAGATTTTAAGCGCGTTTTCCATTTTTAACTGTGTAGAATAACCATGAATCAAAATGTTGAAAGTAAAAATGTCAGGAAAGTAGCCTTTGGAGGTCATGACTTTAACAAGACCATCAGCATCAGAAACACATCCCATCTTGCATAATCCTTTTACCAGTATGTTAAAAGTCTGTACCTCAGGAATCAAACCCTTTTCAGACATCTCACTCGCCAACTGAGCAGCCTCCAGAATCAAACCCTGCTTAGACAACCCATTGATCAGTGTGTTGTAAAGAATCACGTTAGGCTTTATTCCTTTCCCTAATGCCTCATTGAATAAGGCTAAAGCACGGTTTGTTTCACCGTCGTGACACAATCCCTCAATTACGGAGCGATATGTAAACTCATCAGGTGCAAACCCATTGAAAACGGCATTGCCTAAAATCTTTTCTGCAAGTTGCACCATTCCACCTTTGCAATATCCAGCTATTAATGTGTTATACGTAAAATTATTAGGCTCAAGTCCTTCATTCACCATTTTGCCTAAGTAAACTTCCGCCTCCTGAAACTTAGAATTCTTACATAAGCCACATATTAGATTGTTATACGTGACAACATCAGGTTTTGGGCCCTGCTCTATGAGACAACGTACCATAAGGACAGCAGCATCAAGCTCACCATTCTGACAAAGCCCTAGAATGAAAAAATTGTAAGTAAACAGATTCGGTAAAACGCCTCTCTTGATAACTTTGTCAAGTAGCTTTTCACACTCCTTGACATCTCCTTTCTTGCAAAGAACATGTAGAAGCTTGTTAAACGTACTAAGGCAAAGAGAAACACCTGATCTAAGCATTTTCCCAAACAACTCATACGCTTCTGCCTTAAGATTCTCCTCGTAAAACCCACCAACCACAGTACAATACGCAACCACATTCATCTCACAGCCTTGAGAAGACATATTGTTAAGAAGCCTCAAAGCAGCATGAGGCCGACTCGTCTTGCAAAACGACTTCATCCTAATAGTAAACGAGTACACATCAGGAGTGATTCCCCTGTCTCGCATCCTCATATACACCTTGTGAGCTTGATCAAAGTGTCCACTATCGACCAATATACTCATAATAGCATTATAAGAGAAAACCGTGGGCTCACAATCATAAAAATCCATCCTTTCAAACACATTCACAGCTTCTTGAACTTTCCCTTTCCTACCATAATTCTTCATCGCCCCGACATAAACCCCTTCAAGCTTATGGTTGCCAACATTCTGCCGCATTTCCACCAAAACTTGTTCCATGGCCTCGAATTTTCCATGAAGGCCAAGCTTTTCAATCACACTGCGGTAAGTGGATAAAGTATGCTTGAAACCGTCTTCTTGTTTCATCGAAATGAACATTTCTAGAGCTTTCATAGGATCCCTCTGACATTTAATAACCGCGGTCACATGTCTCGGAAGCAGAGAAGGACCCATTAGCAGAATCGCCACCTAATGAAGATAACTTCAAATCCCTATAATCCGGAAACCTTCATATGCTATTTCGTTACGACTAATAAGGCCCTATTACAGACCCTACTGGAGTGAATTGCACACAGAATTTGATATGGGCCGACAACTTGGATGGATAATTTTTAATTGCGGAGCAGATCAAGACTCTTATTTATAATGCAGCTTCCCCTTCTCAATTATCCAAGTTTGCGATGTGGGACAATCTAAAAAACAAACTTTTAAAAAACCCTAAGTCCTTTGCCCACACTCGCACTTCAACACCAGCATAAACATCATCCGGAACTAGGGCTTTAGCAGCAAGTGAGAAACGAGGAGGAGGAGCCAAATCCTCTCTCTTTCTTTGGAATTAGGATTTCTGAATCTCTTTCTTTCGAAGTGAAACAGGGAGTCAAGTGAAAATGGTCGCGGACAAGAGCAAGAAGGCGAAAACTGATGAGAAAGTCGAAGAGGAAAACGTGGAGCAAATCGACGGCGAGCTTGTTATCTCAATCGAGAAGCTTCAGGAGATTCAAGACGACCTCGAGAAGGTGAAAAAGATTCCTTTTTTCTCATCTCCGGATTTTCCCTTTCTTTACCGGTGTTCTTGTGCTCTGTATCGTGTTTAAGTTGAATGGATTCCATTCTGATTTCTGTTGCTGGCTATGCATGGTGCTAGTATATAGCTTTCTTGAATTTCACATGAAAGTTGGTCTTTTTTTTTCTTACTGCTATAGTGATAATAGTGTATTAGTACAATTCAATTTGAAATCATATTCTGAGATTTCTGCATATTTAACTCATTCATGTGATAGCTCGCTGCTATTAGCTTCTACAAGTTCTGTTATCACGAAATGAGAAGTCAAAGCTCATGCAAATTCATAGTACCAAGTCTCTAATTACAGTTAGAATTGGCATTAACTATATACAACGTTTGTTTGTTTGTTTGTTTTTTTCTCTTTCTGCTCACTGGTATGTTATGTTGGTTCTAGATTAATGAAAAGGCAAGCGATGAGGTCTTGGAAGTGGAGCAGAAATATAACGAGATACGAAAACCTGTCTATGACAAGCGTAATGAAGTTATCAAATCGATTCCAGACTTTTGGATAACTGCTGTAAGTGATATTATTCTAGTTATTTTTTATCACTGTGTAAAACATCTTCTTTCTAATTGACTTTCCACATTATTTGCAGTTTTTGAGTCATCCTGCATTAGGTGAACTCTTGACAGAAGAAGACCAAAAGGTTTGAGTTATCCTTCGACATGCTTTCAAGTTTAGAGTGTAGATTTCTTTTTGATGGATGCAGATCTATATACTATCCTTTGTATATAGAGATAACTATCCCATTGGCCTTTCACAGTTTCTGTACTGTTACATCCCTTTTACCTCTTGATTTGATTTCTCTGCTTTTACAGATTTTTAAGTACTTGAGCTCTCTGGATGTGGAGGACGCAAAAGACGTTAAATCTGGATACTCGATAACTTTTGTAAGTTTCTTTGTCCACCTGATTCTATTATCTAAAAAGATCAGGTGTGGTTACTTGGTATTGTTTATTTACTTGTTACTTGGGCATCAATCACAGCACTTCAATCCCAACCCATTTTTTGAGGATGCGAAACTTACTAAGACGTTTACCTTCCTCGAAGAAGGAACAACGAAGATCACAGCAACTCCTATCAAATGGAAGGAGGGCAAGGTATATACATCTTTTTACTTGTGGAACATAATAAGTGTCTTACTCTATTTGTCTCGTATTGGGATTATTATAGTTAATGATGTTTCTCAATTATGAAGGGCTTGCCAAATGGAGTGAACCATGATGATAAGAAAGGAAACAAACGTACACTACCAGAGGAGAGGTATAGTTTTTTAAGCCCATTAAGAGATTTTTTGCAATCACCATAGACTTAATTGTGAAATACTTGTGGTCATGGATATATGACGCACTTAAGTTATAAAGTCTTTCTTCATTAGTAATTGCATACGACTAACGCCTTTCCACTGTGCTATCTCTTCAGCTTCTTTACTTGGTTTACTGATGCTCAGCATAAGGAAGATGCTGGGGATGAGATTCATGATGAGGTACATGCTCCTCTACTCTCTGACCTGTTATAAGTTAAACACCATGTTTATTGTCTGCCCAGTTTGAACTCGGAAACATCTCCTCTTGTTCCAGGTTGCTGATATTATCAAGGAAGATTTGTGGTCCAACCCTCTCACCTACTTCAACAATGTAAACAACTTATCATTTCACTTTCAGTCATATTACTTTTCTGTTGAATAAAAAAGGTGCTCAAAGGTTTTGTTGATGTACTATCTAGGAGGCTGATGAAGAGGATTTTGATGGAGATGAAGATGGCGACGAAGAGGTAAAACAATCATCTCATTGCTCTTCAAAATACATTTGATTGGTTGATTGTTATGTGTCGCATGGTTTGTTCCTATACTCTGTCTTTTAATTCTCTAAAATATCTTTGAAAATCATAATCACTTCAGGGAAAAGAAGAAGACTCCGAAGAAGACGAAGAGGACGAAGAGGAAGATGGCGAGGAATGATGGGAGCCCAAGATAACACATTGCTGGCTTGCTTCTATAACAGATGTGTAAAGTTTGTGTTATGAGGTTCTCAATTTTAGCAATGATGAGACGCAGCTTTCTACTTTGAAATATTTAGTTTATCTACCTTAATAGCTACATTTTGTCTGTATGAACCATTTCGGCCATGTCCCAAAATCATTTAATCGCTACATCTCTTCTTTTCAATGAGAATCTTTCTATCTTATCATGAAACCACTTTTATTTTCCATATACATAAGCTACATTTTATTTTGTAACACAGTTTCAGCCATGTCGTACCGTGCCTCTTCGTTTTAAGACAACATAGCTAAATCTTCATTTCCCTAATGAGAGTCATCATGGTCTTATATATATGTCTGATTATTTATCTATTTCAATCACAAGTTATAAGGTATAACTCTTGTGGCAGCTCTCGGCGAAGCTAGAGCCTGCACTGGAGTCTTCATGCTACAAAGTAGCCCAGGATTCTCGCTCATGTCAATTCTCTCCCCAGGAACAGGGGAGCTCCAAGAGAAGCATTGCAACAAGTTCCCCATCACCAATGCCATCAAGTTCATGCTGAGCTGTGCAGCTGGACAAACCCGTCTTCCCGATCCAAACGGAAGAACTCTAAAGTCTCGACCTTTGACATCGGTTTCCTCCTGGAGAAACCTCTCTGGTCTAAACTCTTCCGGGTCTCTCCAGTTTACTGGATCTCTCCCAATCTCCTTCACGTGGACATAAACCGTGGCTCCTTTAGGAACCTTATACCCACCTAACCAAACCGTTTCGCTTGCTTTATGCGGAAGCATTAGTGGTGTTGAAGGGTGAAGCCTCAAAGCTTCTTTAACCACGCACTGCAGATAATGGAGCTTCGGTATATCTGATTCACTCATCAACCGTTCGGATCCAACCACTGAATCAAGCTCCTGTTGCGCTTTCTCTTGCACGTCAGGGCATTTGATCATCTCTGCCATGGCCCATTCGATGACAACCGCTGTTGTGTCTGATCCTGCGGTTAACATGTTCCATATCAATCCATGGACCGTCTCTTCACTCAGCTCTTTCTTCTCTTTCAACACCAACAGGTTCCGAACGAAACCATTATGATCCTCTACCGCTACGTCCTCTTCCTCCATTATAGCTCCTCTAAACCACTTTGTTCTCCGTTCCTTGTGCGCCAAGAACTCCTTGTCGCTGATGAACCATGACGATAACCATTTGAGCCACCAGACGTGATCGAAGAACGTCCCTGAACCACTGAGAAGGTGTTCTTTTTCGACAATCGATTTAAACTCTTTGCCTTCCTCTGACTCGAACTCTTTACCGATCATTAATCTTGAGATTGTGTTCAAAACAACCTTAGCTACATACTTCCTCACAACTAGCGGTTTTCGCGTCTGATCATTGCTTGAATCGATCATCAAGTCTTTGAGAATAGACTCAACCATTGATCTTACTTCCATCTCTCTCAACGACCTGAAATTCTCAATGCTCTTCAAAGAGAAAAGCTCGAGTGTGCAGAGTTTCCTTAGTTTCACATAATGTGGACTGTAATCGGACCAAACAAGATCGTTGCCGGACTGAGTCATCCTTGCGATGCGTTGTCGGTTAGACAACTGATGGTCTTTGTCTCTCAAGACTTGTCTGGCTAAATCAGAGCTCGAGACGACGACAATGAGTTGTGTGCCCATCCACACCGATATGATTGGACCATAAGTCTTTGACCACTCGATGAAAGAATGAGTCCAATGTGGTTTCATTTGATGAAGGTTTCCGATCAGAAACCGTGGCTTTGGTCCCGGAGGTATGTTGGATCTCCACCACCTTTGATATAGCATGATGGTGGCGATGATGATACTGACTAGAGAAATTACATATAGAACCATTTTTGCTTTCGATGAGTGAAAGAAAAATATACAAGTTTTGATGGATTATAACATCTACCTCACAGTCAGTGAAGATTTATACACAAATTGTAACACATTATATAAAGCAAAGTTTTTTATATATATCAGAAGTTATATTGTTAGCATATTTACTTTGGTTAGGATATTTGCTTACGTTTGTTTTGAAAAGTAACACACAAAATGGATATGCGCATGAACATGCCGTGATTTGGTCCTTTTGTACTCTCACACTTATTGCATTTTCTGTTTGCTTTAAAATTAATAATCTATGGATATTTTAGAATTTTTTTTGTTAGAAATTTATTAATTGGTAATTTGTTAGAGTTCGATTGTTGTAAAAAAATTACATTTCTCATCAACGAATCGATTTTTGTGTGTGTGCTGTTAACAAATTCATACACATTATGCTGCATTTGAATTTGAATATCTAAACTAGTACAAAATTACTTTGATTTACGTCAAAAAAATGTTGAAAAAACAATATTTCAGAATTATTATGGACTGACAAATAAAAATTAATGAAAGTAATTCGTGAAATCGAATGCAAACATTAGATGGAAAAGAACAAAACAAATCACGCCGAGCACAGCTTCACGATAAGTGTGTCAATGGCGACAGTGATGATGGATTGAGAAAGTTCCAGGGGAATGAGGAAATGAACAAAAGTAGAAATGGCGACAGCGACGACATCTGCAATTAGGGCACCGAATTGGAGAGTAGCTGTGTTATTATGGACCATCTCTCTCACTATTTTCTACTCTCTCTTCCAAATGGGTCTTCGAAATTCACCTTCCACTTCTTCTTCTTCAGGTAAAGTCATCACTTTTAGTTCTTAAATATCGTCCATTTATCACTGGATTTTCCTTCTATTGTATCCAATGGAAATACCTTTTATACTCTCAGAGTTCGATGATGTTTTGATTTTTTTTTAATCCACGATCTGATTAATTAGCTATTCTATAATCTGATGAGCTGACTCGTGATATTTTGTTTATGAATCTGGGTTTTGTTAAATGGGATCGATGTTGACTTGCTAACAGAAGGAATTCACCAACACGAGTGTAATTAAGATTTGCGTAAAGTACTAGTTTTTATTTATATATTTGCAGAGAAATGTCTCTGTTTCTGTAGTCAAGATTTTGAATTGCATTGGATCTTCTGCCGAAACTGATGTTTGATTGTTTAGGGATCAAAGAAGTACTTAAAATCATCATTCTTCATTTGTTTATTCTAAGCTTAAGGAACAGTCAACATGTTTTATTTACTGATTAAAAAGCAAGTGTCTTATCTGATATGTTTCTAGAAACTTCTTAGCCACCGTGTTCATTGGCTCAAATGCAGAACACGCCAGAGGGAATATCTGATGCAAAAGGCTAATGCTTGATTTCGTATCTAATACCTTTGTTATGGTGTTTTGTTTATCATCTCTATTGAATTCTAGTGCCTCTTTTATGTGTTTTGTTAATCATATTATCTCTTTTAAGTTTCTATCTGCAGCTGTATCAAGATTATTGTATCTGGAGTAGATATAGTTATTATTCTTAGCAATAATAAATCTTTGTATGTTTCAGATCCTTTTCTCACTTACGCCGAGCAAAGCTCAAGGTTGTATGATAAAATGGAACGGGATCTACAGGAAAAGGGACCAGTGTTTCTCAAACAAGGTGAAACGTCTCAGTCACTGTCACTTTCAGATCTCTTCAAAGTGAACGATGGAAAGATACAACCTGTCCTCAAGGTATCTGTTGCTATTGTTCGAATTAATGCAACTGGCTTGTATTGTGAAGTCAAATAATTTATGCTTGTGATAGCTAGATACCATATATGGCTCTATAAAATACTCAGTTTGTTCATATATAGGTTGCAAATCCCCCCGTGCGAGCTAATGTATTACATCTCAGCACAAAGTACTCTACCCCAGTCTCGTGAGTGTGTAACTTGCCCCATTCTCAATGCATATTTATCCTGTATAATTTAGAATTCAAATGTTTACTGCTAAAAGGTGCCTTCCATGTCTATATATTGCAGGAGCGCCGTAAAAAATGTGTTCAGTCCTTACTTCAAAAATAGTAAGTGAGCCGTTATGTTTCTGTTCAAATGCTTGAACATTGTTTTAAAAACTAAGTTTCAGATATAGATTTCAATATGCATATGTGTGTATATGAGTGGAAGCATAAATGCGGTTAATTGTATTTTCTTCTTCTTACTTTGTTTTGTCTTTTTTAGCAATCTGGTTTCAGGACTCTAAGCTGTACCATTTCAGCATGTTTCATGCATCGCATCACATTGTCTCTGTTCCAGCTACCGAAGATGAGGTCTTTTTAACTAGTCACTAGTCTTCTTGCCAATCCACCGGAACAACTTTAATCTTGTGAAGATCCTGGCCTCTGAGTTTCTCTTTGATGTGATCAGGTTGAAGCAGAAGCAGCTGCTGTCAGAGCAGTTGCTAATGAACTTTGCCCTTTGGAGATAATATTGGATAGAATTCTTTTAACCTCTACGGGTGTTCTCCTTGGATGCTGGAAGGTACTTCTTGTTGCTTTCACTTCGATTCAACAAATACGAGTCAGATCTCTAGTTTTGTATCCATTATACCACTTTAGTAATTTCATTCTCCAAGACAAGAATCGATGATTCAGATATCTAAGATTGAAGCTTGTTTCATCTTTCACTAGGTTAAATCTGGAGATGATCCCATAACTATCCGCTCAAAACTGAGATATGTGCTTCCACGAGCACCAGAGAAGCAACTTGTAAGATCTATTCATAAACTGTATATAACTCTCATGAACACGAACAACCAATGTGCTTATATGTCGGATGCTTGATTTTGTTGGTCTTTCAGTATGATGCTGCAATTCTTCATACATCATTAGCAAGGCTTCTTGGTCCTCCAATATCTCCTACTGAGGCAAGCTTCACTTATGCTTCTGTTTTTTTTTTTCTAGAGAAACTCGAAATACAATGTTGCAGAATATTCTTGACTTAATGACCGTTTCTTACCTAGCAGGCTGGTTCTGACGACCATCTCCAGCTTCTCCATGAGTTAGTCGCAAAACTAAACAACCAAATCCGAGGATTCAAGGTAAAGTTCATTAAAACTTGGAACGAAACTAGAGTTTTCTTGACCATAGTAAATGTAAACAAAAATTTTCTTAAAAAACGAAAAAAAAAAACGTTTGTATTTGATACAGGCAGTCGTATCAGAGCTGTGGTATGTAGAAGAGTATGATCTTTTAGCGCTCGCATTGAGTGGAAGAATGAAGGTTCGATCTTTCCCTTTCGGCTGCTCCGCAAAGGGATAATATTTTACCGGATTCGGTTTTACTTTTTTCGAGCAATAAAGCTATCTTCTTTTATATCAAAACCCTTTATGTCATCGACATCATGTATATATATTCTCTAACTTCTCTCAAATTGCTTTCATATCTTATTTAGTCAAGCAAAATATCGTATACAAGTCAAGCCAAAAGTTCTTTGAACTTCTTTTTTTTTTTTTTGGTAAGGAGTTCTTTGAACTTCTTACATGCGTCAAAACGCTACTTATTCGATGTACATTTTATTTTTGTGTGAATAATTCATTAATACAAAAGATTTGTTTTCCCTTTTTGCCAAATTTCCAAATACAGTACTTTCGATAGCCTTTCTTTACCTCCCAAAGAAAAAGATTCCTACTTTAGATATCTAATTTCCTTTTTTCTTTTTGGCAACAGTTTCGTAAAAGCTTGTCGTGATTATTCCTGAAAGGATACTAATGGTAGCTTTTCCATTCATCTCGTTTTCACGCTTTTCCCACCATTAAAAAGTTAAAAACTTTCAGCAAGTCTACCACACAATTTATTCGCTCTCTCTCTCTCTCTCTCTCTCTGTCTATCTATCTTCAGTGACTAGTGTTTTTATTTTAGTGGAGGAAGAATCAGATTCAGAGTCAAATCAAGCTTGAGGATGGGATCTGGAGCTGGAAATTTCGTCAAGGTTCTTTTGAGGAACTTCGATGTCCTTGCTGGGTAATGTTAAATTTTATTCAATTCTAATCAAATCGATCTTCTCAAGTTGCTTCCTTTTACCGAGTAGCTTCTGATATATTCTGCTCAATCCATCATAGTCTAGGGTTTAATTTCTATTTTTGACCTAACCCTTGCTGATTAATTCCGATTTCGCTGTGGAGTTTCTCTTAAAGTTGATTGATTCCTTTAAATTGTTAGATCTTTTGGAATGCATAGATTTTTTTATAAAAAAGTATGGTTTTTTTTTTCAACTTACGCGTGTAACTAATTGCAATCTCTGGTGGTGAAATTTTTGCAGGCCTCTTGTGAGTCTCGTTTATCCACTGTAAGTGAATCCATAATTTATGATTTTGTAGAGCAAAAGCTTAACTTCATCTTAGTAGAGTTCTTTTGAGAATTTTCACCATTGAGCTTTGATTTAATGGTTTCTCCTTATTTTGATTGTTTCAATGGGTAGACATGCCTCAGTCAGAGCAATTGAAACTCAATCACACGCTGATGACAAACAATGGCTCACATATTGGGTCCTTTATTCCTTACTTACACTCTTCGAGCTCACATTCGCCAAACTCATCGAGTGGTAAGATGATTGAAACACCATCATTAGCCCAAAAAGCAAAGTGAATCCAATTTTTTTTGTTTTTCTTTAGCTGACATTGTTGTTGTAATGATCAGGTTACCTATATGGTCATACGCGAAGCTGATCTTGACTTGCTGGCTTGTGATTCCGTACTTTAGCGGCGCTGCTTATGTCTATGAGCATTTTGTGAGACCTGTGTTTGTTAACCCACAAAGCATTAACATTTGGTATGTGCCAAAGAAGATGGATATCTTCAGAAAGCCAGACGATGTGTTAACAGCTGCTGAGAAATACATTGCAGAGAATGGACCTGACGCTTTCGAGAAAATCTTAAGCCGGGTATGCTTCTCCTAATCCTAGTCTCTTCTCACTCCAAAATGTCATTGTTCTTTACTTACTTTTCTCTTTTTCAATCAGGCCGATAAATCAAGAAGATATAAGCAACATGAGCCAATGTATGGTGACTGGTGAGGAGTATCAGTACTAAGGGACCTTGAAAAGCTTTTATAAATATTTAGAATGTGTGAAGCAAGTTCATGTCTTTGATGTTGTTTGTTTTGCTCCTTTTTTTCTTTGGATCTCTGTCGTGTAAAAAAAGTTGATTATTAAATGAAGAAACTTTATGCTCGAATTGGAGGCGTAGAATATTTTTTTTTTCTTGCTTTGTTTTCTTTTCTCTATGCGCTTTTCAAGCTTTCAACAAAGTGTACTAATCAAGTCTTGTTATTATGAAGATCTAAGCAATTTTAAGGGACGACTAACCAGTCATCATCAGTTGAAAAAAGTGTCAAAGTTGTTTTGCCAAAAGTTTAACACTTTACAACCGAATTCTTCCAGAAAAAAAAAAAATGAGAGAAATTTGGGTTCTGTAATCTTTAATCTGCCTTGAGGAAATATATTAATCTTACAAACGTCAATTAAAAAAATAGAAGTGCTAAAAATGGAACAAAAATACAATGTTAATAAATACTTTAAGAGATAAGACACAGTAAGTTGTTCTTAAATCTTCTTCAAATTATTGAAATTCCAGATTATGCCTGAACAACAATAATAAACCCCACAAACACAGTGAAGAAAACAGAGACTCTCTTGACCCCAATCATGAAAAAAAATGAAACCAAACTGTTAAAAACGAAAAAAAAGCAACCTTGATAAAGAAGTCAATAACTTTGAAAGGGGCCTCAAGTCTTCATCAACATCCCATAATCGCACAATTATACACAAAGCTTCCTGAGGGCTTTGAAGCAAGAACTCTCCAATGCAGCGACTCTCCGTCCCTTGGGACGCAAGCATTGATCTCTATGAACCCTCCTCCAAGTGCCCTAGGCCCTCCAACCACCACTAACTGATCCCCACAAGCCCTAAACGCCATTCCCCAACCGTTCATCGAAGAAGCCCTCTCTGGCAAATTCCCAACTTTATTCCATACATTGCGTCTTTTATCGTATTTCCTCACCTCTTGCTGCGCGTAACTCGCAGCATAAAGCTCGTCTTTCACAACCGCTACAAGCGGTGGCGCCTCTGAAGCAGAGGAAATCTCATTTGCCTGATCTCCTCCTCCACTTCCGTTGCTTCTTTCCGGTAACATGTTAGGTATCAAAGTCCATGTCCTCTTCTTCAGATCATAGACTTCACCGCACATTAGCATCTTTGAGTTTCCCTCTCCAATACCTCCAATCACAAAGAAGTTCCCGTCCATGAACACGCTCGAGCACATCTTCCTCGCTTTGTTCATGCACGGGAGGACCGTCCATTCCCCTGTTTCCGAGTTATAAAGCTCCGCAGAGCTCAGTATCTGTCCACGTGGGTCACATCCTCCAGCTATAACCGCGATCTCTCCTAGACTCGCTGATCCAAACAAGCACCGCGGGATATTCATTTGCATACCCGAGGTCCATGTATTGGTCAAGATGCTATACTTGTAAATCACATGAGACATGATCTCTTTGCCGAAGACAAGAAGCTCTGTGCCAACCGCCAGAGATTCTTTGTCCGAACACATGAAACATTCGTTGAATGTCATTTTTGGTACACGTAGCCATCGGTCTCCGTTTGGATCATAAGCTTCCCATTCCAACAGCCTGCAAGAGAAGTAGATCCAATGCTCTGCGATTCCCTTTGCTCTTCTCAGCCTATAAAGCTCGCTGTTCTTGATGAGCGAGCGGAAGGTTTTGTTTGTTGAGGCTATGGACCCGAAATCAGATAACGAGCAGTGAGCCAAGCAGTTGAGAAGTGCGTTTTGATCAAGCCTGGTTATCGGTGGGCTCTGTTGTTCACTACCTTGTTGGTTTTGGTTAGACCTTTGATAGGTTTTGGCAAGAAGAAGAAAATCTGTAATCTTGTCGGATTTATCTCTGCATCGATGATCAAGTTTTCTAGCGGAACTTCCTTCTTCATTGGTATCATCCAAGAAACGCTTCTTAGACGAGAGCTGAAGCACGCAGTGTGCGTTATATATCCACTTGCTCTCTTCCTCACATGAAGATGGCAAATCCCTTAACACCAGATAGCTCGGAGGCTCCAACATGATGGACGCTAAGAAAACAATCAATGGAAAATCAAAGCAAACGCCAAATTTATCAATCACATCATCTGAGAAACAAGAGGAGAAAGACACATTAGTGACTTTGCATAGGATCTTGTTTCCATTAATGATCCAAGGAAAATCCATTAATTCGCCGAGATGATAGCAACGTTTAGACCAGTAAGATAAAAAAAAGTCCAATTCTTGAACAGTGAGATTAGCTCACTAGCTTTCCTCTTGAGGAATTTTTTCAAACTCAGGAAAGCAATCATTAGAATCCAAAAGACAAAGATTTTCGTTGGTGGAAATCGCAATACGATCAGATCAGAAGCAATTCACAAGCAGCAAAAGAAACAGAATGTGCAAGAAACCAATGCATCGACGGATAAATTCAGCACCCAATAGCTCGCAGAATAATTAATCGAATCCCAAATTCGATAAGCCACAAAATCTATAAAAAAAAATTGAAATTTAGAAAGAGTGATTAACAAAATCAAGCTCACCAGATATCGGAGAATAACCCCCTAATTCGTCGACAGATTAGTCAATCAAAGTCGACTGAAGATCTGCCATTTAAAAAAAAAATGAAATTAAGGCAGAACACAGTTTAGATGCCGATGATTTCAACAATCAGGCACAAAATTTTCCGACAGAATTAAAAAAGAAGAAAGAAATCAACCAAAACACAAGTATATTTTTGCTCAAAACCTATGAGATATGGATGATATTCATCTTCGGATTCCGGCCACATTTTAGCTGAATTGGTATCATATTTGAGCTGTGATTTACATCTTTTTTAATATTAATTATATAATTGTTTAATGTTGGGTTTAAAAAGATGCACGAATGAACCAGTGGTGGATTTATATATACATATAAAATCAAGAATAAAGCTGTTGATGGAATTTATATTTTTTAGTCTTTTCTTAATACCAATGACGAGGAGAGATAGAAGAATTTGTTTCGGCATTTTTCGTTAAAAGTTTGACGACGCCGTTAGCCATTTTAAGGGGGAAGTTAACGGCCGATTCTTAGCTCTTGCACGTGTTTCTGCTTCGTACAACTAAAAAAAAAGCTTCTTTTCTCTTTTTTTTTTGCTTCTCACGTTAATGTTTTTGTTTCTTGTTTTGGATGTTTTTATCCTAATCCAATCAATTTGTTCAGTTTTCTTCTTGTTTCTTTTTCTTTTACCTTTTTTTTTGTTATACACTTATATTCTCTTTCCTCCTCATAATAGAAAAAATCTAGGATTAAAATACCCAAACTTAAAAAAAATATTAAAAATGCAAAACAATCGATTGTTAACCACACTAAAAACAGAGAAAAACCGATACAAATCAGTCATAGATTCTACATCACAATAAAAAACTGTTTTTAACGAAAAGCATAACCTTCTAATTTTTTTTTTTTCATATTCGTTCCACAAAGCAATCACTTTTATCTAACAGTAAAATTTGGATAAATTAATGTTTCTTTCTTTCTTTTTTCATGAAAGGATCACATCACCACTACATAATAACTTATTGTTTCTGATTTTAAATACAGCTCATGTATATCTGATATCTATACATATTACTGAATTTGAAAAATCACTTTCAGAAACTTAAAGATTAACAAAATATATGTAATCGGTTCTTACTGATTTAAATTTCGGTCGTTTGGGACTGGATTGAACCAATCAGGAGTTTGAGATCAGAATCTAAAACCAGCTCAAGTGCTGAAGCCCATTTATGACCCTCACCGGCTAACATCTTGTAATGGACCGGATCTGGTCTTAGGCTTTTAGCCCGTTTATCAGCTCATCTATATTGTTGTAAATACGTTTGGTTGTTGCAAATTAATAAAATAAACTAGATTTTAACCCTGTGCGTCTGCATGAGAATTTTTATTTTTAATATAAGTTGCATTCATCTTTTTGTTTAGATATAATTTGTTTTTGTTATTTATTTTTTTAAATCAAAAAATTGTTATTATATTTTAATTTTAAACAGTAAAATTTGTATATTAATAGAATAAGAGTATGCGTTAATTAAGTATACATTAATCTAATGTTAATTATAAACTTTGTTATGATGTGAATTAAGATTTACACATAAAAATCTATATATCTATGAATTTACTAATTCATCCGTTTAGTTGTCTTAAATCATTTTTAATATCCTACATGTTTTGACAAACTAACCCGTATAAGACTATAATTATAATTGTATAACCCTATAAATATTTACTAATATGGAATATTTGGACCAATTGATTATGAAAAAATATAATAAAATATTTATTTACTATTTGTGCTATTAAAAAAATGTATATATATAAACTGGCTAACGTGTTAGTTTAATTGTCTCAAATCATCTTAATATCTTACATGTTTTAATAAATTAACTCATGGACCTTAAATATATTTATATATATATATAACTCTAATCAGCCCGATCATATTATTGTATAATATAAATATTTATTAATTTCAAATATTTGATATTTTAGACCGATTGATTATGATAAAATACGATAAAATATTTATTTACTATGCATTTTTATAAAAATATTATTTAAATTTAAAATTTTAAATTAAATCTCTCTTGTATTTAAGAAAATTTAAAGTATTAAAATTATTATCTAAATTTTCGTAATAAAATTTAATTATAATTTTTTTTTGAATTTTTTGAATTTAAATTAAATTGAATGCAAATTTTTGTAACTAAATTTAATTAAATTTTTAATAATTTGAAATTTAAATTAAAGAGGACTTAGATTTTAAGAAATCTAAAAATATCTAAATTAATAGCTAATTTTCAGAAATTAAATATAAAAAAATTAAAATATTATAAAAAAAATTTAAGAGTGTTTGGATGCAAGCACTAAATGTGCTTCTGTTTTAATAGAATAGATGAAAATAAATTATATATTTAAATTTTAAAGTCTATAGATGCAGGTTGCAATACCCTCGATTTAATTTGTGGTTAACTGAGGATATTCGGTATAAGGTAAAGTATCAAACGAAGATTATTATGCTATAATATTTGACCTACCAGGCTACCACTTAGCTAGGACCACACCTCCAACTTTTAAAATATGTAGTACTAGTTTGTAATAGATATAATCAATGCACGAGAAAAACTTCTTTGTTTTCACTAGAACGAGATTTTAGATTAATGACAAACTGACGTTAATATTTTTCTTAAAAAAAGGCAAACTGACGATAAATATTACCCCCACGAATTATAAGTACATGGAACCTCACGCAACTACCCTGTTTAAATCGCTTTCTTTTGTCTCGTGGCCCGTGGGACCACATAAAATGTTTCTGACGCTAATTACAATCATTAAACATAATCAAGGAGATTAATTATTGATTAAGGTAATCTAAAGAAATGCAAATTGTGAAAAGGAAAAAACCTTAGATGATGGTGGACGTTGTCGATGTTCATATCAATATTAAAATGCTGACAACTTAGGTTTAAGTACCAAGTTGTTACATAGAAAAAGAATCTGCATGACGTAGAGCGACCAAGTTTTGATTTGTGTTGTTTAGATCAGACACGTTAAAACCAGCAACCTAGTGTCTTAAATCTTAATTTTGGTTGTTTATTAATAACTGTGACCAATTAGAATGTGCAAGAGGTATAGCCTTTTAGGGGAAGTTGTTTCGAATGATCACAACGCATGATGATACCATAAAAGTTCGTGACATTTAGAATATTTTGCAGACTCTAGCTCTTTCATACAAGGTGATCCTGTGGATGCATAATCGCAGAGTTTTGTAGCGTTTCACGTCTTTCGTATTGTAGGTCTTGCATAAATTCATTGTTAATTTTATACATAAACTCCAAATACAAACAGAGAGAATAGGTTGTTTTGTATTTTTGGCATTTGCATTTACATATTATAAAACAATAAAAATGTATACTATAATACTATATGCAATAATGCGATATTTTTGCTAACAAGTCTCTTAATATCTGTATATATAAACGTAAACATACATACATTAACTCTTTCTTTTTTTTCTCCTTTTACTTGTTAATAATTCCAATTCAATATTTAAAACAAAAAAAATGGCACAAACTTACTTTATTTATTGATTTAACAAAAAAAAAGTACATTTTCAATATCAATAAACCAATAGAGAACATAACTAACGATAAAATTGGTTACTTCTCTCGAGCATTTCTTGCTAGCAAGTTTATATTGACGTTCTTGTCTTGAGGATGATGAAAGAAAACGAGTTGTAATGATGTCAGAGCAGATTACATATAACGCACACAATCAGAATAACAAAGCATACGGACTAAGCGAGTTGTAATGATGATTAGATAGTAGTGAAGTTTCTGAACCAAGGAAAGACAGTCGGCAGTACGTCTTATTGTTATGTCTTGGCTGGAAGTGAATGTACACGCCAGTTAAGACTGACTAGCTTACGTCTCATGAGCTGTTTGAATGTCTCAGATCGGATTTGATTCCGTCACATAGAACCTTGCCTTTCTTTGCTTTCAAAGTTCAAATGATATATTGAGCTTGGAATCCCTTGTTGGAGACTTGACCCATATATTAGAATGTTCAAAAGCTCCTAAGGTGGAGCTAAAGATCTGATTTGACTTAGAAAAATGATGTCCACACTTCTTTAGCAAAATCACAATATCTTAAACGAATTACTATGTGTTAAACACATACTTTCTTAGAGCTATTATGGATTTAACACGAGTAATCTAATTATATAGACTGTAATGTTATTGATTATTCTATATTTCTATAGCACATTGGTTTTACACTGCATTAGCCGAATGAGATCACTTTCAATGCAAACTATAATAAGTTAATAACAATCTCTCAAACTATATATCGACTGACACAACAACTCATCTTGCCAACTTGTATACCATTGGATTATGGACTGCATGTTGCTTTTGTTTAGTATCTCAAGATATTACAAACCCCATATTTACGATTGGAATACTGAACACACACACACAATCAAAATTCCTTCTCTATATAAGGTTTACAGGTGAAATTGCCTTGTTTTGTTTTGTCTTCTTTGCGTCAACGCATAGGAAGAAGAAAAGATGCTTTTGTGGGTTTGATTGATTTCACGTGCAAATTCGGAATTTATAGGCTTTTGGGACTCATCCTAAGTCATAAACTTATAATAATCGCAATCCTATAAATGGAGTGTGCCTTTTCAACCTTCAAACTATTCGCCACATTACAGTTTTTATTATTTGATCGATATTAATTAGTATTAAGCTATAGAAAATAGTACAAGGCATAAAAAAAAATAAGCTGCTAGACTGCTAGTGCTAGGTGATTATTGTTTTGTTTTAAAATAGTTTCCCTTAATAATACGGTATGAGTACGAGCAATATATATAGCTGGATCACGTTTTTTGAGCAATATTATACGATTAAGCTTGTTTGGTCGGTGTCAAAGAGGAGAGAGAGAACACCTGACCTAATTTAATGACTACATATAGATCATCTCTTATTCAAGCATCTTTGTATATTAATATATGATTCTCAATTTCTAATCTATTACCCAATTTGTTGACAAAATATCTATTATCCAATATAACAAAATATCTATTATCCAATATATATTGGAACATCCTATATAAATCTTATTTATAAACTAGTGGCAAAAATATATATTTAGATTTTTATTTTAACGTATTACAAACATTTTTTCTAATTTTTAGTTAATTTGTATATACTATATAAGCAATTCTATTAAATATATTTATATATATATATATATATATCATACTGTAGTCGATAAACTAGTAAAAAAGTTATCTCGAGAGCTTGAAGAATGGCAATTTAACCATCCCAGCTC